ACCCCAACCCCAACCCCAACCCCTATATATTTTACATAATATTTTCCTTATTTACATTTAAAATTTAAGAAAAAATATGATTTTTTGGATTTAATTTTTATATTATTTATCTAATAAATTATAAAAAGATAAATAAAATTGCAATTAATTAATTTTTAAGTATCAATCTGACAGCTTACTAAGGATTAAATTCTATTATAAAAATTAATATATCATTAATGAATTTGTTAATTAGGAATTTATTGGTTCATTTAAATGGAATAAAATAGAATTTACAGTTTTTTAAATGTATAATATCTAAATATCATGACATCTTAATAAATAGTCTATTTCATTTTATTTAATTTTATATTTACATATCGAACATAAAAAAAACAGTAATTTTTTAGTCAATAATACATTATTAATAAAAAAAAAAAAGAGTAATAAATTAAATTTAATAAGTTTCAGCAAAAAAAGTTATAAAATACTTTAAGTGTAAATGACTTCGTATTCAAGCACTCCCAAGACAACTGTTTCAAACCATTTTTAGAAACAAATGAGTTAGCTGTTAAGCTCAAACATTACTATTGATGTGAAAGAGTTTTAGAAGATGTATAACAATTTATATGGAATTACTAGACCTGTAAATTTAACATCATCAGAAACTACTGAAAAGATACTAGCTAACTCTTCTATTCCTTATGATCCACCATAAAATATTCATAAAGCTTAATTTTATAGATAGCTAGCTTTAGATAAAATTGATAACAAAAAGATTGTAGAGAAAGCTGATAAAGAATCTAAAAAGGAGGTTGAAAATGCAATAAAGAGATTGTAGAATAAGAAATTGAAGAAGTAAATATAGGAAGGATAAAAAAAAAACCTTGAGAAAAAGATCAAAATGCTTGACGATAATGTCCAATATATAGTTGATCTCTATAAAACTGTAAACAAACTTAATGAATTCTTCATGTTTTTTTAGTTAGATAAAACAATTTATTTATTTTTGGAATAATATTTGAATCAGTATGTTAAAATAAAAATAATCAATATTAAAAATAGATCAATGACGCTAGAGAAAAATTGGATGAAGAAGCACGTAAAAATTAATAAAGACTAAAAAATTTGCGTAAAGAATCATAGGAAAATATTAAAAAGATTCGTGAAGACATAATTCTTTAAAAAATTTAAGAGAAAAGAAAGTTACAAAGCATTTCTTAAGTAAATATTATGGAAATAAGGAGAAGAAATGAATAGGAGCAGGAGTAAAATATGAAAAGGCGCTTAGAAATGTTAAATAGGAAGAAACAATCTTAAAATAAACTCGTTCAATATCACAAATCTAAAATATAAAATATAAAAGATTAATCTGTAGTTGATATCAAATAGCAAGAAGAGACTGAAGAAAAACTTTTAGAAGCCTAAAAAATTCTACGAAAAATTGTAGAAGAAGAAGAAAAGCTTACAAATGATATGAGATTCAATGAAGAAGAAAAGTATCGTATGAAATCTGAATTAGGATTAGTTTTACCTAATTAAAAGCATCATGCTTCACATTATGATTCACAAGGCTTCCAAACTCCTAATAATCTTTCTATAGCAAATTAAAACTAGCATGCATAATCTAATAGAGAAAAAGTAAGCAACAATACTTTTCTTACTAGTTTGTGAATAATCAATAAGAATTTAAACTAAATAAAAAATATTTATTTTTCAAGTATTTAGGTTTATATTAATTTTATAAATCAGCTCAACATAAGCTTGTTTTAGTTTAAATCATTCAAAATTAAATAATCTATATTTGTCTTACTAGCTCAATTTATTTTATGATATTTATATGTCCAGTAATTATTTTTAATAAAGAAAAATAAGCTATACGTGTTTTTGCTATATAAAATTTAGGTAATACTAATACAAATTAATTACTGAGATAAATTAATTTAGCAATAATATTTTTACTTAATTAATTTTACTAAATAAAAAAATAAATCATTTAGTAATTAATATAGATTTTAATTGGTAAATCTTATCAAAATCAACATTTTTTTCAAAATTAGCTTTGTCTAATATTTTATCTTTTTTGAAAATCTTATGATTAAAATTTTTTATTAAAAATGAATGAAATTTAATTTAAAAAAAATTAAAATATTGCTTTTTATATTTTTAAAAGAGTATCTACCTTATTTATTTAAATTAATAATAAATAATAAACTAATGATCAGAGTTTGAATAAATATTTGTTAATGGATTTAATTTATGAAATAATTATATTGTGATTCTTACTAAAATAGATTCATATAATCATATATATTAAATCTCTCTATTAAGTATATCAACAATTTTTAGATTTAACCTCTTTTATAATTAATAAAATAATCCATTTCTTAAGCCACAAAGCTATTACTAATTATTTTATATGGAAAAAAGAGAAACTTTTATGTATTAAACTTAAAAGTAGTACTGAATATAATAATATTATTTCTATAATTTTCATGCAAAAAATTTTTATTTTATTATTAAAATAAATCCTTTTAGTAAACTTTTTAAATTTAAAATATTATTAAACAAATTACCTTTTTTGAATCTAGATTAAATTTACTTTTTATTGGGAAATATTATTAAGAAAATGGTAAGGTTGTTAATTATTTAATAAAAACTTTACATCTAACTAAAAATTATATTTATTAAAAATACTTTTTATGAGTTCTTAAAATTTTATTTTTATTTTTTTGAAATTGTTAAAGTAAAATAAAAAATTATCTTTTAAAATGACTTTGTTTGTATTGCTCTACTTACTTTAGATATATAGGCTTCTATTAAAATTAAATATTTTTTAAGAAAATTAATTGCAAATATTAATATCTTTTATAAAAATTAAATCATGTTACTTGTATATAAAAATCCACTTTTTCAATTGTAAGAGTTTCATTTTAGTATTTTTTTAAGTAAATAGAAGCAACAAACCTTAGTATAGTTTAATATATTTTTTTGTAAAGACATTTTTGTATTTTGCTAATAAATAAAATTTGTAATTTAGATAATTGATTTGATATTTAATTTTAATCAAATTTATTTCTGAAATTAGCAAATATTTAAGAATCTAAATATAATTTGTTGATAAATTTTTAAAATGAAAAGGCTACTATTGATAAGTTTAATTGCATTGACTGTTCTAGCAGGTTAATATGAAAACTAATACCAACCTGTGATTGGAGTTTTGACTCAACCTTCTAATGATTTGAATTAAACTTTATATCCAGCTGACAAGTATTCATACATTTCTAGTTCTTATGTCAAATGGTTGATGGCTAGTGGTGCTAGAGTTGTTCCTATTCCTTATGATAGTACTGAAGAAGAATAAGATTATTATTTAGCTAAAGTTAATGGTTTACTTTTCCCAGGTGGAGATGCATCCTTATGGGTTGATGAAGAAACTCATACTGGATTATCTTAAATGACTTTGACAGGATAAAGATTAATGAACAAAGTTATAGAATTAAATAGAAATGGAACTTACTTCCCATTACTAGGTACTTGCTTGGGTTACGAACTTATTTCAATTGCTCTTACTAATGATGACAAAGTCTTAGACCTACTTAATTCTACTAACCATGTCCTTAACACTCAAACTTATCATAAATAATAAAGTTTGATGTATTCTTCTTTAAACAGCAAGTAATTAGAAGCTATTAGTAATTAAAAGGCACTTTACTATAACCACAGATATGGAATAACATTAGATCACTTTAGAAATTAAACTGTATTAAACTCATTCTTCAGATTAACAGCTTTTGCTTTTGATAACAATGATACAGCCTTCGTATCTTCATTAGAGGGTAAGGATATTCCCATTTTTGGTAATTAATTCCATCCAGAAAAGAACTCTTATGAATGGCTTAGCTCAGTCCATGCTAATCACTCTCCAGAAGCTATTAATGTAGCTTAAGCAATGGGAAATTTTATTGTTAATTAAGCTAGAAAAAATTAAAATTACTTTTCATAAGATGAGCTTGAGCAATACAACATCGAAGCTTTCCCATTAAAAACAGTTTATGAATCATTTGTTTCTGTTTATGTTTTTAAAAACAAAAATTTCACAGAGACAATCTCAGCTCCTAGTAATTTAAAGAATAACTTATGATATTGATATAAAAATTATTTTATATTATTAAATGCTCATTTATATAAAATTTTATCATAAAAAATCGTAAATAGTTATTTTAAATATTCTTTAAAATTAATTTTAAATAATAAAAAGCAGACAACGAATAAAATTATTTATTGATTCTTGAAATTTATTTTATTTAACATTTGAAATAGAAGTTAAAAATTTTTAAAGAATTTATTGAAATAAGTAAATTAGTAAATTAGACTACTTATTAATTTTTCTAATAAATATATTGATTCATTTAGCTATCTAAAAAATATTATTTTTAATTGGAGCTAACTCCAAAAACTTCATAAAATCAATCTTATTTCGTATTTATTTTAATTTAAGAAGACTTATATTAATCAAAAGATTCTTTGAAAAATTATATTTTTTTATTTCACTGATAGTCTTTTATTGAATTGGTGAGGAATGAGAAATGGGAAATGTAGGTAGGTCGTAGGTATATTACTAATTCTATAGATTTATTTTTACTAAATTTTTAAAATGAAATTTATTTTTTCCAAATACTTAATATTATTTTTAAAAAAGAAATAATTTTAATCAATTAATTTTATAATTAAATTGATATCCAAAACAAAATAAAAATATTATATTTAACTAATAATTCTGATGTCTTATTTTAGTGCAATGTATTATTAAACTAATAAAAATAATCAAAAAACTCTTATTTTTATATAAAATTATGAAGTAATTATTATTATAATTTATAGATATATTATATATATTTATTCATTTAATTTAATTTTGCTTAATTTATTTATTTAGGTTCAATCATTTTCTTCATCGAGAGAATCCCATGGACTATTTTCCTAATCTTCATCTAGGAAATTCTTTTTTAACTCTTTTCTTCTTTCTCTAATTTATGCATTAATTTTATAGGTTAAACTTATTGACTCTTCTTTAGTTAAAACTAACGGATTGACTTTGGTTACTGGTTTTAGTTTATACTTCATCCCTTTTATTTCTTCCATTAGAGACTATTTTACTTCTTAAGCAATAATTTTTGGTTTTGCAGCTATCAGACTGCTATTTCCTTAGCTTTAATAAGCATTTAGAGTTTACTAGTTACCAGAATCATTTTCTAATAATTTAACAAGGGGAGGAGCTTACGGGATGATAGGAGCAGCTCCCAAAATAGTTGAATTTCTTTATTTGATCATACTAGTTTTGGTTGTTGATGATTAACGAAGTCTTGAGGTTGACTAGAATGTATTTGCATTTGTCTGGCTTACATGAATCAAAGCTGCATTTTAAGTATTTATAACAGAATTTTTTCTTAGCATTTCAAAATTTGCTTCAGGATTAGATATAGGTTAAAATTATTACTTTTGTTGAATCATGTTTTCATGAATTTCCTTTTTTCTTTTGTATTTGCTTAGAAATTCATTTATAACATTATTTTTTATTCCTCCAACATTATTTTCATAATCTTTCTTTGAGACGCCTGCCTTCCTTAATATATCTTTTTCTGCTTTCTTTAACTTTCCATTTAACAAACGTGTCTCTTCTTTTTCTATATTAATATCCTAAAGTGGCTTATCATTTTCAAAGTTTTCTCTCAACTTAGAATCCTGAGCTAATTCAGGATAATTCATTTCTTCTATTTCTTTCAGCTCTTTTTCTTGATCTGTAATAAACTAAATTTCTTGATAGAGTAAATCAGCTTCCTATTTATTACTGAATGAGAATCCTATTAATGTTTGAGTATTGCTTAAGCGGAAGTAATAAAAAAAGTCATTTAGTTTGAAATAGAACTCATGGAAAAATTTGTAGAGATACAAACGAAATGTGACATCAAAGGTGTTCAAATCAAACATATAAAAAACATCTCTTCCTTCTTTTAATTCATCTGATATTGATTTATCTAGCCCTAAAGCCAAACCTCCTTATAAATTTGAAAAGGACCATCTATTGTTTGAAAAGAACCATATTCTGCAAGCAGCAATAAATCTTATTTCGATTTATTAACCCATTCTTTGTTTGATGTGATCAAAGATGTCTCTTGAAACAGATAAATTCATTTAATCTTTAAATCAATTATGTAATTTTAGCTAAAAATATATATTTTTATCAGCAAATATTGCAAAAACTAAATGCAAAATGGTTAATTTGAAAAATTTTTGCTTCTATTAGATTTATAAAAATAGAATATTGCTTCTTTCTAATATCTTAAATTTTAATAAATTTCTTTGCAAACTCAATAGAATTTAATATTTAAGGTTAATATTAAAATTAATTCACAAAAATTAGAGATTAATTATCATTGTATATCAAATAAACTGTAATCTCATTAAATTGCTTTACAGCAGTAATTAAATTTTAACAAATTTAAACATTCATTTTTATTTTAACGAATAATTTAATTTTTAATAAATAAAATATTTTTTAAAATTATAAATTTAAAAAGGTAGGTTGAGTAAAAAACAAATATTTGATCAGAATTAAATAAAATTAGTATTTTATAATTATAAATTGATATTTTTAATTAGTCAATTTTATAGAACTAACTCTGTTTCTAAATTAATTTAAACTCTTAATTCTTAAAGTAGTACATTTTATTTATTTATTATTTTATTTAAATATTCCTAAAAGTTTATGAGCAATTTTTATTAAATCCCATATTCAAAAAAGTAAAATATTGTCTTAAAAAAAAAATGCATGATGGAAGGATTGACTTCCTTCATTGTCAGACCGACAACCTTTTAAAAATTTACTAAAAAGTTCGTTAGGTGCTATAACATTATTATTATTTTTCTTTTGTTTTTGAATAGATTTTGATTGTTTCTTTGAGATATTCACTCTATTTTATTTAATTTATCCAATAATAATAATTGAATTACAATCTGCAAAATTTTTAATAATATATTGAAAAATCTATCATTTATTTTTGTTTTATTCTTATAGAATTTTTATAAAAGCATATGATTGTAAAATAGATAAAAAATATGATAAATTAAATAAAATAATTCTAAATTAATAATTTGAATTGATTTAATAAATTTTCTTTTTAAAATTAATGCCATAAAACAGTAAATAAATGCTCACAAAATTTAGAATGATAATATTTTATTCTTTAATATAAAAATTAATAAAGATCATTATTTTTTTTTCTTTGATTCGCCCTTAGAAGTAGTACTATGCTCTTTCTTTTCAGGAGATTACACTTCATCTGTGTATCTTCTCTCTCTGTCAATTTTCTGTAATAATAAAAAATTAATTAAATATATTATAAGGTTTATATGTCAAGTTAGAAATAAATTACTGCTTCTTGAGGATCTTCAGAGCAAAACAGACAGAATTAGAATATAATCAAAGTAAATAAAATTAAATATCCCTTCCAAGATAACAAGATATTTATAATACCTTCAAACTTACTTTTGTTGTATGCCTTAAATTTTATTTTAATTTAAATTTTTTCAGTTTTTTAATTATTTTAATATTGCTTACATCAAAATCTATTGAGGTGTCAAACTCGTCTTTTATTTTTTTTCTCAAATTTTCAAGCTTTTAAAATTACTCATCTTCTGAAAACAAGCTTGCTTCTTCATTCCAATTTCTAATAAGAGCTTGGTATTCATCATAATTGCTTTGTGCAATACCTCCTTTAATTAAAACTATTGCATCAACTTTAGGTAGATCTTTACCGATCTTACGGAATTCAACTATTAAACCCTGGTAAAATTAAAGACGTTCAACAAATAATAAATTCAATTATATTTATAATGTACCTAATGAGCAGTATCTAAAGCATTTTCACAAGCTTTTCCATTATGATAAAATAATTAATCAGACTTATATTCAAATTCAATATATAAATCATATGCAGCAAAAGGACCTACTTCTTTGACAATATCTACTTCAGGAACAACTAAACTATCACCGAATAAAATACTGAAAACTCTTTTGTTAGGTTCAGTGAAATAGAGCTTTAAATAAGTTAATAAAAATTTTTGCATTCTTATTAAGATATTCGAAGAATATTTTTGATCATTAGATTTGCTTAGTTGATCTATAAATAATATTTTATTTTGTAAATATATTAATTACTTCGCAGAACTTTAAAATAAGAGTATATGTTCCGAATTCTTTGACTGGGAGTGAATATGCAAAGTTTTCATCAGAGTGTCTTTCAGTTTTGTATAACTATTAGTCATCAGTATACTTAATAGTCTTTTTCATAATGGACTAGTTGTAAGTATAGTCAGCAATTTTTGTATTCTATGTGTACAAATTATCCTTTTTAAAAATTATATAGAATATTAATTTCTCATTTTTTTCCTGACCAAATATTTTAAGTCATGTATAAGTTATTTGATCTTAAATCCTGTTTGATGTTTTAATCAAATTTATATATATTTAATACTAAATCCATATCAGACAGTACGTTTTTAGCTGCTTTAAAAATTAAAAAATAATTTAATTTTATATAAATCATTATACAGCAGTATAAGTGATTCCATCTGATGATGACTTATAAGGGGCAGTGGAACCGCAATCTAAAGCAACGACAATTTTATCTTATCTCAATGGAATTGCTGAAACTAGATTAATTATGGTTAAAGCTAATAATAAAATCTAAACTCTCATATCTATTGATTTCCTTAATAAAACTTATATCTTTTCTTTAAAATTTTTATGAGAAAAAATCTTATTTTTTATCAAAAATAATAAATAAATTAAAATTTTCTTTATTTTTTATTAAGTTTTCATACAAGTGTAAAAAACTTCATAATAAATATCTTTTTTTTCAACAAAGAAATTTGGATAATCATTAGTATGACCTATTTATTTTATATAAAATATATTAAATAGTTATTTTCTTCTTAGCTTAAATAAATGTATTCATTCATTATTTACTTATCATTTTTGATAATCTGATTTTATGGATTTATTTTTTCATGCTTATCATTTGAATCTAAATATTTTTATTTTTTTATGATGAAAAATAAAAAAAATTAAAAGATGGTTTAAAAATTTTTGATTTTATGAATATTTACTCTTCATAATAATGTTTATTTTTAAAATATTTTTCATTTTATAAAGAATTTATTTTCTTTATTTTAAATATTCCATTTTTCTGTAAGAGAATTATTGATTGAGCTTATTTAAAAATTTTTATACTATTAAAATAATTAAAAAACTCTGAAGATAAAATGAATCTAATTATTTAATTATTTTTTTTAAATTTGAATTAAAAAAATCATTAAATTGTATTAAGATTGATTTTCAAATTTAATTAAATAATAATTCAAAATTCTCATAGTAAAAATAAGTTTAAAACTATGAAAAGTATTAAATTTTATTTTAATTTTATTTATTTAACTAAATTATTTTATTAATAAATTAAATCAGGACTAAATTCATAAATATCCAGTATGGACTCTTCATGATCAGTTTATTATTATAATAAGATTTAATTAATAAATAATATATAGACTATAGATTTAATAAATTATTAAATTATTAGATTATTTCACAGAATATTTTTATATAAAAAAGAGATTCGATAAAAGGATACTGTATTTTTAAAGTCTTTAGATTGTATCTTTAAATCTCAAATTATTTAACTAGTAAAAATAAATAATATTCATATAGTGAATTTGTATTTTTTTTTCTACTAAATATTTTTAATTTTTATTTTTCTTGAAAACTATAATCAGTAAAGCTAGTCAAAAATTTAAATAATTTAAACGTAGTAATTTAATTCAAAACTATTGGTGAATATAACTACTACAATATTAAATAAGAACAAAATCTCTACAGCAAAAACAAAATAATCCATGTTTGTTCATTTATTTAAGGATTCATAAATAATATAATTATAAAATCTTATTTTGACACAATCTAAAAGTTACTGGCTATCTCTCAAAATTAATAAAATAATCTCCAAATATGTTAAATGTACTGGAACAATATTTATCTAAATTTCAACAGATAAAAATCATAAATAGGATTTATTTTAAAAATTTTATATCTAAAACTATTAACTATAAAGAAAGAACACCAGAACTTGAAATATGCTCAAGTTATTTGTGGCTATATTAAAATATCTACGAAACCAAATATTTTTTAGATATCTATTCTGAAATACTTTCTTACAATTATTAATATGCTATTTTTAAAATTACATTCATTTTAACTTACTTTTCTTTGAATAAGAAAATTCATAATCTTCCTTTGTTAAATTAGAAGAATATTATAATAATCAAGATAAATTAAGAAATTTGGATTTTTATAATTTTTATATACTTTTGATGGCAATTTTGTATTTTAAAAAATATTTTATTGAGTTTTTTTAAGGTATTATTAATAAATATTTTATTATTTAAAAGAGAAGAATATATTACAAAATCGCTGAAAAATTCAGGTCAAAAAGTGTTTATTTTTTTTGGAAAAAATAAATATTTTGCTTGGCTTACTTTTGATTTTAATAAATTTACTTATATAAAAAGAAATGTAATTCAAATGGGAATATTTACTAAAAATAAAATTTAGCACACAAAGTGGTCGATGATATTTTAACAAAAATAGAGAAAGCATTGTAATAGAAAACAATTAGGAGCCAGCTTATTAATGCTATATTAATGGATAGCAAAATTACTTTATTAAATTTTAGATACAAAAAATTATAATTTAAGCAAAGATGTTTGTAAATTATTTAATAAATACCAATTCTTTCTTAGCGTTGATATAAAAAATAAGATAAAAGAGTAAAAAGAATTAATTTGTAAACAAAAAAAATCAATTAAATTATCAATCTTAATTTCTTAATTTGAAAACAGAAGTAATTTTTAGACATTTTTTAAAGCTAAACTCTGTTTTTTCTAAGGTACTTGGCAGTGTAACAATAGTAAATCTGATTGATATTGCTTTAAATGGATTTTGAAACAATTTAATAGCTTTTAGTCTCTTACTAAAATGGTACTTAGATTTCTAATGAGCACCTATAAGCACTTAGAGATAAAATCTTGTGTATCAGAGAGTTCCAAAATTTGCGTAAATAGTTAGATGGAGATAACAAGGTGTTCGACTAATGCCTGAAGTATTTAAAGTATGAATTTTACCCTAAAAATAGACTAATATTCTATACTGGATAAAAGAAGGAATAGTTTTATTTTGTGTTGGAAGGAAGCTGTGGATAATTTTAATAAAAGGAAGACTCTAATATAAATAAAGAAATTCATTACTTTGGAATACTTTAGGAACTTTAGTCTAATCTGAAATAGGAAGAGTCCAAATTAGCTCAAGTAGGAACATTGTAAGAGGAGTAAAATACATTATACTCTATTAAGATTTTGTAGTAAAAAATATCTGTTGCTGAAGCAACTCTATAAGTTTATAGGAAGGATATAGACTAGGCTAAGCTTAAAGAGGCTATTTTATCTGTAGAAGATAAGCAACTACGTCATAAGCTCTATTAGAAGCACTTTTAGCTTAACAATCTGTGCTTATATACAAAGGAAAAGGTGCTTATTAGTGGAGATAATATTGATTAGATCAACTTAAATGGGAAGGATAATAAAAATACAGTGATTACTTTAGAAGATAGCCATATAATAAGCATCAATATAGATGACTATTCTCGCGTTTTTTAACATATTGTAAAACAAATATAGCAAAGCTAAAAGATTATGAGAAACTATTTTCCTGATGTCAATGAAGAAATAATATAATTTCTATCGTATGAGTTTACTACACATTATTTCGAAAGAAACGAAGTCATCTACAGCTAGAATAGTTCAAATCCTTAGTCTTTTTTTATTCTTCTATAAGGAACTATTGAAATAAGAAAATATATTGAAAAAGGAAAGAAGTAATAAAATTGTAATAATAATTCTCAAATTGTTGACAGTAGCAGTAACACTATTAAATAAAAAACTGACCACACAATAACTTCTCATAAAAAATAATAAATTAACAATAATGCAGAAAATTAATTTGAATAGTAAATTGTAAGCGAAAAATAATCCAACTAACAACAAGATACATAAAATAGAAATACTGAAATCATTAAAATTGGAGTAGCAAAATAAAAAGAAGATGGTTAAAAGGCATTTAATGTTAACGATCCTTTTCACTCAATCATAGTTTATTGCGGATAGCAAGTTTTTGGTACTGAGTGCCATGGAAAAATGAATGAGTACTCAGCCGTTAGCATATCAACTGAAACAAAAGTTATCGCTCTTGATAAGAAAAAATTTGACTTGTATGACCATTAATTTAATTTTAGAGGATTTTTAAAGAGATAGGCAATAATATAAAATAAATTCTACTAAGAAAGACTATAAAGGTTGGCAGATTTTTCAAAGAAAATGCTGGATGAGTAGATAAAAAATAAATAACTTATCTAGACTTAAGTTAAGCAAAACATAATTCCTAATCAAATTTCTTGTTTAACAAATACTTCACCAATGAAGCTTAACCAGAAAGATTTGCAATAAGATTTACTAGAACAAAATGAGAGCAATAACAACGTATTTGATTTTTAATAAAAATTACACCACTAGTCAATAATAAAAACAATATTTTCTTCTCAAGGATAAGAAATATCCTTCAAAGATCTTATAGAAAAGCTAATTCAAACCAGAAGTAATAAATAAGATTTATAAATTAATTAAGAAGATTAGGCTGAAGAAATATAATCAAAAAAAGAGCCACAATCTTCTTAAAACTCCCCCAGAAAATAAAATTAATAATTTTAGTTACAATAGTAACATTCTTCAGGTGTAAATAGAGGCTTTGATTTTGAAATGAATGACGATAAAAAACGTAGAACTAATATATTAATTGATCACAAAGTAAAAAAACAATTAAATTATAAAAAAATAGAAAAAATAACTGATTACTAAGGCAATAGCACCCTACAAAAGAATGATTAAAAAATACCCTTGAACAGTAGTAATATAAATAATAGCAATATCAACAATTATAAAGGCGATGATTTGGCAATCTACTTACAAAAATAAAAACAAAGAAATCAATACGTTTAGAGAGAAGGTTAACTTCCGTGGTTAGATCAGTTTGGCTTTAGGAAAGAAATGGAACATGCAGCAAACTCACTTAGCTTAAATTAAATTTAAAAGAAAATTGATTACCAAAATTAAATGATCAAATAAATACAAAAGAGAAACAGCCAAGATTTATCTCCCATAAATTCAAACCGAAAAAGAAATTCTACATTAGAAAATATCAATGAAGGTAGCTCGTAGACTAATTTTCAAAATGAAGTTTAATAAATACCTGAAAAGATTTCTCAATAAAAAAGTTTTGTTAACCTTGATTTAATTAACAAGTAAATTCATATCATAAAATCAAGCATAAGCACTATGAAAGAGCAAGATTAGCAAGAATAAGAATAGATTTAAGATATGAAAAGAATTTTTTCAACAAACAGTATTTTGCTAAATCGTTCTCAATCAAATAGTCACTCCACTTAAAAGTGTAATTAAGAATTACAGTCAAATCTTTCGCAGTCCTACATAGCTAACTTTAACAATGAAGTAGTTAGCTCTTCTCATAGATCCCAAAGCTAAAATATCAGCTCTTGCAGCCTTAATTCACCAGGTTAGAAGACTATTTTAGAATCTTTAAATTCTCCGAATAGCTTTGTGCAACAGCAAAGAAATAGAGAAAAGATTAGAAAAACTAAAAAATTTAATTCTGCAATAATAAGTAACTGTAACAACCTTCAGCATATTTAATAATAACCAAATAGCATCAAGTCTTCTTCTTAAATTAATATTCATAATGAGTTTTGTTCTTAAAAAGAAATCCCCTCTCTCAGTATCTTTTCGCCTCTGCCAAAAAAATAAAGAGCTCTTTAATCCCATCATGTTGAATAGTAAAAAACAGAGCTTCCTTTAATTGAATGTACTCCATCAATAAAAAGCCAAGTTAATCTTCTTAAAAAGAGAAATTTAATAGCAGAAAATTTCTCGCCCTCTATCAATACAAGGCTAAATATCTCTTAAAAGATTGATAAATCTCCAACTTCTATATCTGCCTCACATAACCATCTTCTTACAGATAGATTGGTTATAAGTGATACCTATAAAGATTATTCAGTATTACATGTTAAAAAGTTATCAGAAAATTTTAGTATAAACTCTCCTCATTCTTGTTCTTCAGTTAGGTAGATAATAAATAGATAACTTAGTTAAGACTAGCTTACACCCTCTACTCTTGCTCCTTCCCCTCTTACATTTTCTCATGGTCAATAAATCTCATTTTCAAATTTCAAATAAAAATCTTCTCACTTTATCAGATGAAATTTAATAAATTTCAAATAAAATAAAAAAGTAAAAAATATTAAATAATGAATGATATTTAAATATAAATTTATATCAAACTTATCAAAATAACTTATTATTATATTTTTATATATAACTTTTTACAAACTCTATAATAAATCTTTATTGATTCTCTGAAAAAATTTAAATATATACCCAAATCTTCTATCAACAATAACTTTAGATGTTAACTTGGCTAGTTTGACGAATTACAAAATAGCCAAACAATTCAAAATAAATTGAATACAAATAAATTATTTATGAGTAACTTAATAGATTAGAGAAACTATTCACTTTTTGAAATCCTGATGTATCAAATTTATCAAATTATTTAAAATTTGTTTATTTAATTGTTACAAATTCTTTAATTTTCTTAATTGATTCTATAAAAAAATTTAAATACATTCCTAAAATAAAAAATTTTCTTTTATCAACTTTAAATATTAAATTTGTTTAATTGTTTGACGAATTACATAAGCGTCTGTATAGAAAATTTCAAATTGAATATATTTAAATTGTTTATAATTAACTTTTATATTTTATAAACTATTTGCTACATCAAATTACATAAAATAAACTGATTTTAGTCCATAAATATTTTAACTTTGATATCAAAATAAAATAATTTATTTTAAAAATAAATTAAGCAAAAATAATTTGTGGGTAAAAAATTTTTTTTATTTATATTATTTAAATATAAAGGATCAATTAAATAATTTGTAATATATATTTAGTAAACAAAAATCTTTACTACTTGCTTATAATTTTATTTAGATCAGATAAAATTTAAATTTTTCAAAAGTATTCTTTTAAAATTTAAAGTAAAATGAAAAACTAAAAAATTTCACATAAAAATTTCAAATAAGAAGTTTGATAAAATATTAAATTAAAAAACATTTTTTTAATTGTTTAACTTTTCTAATCTATTAATTAAAAAAATATATAAAATAATAAGTTATTAAGTTTTATTGAAAGGCTTTCAACTAAAGATTATTAAGTTTTTTGTTAATAAATTAGATCAGAAAAAAAAAAAATTTAAATTATTTGGTTTGTAGATATTAAAGTATCAATTTTTACAAATTTCTGATGATTAAATAGGTTAATATAGATGAGTTGAAACATAATTAAACAGAAACAAAAGTAAACTAAAAATTAGATATCAAAGTAAATGAATGAATAAATGAATGAATACAAATCATATAAAGTTAATAAATAACACAAACAAAATTATAAAGTTATTAACTCTCATTATTGAAATATGTTGATATAGAAAATGAGATAAGTTAGAGAGTATAAAAGTAGTATTAATATGCACCATTTATTTTAGTAGTAGAATATTATATTTATTTAATTGTATTTGTTGTGCTCTCATTATTCAGCTTCTAACTTTTACTTCCATAATTCAGTGTATTTAACTATTTCTTTAACCATCTCTCTTTGGAAAGGCATTATCTCATTCAGTAATGTTAAGGCTATTGTGATAGGAGTTATTACTGTGGCTTCAAACACACGGAAAGCAGGGAATTTCTTTTCAATGTAGTAATGGCCTAAGAACTAGAAAACTTAGAATATGAAGACAGCCAAGGGGAAAAAGTAGAAAGGGAAAACATTAGAAAGGAATGGTTTAATTAAATGAGATAATCCAAGATAGAAGATGGTGATTGGAATTGAAATCTTAGAGTATACCAAAGTGAAAAAGGCATACCAGGTGTATAAACCTATGAGTCCTAAATAATCTTCCATTTGAGCTGTCAAAAGGGAGAAAGTAGCAATGTAGCAAAATAAATGAAGTACTCTGTTAGTATTCTCTAAGTGGTAATAGTTGGCGAAGGCCATTTCATCCTCAAGACATTTTCCTTTAAATAAACCCTAGTAAATTCTCCAGTTTAAAGGTTAAGAAACTAAGTCGACAATCCACATCTTTCTTCTTGCTTTATGTATGTATGTATTTATAGAGGTAGTTATTTGCTTTTTTATAGTTAACTATCTGATATTTAGTAGACCTTAATTTGCAAACTAATATATATTTTTTTAAATTTATTTAATTTTTTACAAATTATTTATCAAAACCACTTTTTACCCTTAGTATTTAAAACATGCCATTAATCAAAATTCCTTTTAAAATACTGTTTATTTGTGTCAACAAAAATTTAGGCTTTTTTTTTCTCTAACCCTATGGTTGTCTAATAATATAATAAACTGTAAGTTAAATCAACTAAAATTAAATAATAACACACTCAGTTTTTTGAAATAATAAAACTAATAATCATATAAAAAAATAAAGTATAATTTTTATTTAAAACTATTTCACCTTTTACAAAATTCTTTTTAATTGTGTCATAACTATTGTAAGCTATGTAAAAAATTACTTTCATATTTCCCTTAAATTAGTTGATACATTCATAATTAGAAAAATTCAAATGAATTTTTTTTATAATTAACCCTTAAGATAATTGCCAGCGACAACAAAATTAATAAATTTAATATTATTAATAGCTTACTAATCTAATTATTTAAGTCTAACCTAAGATTGATACTCATAATCTTGTAATTTAAAGAATAGATTGATTTGATATTATATTATTATAAGGCAGTAAGTAAGTAATACTTCTTTTTAAAATTTGCTTATTAAAATTACTCATATATTTAATGTCAAACATTTAATTTTAAAATTATAATATAAAACTCATTAATTTTTAGCTAATTGTATAAAAAAACTATTCCTTTTTTTAGTTTTGTAACAAATATTTTAGAAACAAAAGCTTGAATCAAATTTAATCAAAGTTAATTTAGTTGTCATCAAATCTTTAACAATTTGATTGAAAATTTACTATGAAAATTAGATCAACTATTACTTAGATAATTAAGCTTATCTGTTAGATTGATTTAGTTCGAACATAATTTACCTAAATTTTAATCAAATTTGCGATGATTTGTTTATTTATGTAAATTCATAAATAGATTTATTTTTTTTTTTCAGCCTCATTATATATTTATCTTTGAAATTTGAGGATAAAACAATTTTATTTTGTTAAAGTCCTAATAAAAAATAAAATTTTGAGTGCTTTATTTAAATAAATGAGTAAAATGTTGTTTAACTATTATTTTTTAGAAATTAATAATGCAGTTTACAATATTATATATTATAATTTCACTAAAAATAACCACAATTATGAATTTAATATCTAATTTATTTAGTACGTGTCAAGGAAAATGCCTTTTTTACCCCTCTGGCCCATAAACGCCCCGAATGTTAATTCTCTGCTAGATCATATAAAAATTCAAATTTTGAAAGAAAAATAAGCAATCAATTTTATGATATTTGTTCTATTATTTAGCAAAATGGAAATAGTTTACAAAATTACTTGTTCATTTGAGCTGGTAAATATTGTCAAAATATTATTTCATCTTTCTTGTTGACAATTTACTATAATAAAATTTATTTATCTTTTTTTAAAAGTGTTATTGAATTTGCTCAAAAATGTCAAAAACCAAAGCAAATTAACTTATTAACAAAATATTTTTAAGAAATAATGGATCCTATGCACAAAAAAATATAATATTTCATATCTTTGATAATTCATTTCTTCATACAATTTTTGTTTGAATAATATATTGTAAAATAATTTATAAGTAAATTAAAAGAAAAAATATAAAAAATTGTATCACTCCTTAAACAGGTGTATACAGATTTACAAAAATTATGAGAATTTATTTAATGATATTTTTATATGTATGATAGATAATATTTGTTTTATGTTGAAATAGTAATTTCGAGTTTATGAAAGTTTGTTTGCCTAAGAAATTTTACATATAAAATTGTATAAATATTTATAAGTTCTGTCTGTTTTTGTTTTGATTTTTTAGATTAAATTATAATAATGTATTTTTAAAGTTGAATATTCTTATTCCTATAAGTTTATATCTTATAAAAAAAAGTAGTATGCTTATTAATAGGGGGTCAAGAAGATATTAAAACTAATCTTTCATCTAAAGAGTCGAGAAGTTTATTAACTCTTTCTACTTCTTCCTATAAGGAATGAAGATAAGCGTCTTTTTCTGATGAAAATTTAGAGCTTATTTGTTAATTGTGGTCTTCGATAAGTTCATCGTAAAGGCATTCTTCTCCCTTTTTAGCTTATTCAATCCAAGCCTATGCAGTTGCTTTTATAGCTTCTCTTTTTAACAAGAAATGTGTGTATATGACTTACTGAAATTCGTATGGAGGATTTTCAATCATATCTCCTATTGCGTGCTAAATGTTATAATACTTGACTATATTGCTATAAGCTCTATTACACTTATCTCCTTGTTCGCTTCCTTTCCATTCTTAATAATAAGGCTCATTAAAGTAAACATCTTCATTCATTATGAGACTTTATATACTGATTAAAATCTGATAAATATTTGAGTTAGTTGGGTCCCAATTTTCAGATTAATCTCCTTCCCAAGTACCAAGAAGTGAAATACACACCAACCCATCTGCATATAAATTAGGATTGAATCTAATTGAATTATCTTTAGTAGAAACTATAGAAACCTTAGGAGGATTCTAAGGATAATCATCAGGAATGAATATATCAAAGAAATATGCACCATGAGCATATGGAGTATCTTCTGAACCAAAAATAAGTGCTCTCATTACATCCAGCCTTTGCTCATCATAAACTAAGAATATGCTATTGCTACTTTAAATGGGAAGTGATTTAGCTAACTATTTTAGCTCATTTTTAAGTCTCTAAACTTTGACATGAGTTGATACTAAAACTGATTCAGATTTAGAAGCTATCTGCTTGTAGAAGTACTTAATTGTATTTGTTTACTCTGTTTCCTATTAATTTTCAGTTTATTGCAAATTTTCCTTTTATTAATTTAATATGATCTCATTTTTATTCAAACCATCTCCAATAGTTACTTTTAAAGGGTGGCTTAATTTTTTTGTTTCACCATCTTTCTCATTTGGTTTATTACCATTGCTCTCTATTGTAATAGATTCTGAATTTAAACTGTTCTCTTCTGCCTTTCTCACCTGTTTTTCTTCTTGTTTTTTCGTAGGCTAATTAGCAATCACTGGATTGAGTATTCTAGAGCTACGTATTTTCATAGGAGCCATTATACGAGTATAATTTTATAGGCTGTTTTCATGAATTTTATCAACAGGACCATCGTAAAATTCTTCTATCCATAATGAAGACTCGTGCATTCTTAGCAATACAGACTCTTTGCATAGGCTAGGTGTATAGGTACGGTTCTGAGGCAGATTTTCCCAATGATCTAGTTACTAGTTATTGTTTATTACAATTATCTTAAATTCCAAATCAAATCCTTCTGGAATACGCAACTGTTGCTCACTACGCCAAATCGGATACAGTCCTTCATACGTAGATAACTAAAGACCATTTGCAGGTTACCAATCACCTAGCTGAGGATGATTACCAACTAATAAGACTTTTTATCCAAAACTGGTATGAACCTTAGCTTCAAATCTAATATTAATCATTTTTATACTGAAAAGAAAGTGCCTTTAAACAAAAACTAAATATCTGAAGTGTGTCTTTTTTAACTACTGCTCTTTTTAAATTTTTCTACTAAATTGATTGTTTATTAGTATCTAAATTTTATGTATCTTACTATATTTTATAATTGAAAATATGCAATTTATTATTAATACTATAGTATATACTAACCTAGAATTTATATAGAAGAATGAAACAAATTCTAATCTAATCTATTCACTTGATAAAAATCTTAGTAGAGGCTTGAGGATCACTAGCCATAAGAAGAATAAAAACATTAATTTTTAAATTTCTATTTACTACAATTTAGAATAGAAAGAGGAAATTCTGACTACATAGAATTCTTCTGTTGTTTTTTTATGAATTTATAGATAAGCAAGCAAACAAACAAGCAAAAATTAACGTTAAATTCTGAAAAATATTTCTTTATATTAGCATACAATTTAGAAGACTGCTATAATTTTTATCTTATTTTCAGTGTATTAAACTATAAATCACTTTGAAAAAAAAAATAAAATAATAAATATTATTTTTTTAAAATGATATTCAATTTAGATCAATTATTTATTTATTTTAAGCTTAATTTGAAATTCCATCAAAAATTAAAAATAAATTATTTAATAAATTTATTTTTTTTAATTTAATTTTATTTTGAATCTACGAAATATTGAAAATATCTTTTAAATTAAAGTTAGAAAAATATTTTATATAAAAATTTATACTATGCCATTTTTAAGTAATTAATAAATTAGATCAGTTTAGTCTTAATGAAAATGTTTGGTACACGCGGATTTTTAATTGATAGAATTAAAGATTATAAATACAGTTTTGATGACTTGGTAATGTTAAATAAATAGAATTTAGAAGGTAGTTATCGATAAATAATATCATTGTTTTAATATATACACATAGAGATATCTTTTCACAAATATAATAATTATATTAACACGTTCATACTTTAGCTATTGAATTAAAAGAAACCATCAATATTAGCAGAAGAACAAAAAGAAATATTAAATGGGAAATATAGAAAGCGAAAGCGTTCAATAGAACGTAGATAATGTTATTAATGAAAACGTTGCACAGACTGCTGGTTCTGGATTTAGTTTTACTCCAGTTTTAGTAGCTTTGCTATTGATAGCATTGACTTTATATTTTATATTAAACCGTAGTGGAAAAAAGCCTCCAATGGTTAAGAATAAAGGAAACGCTGTATTTATTATGGGAGAGTGTGCTGCAGGAAAAACTGCCTTACTTTACTAGGTAATCAAAAATTTATTTTTTAGAAATGTGAGAGTTAATTTCATAATTTATTGTTTAAAAAATAATAGCTTGCAAATGGATAAACTACTTAAACTTGCTCTTCTATTGATCCAACTGAAACCAACATAGAAGTTAAATTCAATGAAGTAAAATATTATATTTAAGAAGTTGACTATTAATAGTAGTAGTATTAATAAGAATAAATTTATTACTTAATAGGATGAGTCAAAAAAAATTAGTTTTGTTGATGTCCCTGGTCATAATTACACTAAGCATAAATTCATTAATGAATTAGGAGCAGCTAGAGGTATCATATTCTTGATCGATAGCTCTAACTTGTAATAAATAAAATTTTGAAACTAGCTATATTCAGATTATATTAAATACATTTAAAAAAAAGGAATTCTTATGGTAATTCAGTTGATTACTTGTACCATATAATGATTTAGAAGGTTTTCCAAGATAAAGAAATTCCAGTTTTGCTTTGTGCTAACAAGGCTGATTAACCAAAAGCTTTAAAACTTAAAGATTTCGAATATCAAGTCGTTAAAGAATTGTAATTACTCCTTTATTATTAAATCAATAACTACTTAAATTTACTACTAGTCCATCAAATAAATCTATTTTAAATAAACAAAGTGAAAAAGTAAAGAGATCAAAGAAAGCTATTTAAGAAGAGGAAAACGATTAGATTGAAGACTACCTTAAAGTAAATTTTCATTAAAAAATATAAAAAAATAAATATTTATATATTTGTATTAAAACATATAAAATAAGCATTAAGATTAAGAGTTTAGCTTCCAAGGTACAAATATTACTTTATGCGAAACAAGTGTTGTTAATAACGAAATTAAGCCTATTAAAGAATTCCTTCAAAATATTTTCTCTTGATAACTTACTTTCTGCCAATTTTAATATGTACATATTTATTTGTGTAGCTTGCATCTAATTTAACCACCTTAATTACATTTTTGAATTTCTTTTAGTTCTGTATCAAACAAATAACTAATTTCAGTAATAAAAAGAACTAAAAAAAATTTTATTTGCTTTCTAATTATATATATATATATATATTAAGCTACACATTTTTTAGTAGTGTGTAAAACTCAATTTATTTATTTATTAAAAGTCTTAAGTATTGATCATAAAGAATAATAGTAAAATATGAATATATATAAATATTAATTTTAATTAAAATACAAAATATTAAAGATAATATTGAACATTTTGGATTTTATGATAATTAATTCCTTTTTAATCCATATTCTAAAAAATAAAAATTATTTTTTATTGTTAAGGAAATACTTAAATGAAGCCATATTTTTTGAATTTTTGATTTTAAGTTATCGATTTAAAAAATATATTTACAAAATAATAAATTTCTAATGTTTTATAAGTTAATGGATCTCTTAACTTGTTTAAAAATATAAATATTTTTAATTTTTTATCTTTGTTATTTTAAAAATATTTTCAAAAAAATTATTATTGAATATTTTACTTAATAAATGTAAAATTAAAACGAAATAGAAAAACTAAAATTTTCAAATAATGTATGTAAAATAAAAATCATAAAAATAAAAAAAATATCGTGGTAAAAATTAAATAATCTTCACTCTAAAATTTAAAAAAATATTAATTTAAGAAAAAAATAAATATTAAAAGCTAAGTAAATTCTATTTATTTTTTTACTGATAATTAATTAATATCTGGGTAATTTAATTTATTTAATTAATTTTTATTATCTTTTCTTTAATTATTTAGTTTTATTTTTATTTAATTTTTCTTCTTTTTATGAAATTTTTATTTATTTGTTTAGTTTATTAATTTTTTATTTAATTGTTTATTTAATTAATTAGTTCTGTCTGTTAAAAATCTTTTCTTCGTTGTAAATATTGATCGATCTATCTATTTCTCTATTTTATTTTGACTTGTCTCTTTTCTTGTATCTAAACTTAAAATAATTTTTTTAATAATTTTAACATAAAAATAGGATAAAGAAGTAAAAGGGAAGAAGCTTTTATCATTTTTTGATAAATCCTAGTAATTTTTTTTTAGGATGGGTAATCATATTTCATTAGGATTTTTTGATTTCAAAAACTTATTCGATTTAAAATGATTAAAAACTATATTGATACATAGAAAGACATCTTGCCAAAAATTTATATAACAATCTATGTACTACCTCATGATCTATGATTATCTATCCTAATAAATGAGTTGCAAAACTGAGAAAATACCACACTAACCACAAAAAATGCTTTCTGAGGAATTAAAGAAAGATTAAAAACTTCGAAGGTTATCGATAGTAATCTTATAAAGGGCTTCAAGTCTTTAAAAGACACTATTGCCTGCAAATTAGACTGTGGGATTTTTTATTAATCAGGTTCCACATTAATATCTAAAAATGCCGGTTTAAAAAACTTTAATATCAATCGATATTATATGCTAATTCATCTTTCTTTCATTTTTTTAAGATTAGTGCATTTATTAACTCAATTTTTTTAAAAAATACAAAATTTAATTAATCAAAATTTTATATTAAAGTTTTTACTTCAATTTGCAAATTTAAATGTCATGAAGAAAAAAAAATTGACAAAATAAATAAATCTTTAAACATAATTAACATGATTTTTATTTTTGATATCTTAAATATGTTAAAATGATACATAGACGTTTAGCCAAGTCTTCAAATAAAAACAATATAATATTTAAGACAGCCACCATGATAAAATTATATAAAAATAAAGACATATAAATAATCAATAAATAAAATTATTTATTATTTAATTAATGAAAAACAAATTCCACAAAAATTAAATTTTAAAATGTATGATTTAAAAATAATAAAAATAAAAGCATTTTTATGGTAAATATGAAAAAAAAAAACTTTATTTTAAATAGTGTAAAAGTAAATAAAAATGAGGATTGATAGATAGATTTACAGATATTTGATTATTGTAGAAAATAAAATGCAACTATTATTTATACTAATTAGAGATGAATAAATATATACATACAGATTATATAGAAATATTTTATTATTAATATACTTTATCAATTTTTTTAAAGTTAATATCTTTATTAACTTGAGAGAGATTAGGAAAGGCAAAAGAGAAGTAGTCTTTTAATTAATTAATTAAATTCAAATTTTATTAAACAATAAATTTTTTTAAGGACTATTGTTTGTAGTTAATTATACAAATATTTAATTAGGAAAAGTTATTACCATCAAAAGTAAGATAATTTTTAATTTTTTTTTAAATGAGAGATGTTATTTGTTATAATTAAAAATCATTTCTTTTCAGAAGTTTTTTAGACGGCTTTTTGTTGAGAAGCTTGATATTGTTACAGAAGTTATTAATTAATAGATTTGTTATTAAGTCCGTGATAATTTGGGAGTACTTCTAGATTAAGTTTTGGAATTTTACTTTTATATTTTTTATGTCCCATCATTTTGTTAGCCTAACTTCCACTTTCTATAAGAGAAGTATCTAACTTGTTAAAAGAATTATCTGTAGCTAAGGTGGATCTCTTTGCATTTATATCAACAGAAAGACTTCTTACTATTTTATATTAAAAATAAATTAATTAGAAAAACATATTACTGTTAATTAATAATTTTACTTTTTTCATTTGTTATTTTAGGTACATTTTCATCAGCAAGCATTGAAGGAGCAAAGTTAGGATTGGGTTTTATTTTTTATGTTTCAGGTATAGTTTATACGTTTGCAATTATGTTAGCTTTATTATTAAAGTCTTTCAACACATTATTTTGGTTTGTAGGCTGTTCAAATATCTATGTACTAATATTTTTTTTATTACTATTTTCTAAGTATAGGGATTGGTCTTTATTAGAAGTACTTATGTTATGCTATTAAGTGTAATAGTTTGTTGTGCTTATATTTAATAGACTATTGTTTTGCCCTTAATACTATGGAGTTGCACTAGAAATATTCATATTTTATGGTAAGAAATAGGACTATTTAGTTGATTGCATTTAGTTTTAAATTGAAAGTGGAGGAATGTTTTCATTTGTTGGGAGAGTTTAAGCGATTTGCTTGACAGTTGATTGCTAATTGTAAGTGTTATTAAGGTTGCTCATACTTGTATTAGTTGTGTTCATTACATTTGTATTTACATTAGTTATTTTGCTATTATTTGAATTGCTGGATTTTTTATTTTCAAGGAGCAGAGATTTTAAAATCTATTATAAAAATTAAAAAAAAAAACATTAATTTTATTTTAAAATTATTTTTCAAAAAAATATTTTTTAAATTTCCTTAGTCAAAAAGTAAAAAAATTACTTTATTTTCTTCGACTACTAATTTAATTTTGCGTTCTAAATGCTCAATGTAATTTTTAGATCTTTTGAGTTCCTCTTCCATAGCAACATATCTAATAATTTAAAATTAAAAACAATTAAAAATCAAATTCAAATGTATTTATTTATTTTATTTTTAACTGATTTTTTATTTTTTTTAATCAAAAATATCTTTTGATTAATAATTTCAAAATTCAATTCATTCCTTGTGTATTTAAACACCTTTAATTAATTGTAACAATATATTACTTTGGATCTTTGTCAATAGATTTTGTTGAGAAATTGCTGCTTAGCGCATTAAATTCTGGATTATTATTTAGATTTATGCTTGATGCCTGATAATTTCCAGATATATTCATCGATTTATTTCTTGAATGTTTGTGTTAGGGAAGTGGTGCTATCTTTTAAGCATCTTCATATGATTGTTTATTTTAAACTGTATTTTTACTTGATGCAGATATAGAACTGATTAAATTATTAGGAATTCCATCTGTGGAAACATTTGAAAATGGCTAAATTACAGGCTTTTCTTTAGGCGCAGAGTGCTGTAAATTATTGTAAAAGTTAGTTTAAGAAGTAGTTTAAAGATTGATTGAAGTGTTCAATTGTTGTTAAGCTAAATTTTGATTGAGTGCGGAATTAGTTGAACTTAATGTATTAGTGCGTAAATGGTGAATATAATCATCGCCTTGGCTTGTAAATAAATTTTATTATTGAGATTGATTGCTATAATCTTCAGGATGAGGCTAACTCATACTTTTGGTGATAGAAACAAATTAGTTTGGAGGTTAATTGAGGGAATTAGTAACTAGTGAATCATTGTAATATTTTTAAAAGGAAGTCTAATTATTATTCATAGACTAATTATTTAATTAATTGCTTGGAGTTGCTGAAGAGTTATTATTTCCGATGCTTGTTTAGTGCTAAGGATTATTCTTCACATCAGAATAAAAGTTTTCATATGAAGTACGAAAATCTAGTTAACTTATTTAGAATGAATTTGGGTTATTTTAATAAGGGGTACCACTGCTGCTGCCTCCCTTGCTAGATTAGGTTGCCAAATTTATTTATTACTAATTTTAATTTGAATGTTGAGCTATATTAAGAAGCTTTTGCTAATCTTAGACTCCTAACTCTGCTGGATGCTAGCTGATTTTTTCAAATTACTAATCTTCATTCACTATATTATAAATTAAATTAAGATAAAAATATCATCATTATTATTATTATAAAAATAAAATAAATGTATATATTATATAAGTATCTATCTATCTATTTATTAATTTATTTATTTAATATTTCTGAAAATTGTTGTTAGGATTATGTTTCAAATTAAGTTAACACTCTATATAAGGAGCGAAACAAAAAAAATAAATAAAAATCATTAGAAAAAAAAATTTTACTCTTCTTTAAGCAATCTCTAAATATTTTTGTAACTTTATCATCGCTAAGAAGGAGTTAGATCAAATTTCTAATGCAGTTCACATTTGCTTCTTTTTCATTTCTCCCAAACCCTAAATTTAGTTAAGTAGAAATAAGTTAATTTTTTTAGTCTTTAATGTCAATAATGCATACCTGTTGCTTTTTTCCCGTTGCAAACATAAACTGATTCATAGCTTTTGTTATTTAAAAATCAAAACAGTTTTTAGACTGTTTAGTAACTATAAAATATTTTACCATTTATATGATGTAATTTTGCAGTTCTTTTCTATGGAAAACTCAGAATAAGAAATAAAAGAGTTGAAGACCCTTAACAAATCATCTTCATTAAGAGTGCTAATTATACTCAGTAGGGGTTAAGATAAAATTTTGTTATTGTTATATTGACTGCTCATGCAAGATTATCTACTAAAATTATTTAAGGTTGACTATAAATGAAAGCTATAAGATATTTATTTGTCTTTCTATTTGAATTATATGGAAGAGGAGCCTTTCCAATTAATTAATTTTTTTCTTAAAGTATTAAATATTTTGTTTGGTATATTAATTATTATCAATTCGATACAATCTGTTTGTATAAATAATCAAATTTATTAATTAATTGCTTTAACTTAAAATCAAAATTGAAAAAAAAAAAAACAAATAATTTTTAACTGATAAAAAAACATTCACTAATTTGATTTACACTTTTTACTATCTAATTTGCTACTTAATTCAATGATAGTGTTAGATAAAAATCTTATATTTATTTGAATGGCAACCATATGTCATATCTACTTTAATATTTAGTCAATTCTTAAACTGAAAAATGGATTTTTTGTATGTAGATAAATTAATTAATTTTTTTAGTATTCTTTTTTCAGTAATTAAGCAATAAAATAAATACAAATTTTGAATAAAAAAACAATTAAAAACAAAATTAATTTATAAAATATATTTTTTAATCAATTTTTTATAGAATAGAATATATTTTTAATACAAATAAACTTAAATTACATACAAAATTCTTTTTAATATTTCAAATTAGTTTATTAAGTAAAGTTGATATAATTAAAAAATAATTTATGTCATGAATATTAATATTTATCACATTATACATACAAATGCACTAATTAAATATTAAATATATTTTATAAAATATATCATCAGTCATTATTTTATATTTTTTTAATACAAATTCAATATAAAACCTTTTATTAATTTCAAATTTTTTTATCATAATCTTGGAAAAATAAAATAAATAATTCAATAATTTAATATATTAATTTTAAAAATTTTTGTTTATGACCTTAACTCCTAAGTATATAATTTCTTGTAATTTAAATATTTTATTAGTTTTTATCTTGTTTTTTAAAATATATTTAATCAGTGATCGACCATTAATTATTCTAAAATATAATATTTAAAAAAATAAATTTAAAATTAAAAAATTTGAATATATTTTGATATTCTCATTCAAATTAGAATTATGAAAGGATTTTAATAAAACATCTAGTTCTATGAAAATTAAAAGTTAATCTTGATTAAATATAGAAATGCATGTATAATTTGATTAATTTTTTTAATGATTGATTATGTCTTTTTGTTTGAAAAAAAATAAATTGGAATTAAATAAATATATCTTTTGCTTCTAATCAAAAGTATTAATGCTAAAGTTAGTTAAGATTGCAATATTTTTTAGTTGAATATTTTTAATTTTTCATATAAATAAAAGTAGGCAATAAAAAACATAAGAAGAATCACACTTTTAATAAATTGTATATGTAGATCTTTTAAATTAATTATATGCTTTGAAAAACAAATATTATAAAACAATAATAATTGATAAATAAAGGATATTTACACACATGCACATTTACTTATGTATCTCATATAAATCACTCTTAGAATATACACAATTATGACTTATATTTAATTTATTGTATTTAATTAGTAAAATTTAGTATTTTGAATTATGCTTAATATTTATTTTTAATGTATAGTAAAATTAGTATAATTTGCTTAATTAATTATTGATTTGCTTGCTATCTTATTATTAATATTTTTAGATAAAAATTATTATAGTTATTCATTTATCTTGAATCCATACATGCTAAAGAGCTTCTTCTAAGGATGGCCTTTGCTCAGGATTAGGTGAAAGTAAATATCTCAAAAAATCATAAAGAAGAGAAGATTCCCTAAGCAAATTAAAATTCTATTTAATTTCAAGAATCTTTTCATTTAGCTCATGCTTTTTATTAGAAATATTATTATTGATTTTGATGACTGAATATTTAAAAATATTATAAAAATAATTACAATTTTCTTAGTAGCTGAGTGGTTCGAACTTGATAATTGCATATCTCTAGATAAATTATTTTAATCCATGAATACAGATGTTTAGAAGCTTTCAATATACTTATTATTCAAAATTGATCCATCGTTATTTAGACAGCCATCTTCATCATCTTCATTTTCAAATACTTTCTTAATCTTTTTAATTATAAAAGTAATCATGGTAAAAACAATTTTTATGCTATTTTTAGATAAATTCAATCTCTTTTAAATATTTACAATGAAAATAATTTCCTTCTTATCCTAGGTTTTAAAAAGGGTTTCTCCTGTAAGTAGCTCATACATTATACATCCTAATGACCATACATCAGACTTAGTAGTATATTCTATCCCTAGGATTATTTCTGGTGCTTAGTATCTTAAATCTCCATACTCAAAATTATCAAAATTGCATGTGTAAGAAGTTTCAATCTACTAACTATGCTCAAAATCGCTTATACATATCTATATAAATGAATTAGTTAATATGTGTTTAGATTATAGATAAAAATTATATTACATTAATAGTTTATTTAGTAAAGTAGTAATTGATTGTCTAAGGAGTCAAATTAAGGTGTATTATAGATAAATTGTAAAGGTTCTCTACTATCTTAAATGCTTTCTGCATAATCTATTTATGGATAAAATTTTTTAGTTTTAATAAAAGAGAATTATTGTATTTGTGGTAATATCTTTATCAAATTTTTATTTGTAATTTTTTAGATTTAGTTTAATTCTCTTTTCATATTTTTTTAAATTAATATTTACAGTCTTAATTGAATTTAAGGAGAGGAATCTCTTATTAATATTTAATATATTCTTCCCTATATAGTCAGTTACCACGAATAATTTATTCTGTTTTTAAATAATATATTTTAAAATTACATTGATTGGAATAAGAAAACTTACTCTATAATAAAAAAAATCTCTCATTTTGCAAATTCCACTTTAATGAAAAGATAAATTGAATTCATAGAGATGAAGATAATTTGTAATCTCTTTCAATCCCAGATTGAAAGATGGTTCATATATCTTAATTGTAACCTATTCATTCTTTGATTCCTAATTGAGAGAAATACCCTAAAATTAAATAAATGAATTAATGGTTTTAATAGATTTATTTCATTTAATAAAAAACTCACTGTATAAACTGAAAAAATATCATTTTATATTTCCAGAGATTCAATTTTGTATAAATCTACTATATATGAACCAGCTTTTACTTATGAACTGTTAAATTTATTTTCGAGAATTACCTATCATTTGAATATTAAAAAATAGAAGTTAGTTAAAGATTTTTTTAAATTTGAAATATATATATGCTAATTATTTTGTATATATTTGTTAGAATTGATTTCAAATAAACATTTTTAAAATGCTAATTACAGGTATAAAGATCTTTTAATAATTATGAGAAGAGCAGCTATTCTAAATGAATCTCTCAGAGGAAAGTGGACATTCTGTGTTAAAAGTGTTCACTAATTGATTTTCTTCCATGCTTGGATCCATTTCGTTTACTTTTGAAAAATTCTCTCTATTACCTTTAAAATTAGTTATTTTTTGCTCTTTTTTAGGCAGTTATTCACTCGCTTTTAATGGAATTTTATTTTGGCTTTGTTTAAAGCTTTGTCTCTATTCTTATTGAGAGGATGCTTAAAATAGCTGCTAATAACTTTTCTATTAATTATCTATTTTTTATTATTGAAGTGGCAAAGTGTTTTCTTTTTCATTGTTTGATTATTAATTTTAAGTACTTTTTTATAGCCCCTCCATCAAAAATTAGCCACTATTATTCAAAGTAAAGTATTCGCTTGCTACTTTTGAGTTGATTTTGTGCTTTATAATCTAATCAATTAATATTTTGTTTTTCTAATTATGATTTAAAAGGTCTGATATCATATTTCAGCTATTTTTACTTTAAAAATCAATGTTAATAATAATCTAAGCTTTGAAATTAATTTATTATTTAATTTCAGTATGTATTCCAAAAATGTTGTTTAAAAACAAAAAAATAAAATAATATTTTTTATTTTACCAAAAGAATTTATTTATCAATTTAATGTAATCTGTGTGACTTCTTCATATTTTAAAGTTTTAATTTAAGAAAATGGTTTTTAATTATATTGTATTATAATTAATCAATTCTTATGCAGACCTTTTGTTCTTATATTAAATAATTTAATATTAAATTTTTTCTAATCAATTCTTATGACTTTTTGTTCTAAATTATTAAGTCTCTATTTGACTTTTAATAATAATTATTAAATAATAAAGAAGTAAAGAAGAACCTTTATGAATGAAAATTTACTCTGAATGGAATTTGGTTAAGAATATTTAGACTTTAAGTAGGAAAATTAATAATTGACAGATGTTAATGATACTTTATCTTTATCAAATAATACAGTTTAAATATATTCTTAGAGTTGCCTAAAATCATTTCATAACTATAATAATTTTGATAGTCTTTATTTAGATCGTTAATATGAAGATGAAATTGAAAATGAAAATATACTTTGCTAAAATTTTGAATCAAAATTATCTGAAATACACAATTAAGAAGTTTAAGCATGCGAAAAAATGGTAAATAATTATTTTAATTCAATTTTAGATTCATTTTTTTCAGCTTAAATTCTTTAATTTTATACTATTAAAAAATTATGATTAGGAAGTTGGTGAAATATTTTATCTGAGAAGAAAACTTGCTAACACATAAAATATATTTAAAGGATACTCTGAATATTTGAACTAAAAAGTAGTTGGAGTATTGTTTAGTGTAGATACTTAGGAATATTAACAATTAAATATGGCTAATTTTTATATTAAATAAAAGAATGTAACACATTTTTTCAACTTGGAGATGTATTAGATCCCAAATAAATCTGTATAATCTTAATATAGCATAAGAGAAATTAAAGAAAATTGTAATGAATAACTTTCTATGTATTCGATTTAAAGATACTTCAAAGGTAGTTTAGAAGATTTTATTTTAAAAAGATAAAAAATAAAAATGGAATTTAGTGCTATTGAACTTGAAGATATTTTTTATAGACTATTGTAGATAGGTAGCTGTCTTGAAAGTTTATTTTTATATCATTAAGACTTCAAAGTTTCAAAAATATTACTAAATTTTAACAGCAAAACTTTGCAATACGATAAGTAATCAATAGTTCTTTCATCACTATAAGACATTTACAAATTTAATTCTAATGATAAATTTTTTGATAATAATAACTATGACATTGAAAAGATCAATAATTTTAATGGGTATGTCACACCAGAAGTTGCAGATTTTGAACCTAAAATAATGATTTTCAAATAAAACTCGTTTGCAATAGGTCTTTTTATGCTAAATTTGCTTATTTTAGATATATTTAGCCCATCCAGATTTATTGATGGATATTAAAAAGGTATTTATTTTTTATAAAAAGAAAATATAAGTGATAATGTTAGAAAAGGGGTAAATCTTTTGTTATAATAAGATTAATAACAAAGGTATACTTGTTAAAATGTCTTAAAAGAGATTTACAAGGAAAAATTTTATATAATTCCATTTAATGATATAGATAATACTTAACTATAAATTAAACATTAAGAATAGTCTCCAAATAACTTTAATGAGGATAATTCCCAATTATTTGAAACAACTAACATTTAGTTTGGTAAAAATTAAAATGATGATAGTCCTTTAAATGATGAATTTGATGACACAAAATAAGTTTGTGTGGTTGAAACAGGCTTCATATAAATAACAGAACCATAGGAAGTGTGCATTTATTGTAATCAAATAATCTGTTAAAAAAACTCTGAAAAAAATCAAAAGCAACTTTCATGATTTTGTATAATAACTATCTATATAAATCTTCTCATATTTAATAAATAATAGTTTTTAGAAACCAGTATTGTAGCCAAAAATAAACAACTTTTCCATTTAAAATATATTATATAAAAATACTTTATATTAAAAATATTACCAATAATTAATTATACTTAATAAAATAATAATTACAATATTAAAAATACATTATTACAATAATTTAATGAATTAGCAAACAAATTATTTATTTATTTTTCTTCAATCAAAAAATCTATTATTTAAAAATATGAATTATATTTATTACTCATTTGTTTTATTTTACTATTTCTAAATTGAATAATATTTTTATTTTATTTTTTCTATTAATCCAAATTAATTATATAATTTAATAATAATTATCTTTGAAATATTTAATAATTGTTAATGTAAGTAAAAATAATGAATTTAATATTTATTTGAAAATCAATAAAATAACTCAAATTAGATTTTTTTTTAAGATAAAATGGACTAATCAGAATCAAGCGATAGTACATAACTTTTAAAAACTATGACATTAGAGGAGTTAGATTTTGAAAGTTTTAGCGAATAAGCTTTATTAAACTTAAGAAAAGAGTTATTACATTTAGGAGCAGATTGTGAATTTTAGAGAGTCTTCATTAAAGATTTTGGCTTAAACAAAATTTAGTTTTATTTGCAAGATAGGAATAGCGAGTTTTAGGAATTTAAATTCATCCTTAAAAATTGCGAAGTAGGGAGTATAGATTAATTCAATAATTGTAATTAAACTATTCAATTAGAAAGAGACTATATTTTTAATGAGATAAATGGAAATCAATTTTCTATGGTTATGTTTAATGAAGATACTAAATAAATATAATTATGCATATATTCAGCTATTCAAAAAATCTTACATTGTCTGGAGCATAATAAAAAACAGTTTATTTTAAACTCTGAAATGTAATATCAATCTATGTAACATTTCTAGTAAACTTAGTGCTATGACAGTTTAAGTTAACAAGACAAATAAAATTACAAATTAAAATACAATTTTAAAGTCCAACCATTACTATATTGTGAAAATATCACAACTTATTGCTTTTCATTCTAAAATGGTGATTAATTTGACGATGAAGAAATTAATGATATAGAACGTGGGGAGCAAGTAGATTATTCTAAATACTTCGAGTTTAAGATAGGAAATAATTAATTTGAATAAATAAATAACTGAAAAACTGCCTATCTATCATTTTTAATTCAAGAAAATAAGCTATTTCTATTTGAAAAGCAAACTATATTTAACTAACTAGATATAGAAACATAATAAGTTATTAAAAATTAGTTTTTGCTAACATAAATTAATGATTTTTTATAATTAAATTGATAAAAATATATGATTATATTAGAAGCTATTTTTATATTTCATAGCTTTGTATAAAGTAAGGAACTTTATTGATTTTCTCTTTTTTCATTCAAATAACTCTTTTTGTGCTTTATTTATTCATTTTCTGTTTGTGTATTCAAATATGATTTCAACGGATAGTTTTCATTTGATTTTTAGCCTGTTAAGTAATTTGTTAAATAGTTTTGGCATGTAACTAAAGGGTTCTTTGAATAATTAAGAGTTGATTATTAATTTGTAAGAGGTTTGTAATCTGGAATAGTGCTACTCTTCAAATACTGTTAAATATTAATATCTCTTAAGCCAAGAGGTAGGGTTGAGTTTGTATAGCTACTTTGAGAAGAAGAGGGAGTTGTAATAGGTAAAGTTGAAGAAACAAAAGATGTAGAAAACTTTGTGTTAGAAGTTGAGCTCTAAGCATAATCTTTAAAGTTATTAACTTAGCAGTTTGTAGGACTACTTAAAGGTTCAGCAACATTATCTAAAGTTAATTAGCTCTAAACGTTTTCTTTGCTTTATGTAATTGAACTATAATTAATAGGACTCATAAGAGAATTGTAAGTTGCATACTAAGGATAATATTAATTCGGTTAGGGCGAATTCAAGGTAATTCTACTTTCTTAAAGAAGACTTTAGCTCAAATTAGTCTTAGGAGTTTGAGCTGTATGTGAAGTGAGGGGAACAAATAATATTTTTGACTAGGTTAAATTATTTTTTAGCTCATCACTAGTTGGGATATAACTTAGTTATGACTTAATTCTATTCTCATTTTACAGTTCTTTTTTAGTAAAATAATCTCCAAAATAAGTCGCTTTGCTTCCGTCTTAAATGATAAAATTACTACTTGCAAACAAAGTCTCCTTCCTAAAACTGAAATTCTAAGCAAAAGATATGAAACTATTTTATTATTTTATTATTTAATTTAATAAAAAATAAAAATTAATTTGCTATTTCTAAAATAAATTTTATAACTCTTTATTGTATACAATTATGAATGTATAAAAATAGATATAAATTATTATTTCAATAACTAATTTAAAACCATCTTTTTTTATTCGATTAAAAAATTACTTTTCTCTTTAATTTTAGAATGGTTATTCATCTACGATTTCAGATCTGTTTTCTTTTTCTAGTATTGGATCTTCATATTCAGGGTATTAGAATGAGGATGCATAAAGTTCATCATATAACTTGGGGTAGTTTCTGATATGAAATTGAAAAATTATGGTTTTTAAATATTTAAATGTATTTTTATTAATCTTGTTTAAATTACTTTTCGTATTATTTAGAGCATCTATTGAAGCTAGGAGTTTAAACTCTCTTATTTGAAAATTTAAAATCTGATTCTTCATAGCTCCTTGCTGTCACTGGAGATTCAAATATTTTAAGATTTGATTCTGTATATGAATGTTTGTGAGGACTTAGTCTTATTTCTTTAAAGCCAATAACTTCTTCTTTTGCTTTTGATAAAAAGCTAAAATTTTGCTTTCCCTCATTTAATTTGTAAGAGTCAACTTCAAAACTTTTATCTTTATTTAGGAAAAATCCTTATTTAGTTGAATCAAGGTTGGTAGTTTCTTTCAGAACACTAGATTATCTTTCACTTTCTACCTTGCTCTCTGTTGCAAGTTAGCTTGAGCAACCCATCAGATTATTTACTAATTCTATAATAATATAAAAAAGAGATAATAAGTAATATATAAGAGTTATTAACACTCTTTTAAATAGTTTAATTTTTTTTAATGGTTGTATAGTTGTTGGATAAATGAAATTACAGTCCATGCTTGCTATAAAATTATTTTTTTCTTTCTAGGAAGCATGAAAAGAGTAATGAAATAAAAGTAGAACTATTATTATTACAAGTTGTTAAAGATGCAGGAAGAGTTTAACACTTTTCAATTTATGTTTGCTTGTTTTATCCTTCATTTTCTTAGTAAAATTTGACTAAAATTAAGTTATGTTTTTCTTCACATGATTATTGCTTTATTTTTTCTATCATCTCTAAATAATTTATAGTCTTTAAGTTGCTACTTGGACTTATTGTGGACTTTACTTAGTAACTGGTTTATTTTTGATCTAATTTTTATTCACCTTTAGGACTCAGAAACTTCTAACCTGGTAACCCATGAAGCTTGGGAGAAGAATCAGTATTTACTCTAACTTTAGAGTAATACATAGAATTGTCAAGTTATTTTTTTTGATCATAGGTGGTATTGATATCCTTAACTTATCTGCTTAAGATAAGCCTTGATTAAGGTTAGTTTTAATGCAGCATTATTTTTCAATTATTTTACTTAGTTTATTAATTTATTTGTTTACTTATCAGTTTTTAAGAATATTAATTGGAATAAATAATATAAATTTGATTGTTAAAATTTAAGTAATATATATATTAATACTATCAGAAGGATTTTCTAATTGATATTATTTAATTTTTCATTATCATTAAATAAAACATCAAAATAAAATAGTGTTAAACAATATTAAATTTTACAAAAAAGTAAGACCGCTAAAAAACTCTATATAGCTAGGTATTGCTAATAAATAACTAACTTCGACTTATTTATTTAGAATTTTATTTTTTATTATATAATTAAGGTATTATTACTTGAATATACTAATAATATAAGGCGCAATTTATCCGTTAAAAGCCTTGACTGAATAATTAATTTAATAATTTTTAATTTTAATTAAAATAATATAAAAAATAAAAACAATTTTAATTGTAAATATAAATTTAGAATTATTTATATTTTTAAATTTTTTTGTGATTTTTTTAATTCTTTTTAATAACTTATGTTAGGCCTATTTTCATATTTAAAACTTAAATAATTAATTTTTTATTAAAATTGTAATTATTTAAATAGAATAATTTATTATATTAAAAGAATATGTTTGAAATTTAAAGTATTAATGATGTAAACAAATATATGAGAACGATTATAAAATATTAACTAAATTTAACATCTAAAATATTATCCAATTAATAATTATCTTTTATATATTATTCATTTATTTATAAATTTTTTATAAAAATTATTTTTTTAAACTATTTTCATTTATTTTAAATTAAATTTTATTGGGCTTTTTAATTTGTTTTTTGTCAAAGTTATATCTTATTATTTCATTTTAAACAATATTTTTTTATGATTAAATGTTCATTTTGATTTTCCACATGGAATTCAAGTTATTAGAGTTAGAATATATCTCTAAACCGCAGTTACTTACTTTTAGGTCAATTTTTTAAATATAGCTACTAATTTTTAGGATAAAAATTTGGTATTTATTTTATTTATTATTGTGGCTAATTATGAAAGTGTTTATTTTTGTTATCATCTAAAAATTTATCAACTATTTAATGATTTTTTGCATTTTTTAGTCTATTTTAAGGCTAATTTTAAGTTATATTTTTATTTAATATATTTTAAAACAAACTTTCTATTTGATCATCTACTTTTTCTTTGTTTTTAAAAGAAAAAGTTTATATTTATTTTCATATTACTGATTAATAATATTATTATCTGATATGCTTAGATTAATTTTATTAACAACTACCAATAAATGTATTTATTAAACTTTTTTATATTTATTAAAAATCTATTGTTTTAGATTTTTCTTTATTTTTGGCCTATTTTGCACAATTAAAGCTTTTAGATTATAAATACTCCTCATTAAATTATTTTAAAACTTTTTAAATAGCATTTTTACAATGTCATAATCATCGAAAATTGTTTTTTATAATTTGTTATTAGAAATTATTTGAAAATAAAAAAAGAAAGATAAATCTCCAAATAAATAATTAATTTAGCTATATATCGATTTACTTTAATGCAAATGATTAGTAATATTGGTCTTAATAATTGACTAACTACAGTATTTAAGTGTTCAAATAATTCTATAATATGAATTAATAATTCAAATATTTTTATTAAGTTATTTTATTTTGTGTTATTTTTAAACAATAAAAGAATTATTATTATATAACTTCTCAAATATTTTTAATATTTATCTGGAAAAATTATTTTAATTATTTGAAAGAAAATAAATTCATTTAAGATAAAAATAGAAATTTATATTATTTTACACTTACTAAAAATAATTTATTTTTTTTAAAATTGGAAATTTAAACTTATAAAAATATTTATTTGCTTTTTAAAAATAAACGAGGCAAAAATTTTTTTTTAGGAAGTTTTGCAAAATAAAATTTTTTTCTCAAAACTAACAATTTTAAATAAGATGTATGAAATGTTTAATCCTTGATAGTGATAATACCTATTAAGAATTTTTATTAAAAAATAAATTGTATGTATGTGATAATATAACAAAGGAGTTCCTAAAATTTAAAATTAAGTTTTGACAAATAATTAGCATTATCTAATAAATTTTTATTATAATTTAACAAAAATTATCAATATTAATATTTTGTTTTTAATATGGTTATTAAAGATGAAGAAATCAATTAACAAGAGAAAAAAGCTCAAAAACAAAAAGATGGTAAGCTTGAATAAAGCATTGGCAAATCAAGACAAGATTCAAAAGGATAGTTTAAAGAAAATATGATGCGCTTTTTGTTTATATTTATGCCATATACACTTATGCTCTTAGTAATAGCCATTGCTTACTCTGTTTCAATGAAGTTTATTTATATCTAAAATATGTAAATATGTTTAAATTAGTCGAAACGTTTGAATTAAACTTTTTTGGTATATAAGGTAAAATAATTTATAAAGTACTATGCTCAATTATTTTAGAGATTACCTCAAATACATAAATTAATCTGAATAATTGAAGGTTTCAATTGGATTCTAAAGGATATCATCTTAAACCCAAACGATTGGGTCATTTATAAGAAAGATTTAATCAAAGATTAGCTACAATGACTTCAGTAATTTATTCTTCTTTTTTAACTTAGAATTGTTTGTAAGATAAAAAGATACATTAAGTATTTTAGATATTTTTAAGCTTAGAATATGACGAAAATATCAATAAATATAGTCTAACTAATTCATATTTTTAGTTACTCATTTATTTTATTCATTAATTACTGATAAAAAAGTATTTAATTTAATTAACATTAGTTATTGACTAAAATTTAATATCCACTCAGTATTCTGATAAAAAGTGGAATTTTTTAACTTCAAACGACTTCAACATAGATGATATTTGTCAAGCCTAAGATTATTTGACCTAAATGTAGAATTAAAATTAACAGAGCGACTATAATTATTGTAATTTTGCATTTTATTATATTCAATAATACATTATCATCATTTAATCCAATCAATAAATTAATCTGCTTTTGTAAAAGTAAATCAGTAGTATTTTACTTGGGGAAACCCTTAGGTAGGGTACTGGAGTGAATTAAGTGATACTCAAAAGCAGTTTATTATCTCTTAAATGGCTATTTTGTAATCTTTATCTCCTGCTTACCTCTTAAACTAGAAGTATGAAGAAATAAAAACTATGGCTTATTATTTGGTAAATGGGAAAGATGGAATGAGTGTAACAACTACTTTAGTGTAAAAATAATTAAATTAATACCATAAAATTGCAATTAAAGAAAAAAACAAATGAGTTATTTTTCAAATTAATTAAGATTTTAAGTGTATTTCCTTTTTTTTGGAAATAACTTTCGAAAAATTTAATTTTTCTTAATGTTAATTTTTATAAAATTCTTCTTATTTTTTTAAAGTATTTTTTGACTTTATTAAATTATTTTAGGCCAAGGCTTTTATCAGATAATTATTGGAATCAACCATAATTTGGAAGCCCTTTTTCCTGCCAAATCAATCAGAACGGTAAGAGAAGAGGATACTTGTTTAATAGCACATCTTAATTTAATGGTTTTTAATACATGAACCCAAATTATACTTATTGCTTTAACCCTTAAGATCCAAAGAGCTAAAATAATTGCATGTGTGAATATGAAAATATCAAACGATTATATCCTTTAGATGTCCGTTGTAGACCATGGTATTTGAGCTCCAATTCTTCTTCTTATGTGTAATTTACAATTTTTTGATTAACCATTAAAAATTTATATATTATACTTATATATAAAGCTCATTTAGTGATCCTTATATTGATTATGATACTAATTCACTTATTTCTACTGCAACATTTAAAGTTGTAAAATAAGACTAAAGTAATAATTTATTTAACGAAGTTACTCTATAAGGAAATGAAAAGGCTGACGCAGTTCTAGGATTAGATTTCAACTTATAAGAGCTTTAATAAAGATATAAATAACAAAATAATTCTACAACAGAATATTCATATATTGTTTCTGCTGCAACAAAAAATTTTGATGATTTCTAAGGTAACTACGAATACACAGCTATTACCCATCCACTTATAAAAGGTAAAATCAAGTTATTTTAAATAAGAAAATTTCAAACAAAGATAAATATCAACAATAATCACTTTTTTATTTTTAAAGCTATTTTCAAAAAATTAGCTTGCCTAAATTGGTAAATTAATTTTGAAAGATAAATCTTTATTAAATTTGGTAATATTAAATTAATTACCTTACAAAATTCATTTTATATAAAAACTTTTATTTGTAAATTTGATTTATTCTTAGATATTTACTTATAATTAAAGTTAAAAATAAGAGTTTTGTTTAATTAACTTAGTTAGATTAACTATTTATTTAAATAGTGAGAAAAATTAATTTAATTATTAATATAATTATTATTTTTTTCAAACTTAAATTTATTTTACATAAAATATTTATTAAAATTCAATTGTAAAATAGATCAAAAAGCAAAAATATATGAATTAGAGTTCTAAAATTCAGCAAATAAAGAAGAAGAAATTGAATTATATTTAAACAAAACATCTTTTATGACAAACACAAATATAAGATTAAATAATTGCACAAATCAACTAAATTCTAATTCTTAAAATCATTACGAGTACATAACTAAAAATGGGTAAACATTTCTAACACTTTTTTCTGCTATATAAATATGTTATGGAAATCTTTACGAGTAGAAAGTACTAACTGTAGGATATATTGCTCGGTGCATAGCATAAACTGTTTATGACAAATATATCTCCCAAATCACATAATCGATAAAGAGAATGAATTAACTATTTACTTACGTTGTAGTTAGTTCTTTTAGCTTTTTATTTATATTGCTTTACTTCATGCTAAAATAACTTTTAATGCATAACTTTGATATTCCTATTTCAATTTTAAATAATTTCTTGTAGTCAGCTGATTCTAAGGAGTAATTTTTATATCTTTTATAAATATTTTATGAAATATTTTTATAAATTAGCATTCACGAGCTAAATTAGATGATACAAAATGGAAAGTTCAAAACTTAATATGAGCTTTAAAATATTATAACAGCAATTAATTAAATAGTTATTTCTGTTTAAATATAAGTTGAAAAAGAAATGGATTCTGACGAAAATATTGAAAATTTGGATAAAGTAATCCAATAGTATGTGGAAGCAGCCAAAGTTTATTTTCTTGTTGATCATAAAATTGGATAGAGTTTATGGTAAATATTTTGAAGAATTAAATTAAATATTTTAACAAATTTTACATTTAGTATGAATAATTTAGGATTTATTCATATATTGAAAAAAGAATATCCAAAAGCTTTAGTTTACTAATAAAAAGCTAACATTATTTCAGATGAAATACTTTAGGAATTCTTTAAGGATCTAGATAACTCTAAAAGCCTTCCTGAAAAATAAATGTTTTTGTGTAAAAAATTTAATTTATTTATGAATTTGCATGCTTGCAGGAAGTTTTAGTTAGCTTAATTGATTATTAGAAATATTTCTTTAGGATGTTAAGGATAGGCATTTTAATAGTACTATCAAATTGCTCTTGAGGAAGATAAAAAAGAGCTTTTGCATGATTTTATGATGAGTTTTAATTAAAATACAAAAAATTCAGTAAGTTTAAGAAAATAAACATCTCTTTAAAATGATTTTTTTGATATGCTGTAAAAAAATAACAAATTTGATAATCCAGATTAATTAAAATTATATCTTGATAAAAAGCAAGAAATTTACTAAAAAATAAATAAATTATCACAAAAATAATAAAAGAGTTAAATAGATATAAATTAAATTATCTCAGTGAATGATGAAAATATCTTATCAGGGAAATTTTATGAAACAAAACAAAATTTGGAATTAATTTAATCTCCATAAATTAATTCAAGAGAGAGTCTAGTTAATTATCGAAGTAGAAAATTCTATTTTTCGAATAGATTTTTTGAAAAATAAAACTATGCTTAAAAAGAAAAAGATGATACTAAAATAAACGAACTATTTTCAAATGAAAAAAATTTTATTGCATAGGCTCTAGATATCCTTTATGAAAGTTTATAAATATTTTAATAAATTAACACTTAGAGTTTTAATAAATATAAAAGATATGAAAATAAAGTTATGAGCATGCTTACATTGATCTTAATTTGTAAATGCCATATCATTTTGTAAAAAAGAGAAGTTATAATTGAGGAAACACTTTAAGTTATTTACAATATATATTAGAATATTAAAACTAATGATTTTATCAGTCTTTAACACAATTAAATTCCTCTAAATGTTGTAATGGCAAAATATTACTTAATTCTAGCTTAGATTGAATTATCTAAAAAAAATTATAAAAAATCTCTCAAATATAACTTAAAAGCGTTGAACTTTAATAAATTCCATCCAAATTAATTTCTTTGCATTTAATATTCAAATTAGATAAAGAGATACTATGATCCTTTAGATAGTCTTGAGGCTCTCTAAAACATCTACTAAATAATTTAGGAAGCAAATATAAAGCTTAGCTCTTTTTAATTAGAAACTTTGTAAAGCGATATTTAGAACCTTTAATCAGCTGCCTAAAATTACTGTAAAATATTTATAATTTTTATTAAAAATATTTTTTTTTAAAATGATAATTAATTTAAAAAGGTGAGCTAGGATTTTTTGAGGTTTTTTTCAAATTAGAGAAGTGGGCAGATACAAAAATAATTCCTTTGTGACTTTAAGAAATATTATGATAAAGGATAAATATTCTAAAATAACTTGAACTAATTAAAACATAGAAATTTAAATACTAATTTTGGTATTTTATTTATTAAATAATTTACATATTTATTTATTTATAAAAATTATTAGTTGTTGATTGAAAATAAAAATATTAAAAAATAAATTAAATTGATTTAAACTACAAAAAAATATATTGAGAATACTTTAAATAAGTATATAAAAAATTAATTCTATCTTAAATATCAAATTCAGAATTAGTTAGTTGAAATGACAGCCATTTTTTCAGTATCGCTTTATCTAATTTATACTTTTTAACGAATTTTGTTTTCTAACTTAATTTTAAACCATAAAAATGCAACTAGATTGCAAGCAGCAATAAAACCTAAAATCACAAAGAAAATTATGTACATCTTTTTATGTTCATCTTCGTTTTCGTTTTCTTTAATGTATTAAGTATTTTATTTATTATCTTCGATAACTGCTTCGTTTACTAATGGTTTGTAGATTGTGAAGGAATCAAAGACTTCCAAAGAATCTGAAAGAATATGCTCAAAAACTAAATGAGTAGAATTTTTAACAGTTACTGTACTAAATCCTAAAGTTCTATCGCTTGTAACTGTAAGCTATCCTCCAGGATCTAATTATTGTTAAGTTTAAAATCAGTTATAAGAATATAATCAAAAAAATTTTATTTTACATCCTGAATCCTTAGGGAAGTAATGGTAGGTACCACCTGAACCATCAACTACATAAACTGGAGCTTCAGGTGATTCATACAAAGAGCAACTTTTCATTTTGCACTATTCTGTTTATTTGAATTTTGGTTATCCTTTATAATTAGGTTAAATTCTTTCATAAGCATGAACATGTCCAGCAAGATAAATATCAACTTTGTGTTTATTTAAAAGATCTTCTAACTATTTTTTTCAAAAATTTTAATTATTTTTCAATCAAAACACAAAAAAAATAAAAATTATTTTTAACATTCCAAAAATATTATCCTTTCTTAGGAGATATTATTTCCAAATAAACATTAATCTCAAGTAAAGTATAATTAAGAAAAATACTTAATTTTTAGAAAAAAATCAATAATTTTTAATCAAAAGTAAATAAAATAGTTTGCTTTTAATTAAAATCAATGATTAATATAAATAAAATATTTTTTTGTATTGAAATAAATTTATCTAAATAAAAAATATCCTTAATAATTATTGGAAACACTTAAGTTATAAAAATGAATGAATGAATTAATATTTACATCAGAAAATATTTCAGGGTTTGAATAACAAGCACTGGTAGCAAAATCTTCGAAGCAGTAGATATTTTAGTGAGAATAAACAATAGACCATCTATACTTGCCTTTCATTTCAGTCATGGTATCATCAAACCATTTAAGAAGTTACTATAACCATTACTTATCAATTCCAATATTTTGATTGGTTTTTGGGTCTTTAATATATTTGTTTGTATTCATTCCTACAAGCAATAAATCACCTATGCTTAAGGTATAGTAGTCACTTTCAGAAATAGATGATCTAGGATTTCTAAAGAAAGATTTGTAATAGCTATAATTATACCATTCTTCGTGATTACCAGCAATAGTCTAAATTTTAATTATAATGGATTTGCATTAAAAATATGTATATGTGAGATATTTATGAAAATAATTACCACATAAGGAATGGTTGCATAGGAAAATTCTGCAGCTTTTAAGAAGTTTACTCCTCTTTAGCCACTGTCATCATTAAGATCGTAGGCATAATCTCCACCAGCTATAATACCAACAAAGTTCTTTCTCTCTTATTTGATCTGTTTTAACAAATAATATGAAAAATACTTAAAAATAAAGAATTTATAGTAATATTACATATTTATCCATGATGTACATATTGTCTTTACCAAATTGTCTGTTGCCATATTTAGTATTAGGATTTATATCATAATCAGCGACCCAAGCAAATTTGAATTCTCTTTCCTTAAGTTTGGAATAGTCAATGTGGTAGAACTCAAATAATCCTCTTTATTTAATTCAAAAATTGTATAAATATTAAGTAGAACTAAATATGAATCAATTAATTAATTTATTTACTTATCTTTTAATACTGGAGTAGAGTCATCTATTTTTTATTTTAAAATAAAATAAAGTTTACTAAAAAAAATGCTAATTTATTAATCAAATTAGTCTTTGTAGATATATAGTAAATTACCTGAAAGATAGAAACACTTATAGGAGATTAAAGAATCAGGTTTGAATTTAAGAATAGAAGCATCAAGCTAATATTCATATATGTACATTTCAAAATCTTCAGTTCTTGTCTCTGTTTTAGCAATTCCAGTAGTGTCCTTAGGTTAAACTTTTTGATAAAAGCTATATTAATTTGTTAAAAATTTGATAGTTTTTTTTACAGAATCTCTTGATTTAGACAGGATTCAAGGTTAATTTAACTTTTAAATCCAAGCTTGTATAAACTTCGCAATAGTTTTTGGGACAATTAGCCTTATTTTTTAAGTTAGTGTTGAATAAAATTTTAATAATTTTACTTTAGTAAAGTAAGTAATAGTATAGTCGTGGCGGGTAGCTTTTAGAAGTTTTTCTTTGTCGTATTAAGTGGAAAGATCAAAATTATCTCCTAAGCTTAGCTTAATTCCATTAGGTTAGCAACTTGGATCAGTGCCTTAGGAATAAATCAAAGCACACAGACTAAGTAAAACTAAAATTAAATATTTTGTCATTTTTTGGTTTTTTGAGGCTTTTAGAAAATTTTTTAATTAATAAATTATAAATAATTGATTTTTTCCACTTAAAATAATAACCTTTTAAGTATTAATTATGAAAATTAATTTAAAAAGAAACATAAAATTAAAAGGTTCTACTTTTTAAAAAGAGAGTGTGGCATCAAATTTTTTATTACAATTTATCTGTTCTACAAACATATTTATTTACTTAACTTTTAATGAATAACAAAAATAAACCACAGTTTTAGTATATTAAGTAAATTAAGAAAGCTTATTTTCTTTTTTAAGTATCAAAAATAAGTAAAATATATTTCTAAAGCTCAAGTAAATTTTCATAATTAATATAAATTAATTTTTAAAACTTAAATCTCTAAATTGTTACTACATAAAAAATATAAAAAAATAGCATAAAAAAATCACATCATAATTGGTTCTAGCATGCTTTTTATTTAGTTCATTAATTTTATTATAATAAAATAAGTTAAGTATGCTTAACTTTGCAAATAGACTAATCAATCTAAAATTTTTTACATTCATAATACCTATTTATTATTAAATATTATGTTTTAATATAAAAGTTTAATTTAATTTATGGACCCCATATTAATATTTAATAATAATTAAATTTATGATTATATATATTTAGTAATATTCAAAGATTTTCTATTAAGTGCTAGTCTAAAAATAAATACCATTAATAGATAGATAAATAGATAAATAATACATATATTTATTTTCATAAATTTTCAATTTTTTATTAGAATATTTCTAATTTTAGCTTATAATCATTAACTAAGATCCATCAAATTATTTTATGTGATTCTTATGAAAGTTGAATGATAAATTTGCCTTTTTAAAAATAATTTTGCTTTTAGTACTTAACATAATTCATATCTTAAGAGGGATTTTATTAATTTTTAAAGGGATTTAAAGATATTTTCAAATTTAAAAATAAAATTTTAATGATTTTGCTTAAATGGTATGAATTAAGATTTCTATTTATAGTATTAGCATTTATTAGTATTTTAATTTATATTTATTTATCTTAATAGATCTATAAAATAAGAAAGTAAAGCTGTGGTAAAAGGCTTGGATATTACTATTTGGGGTATTTAATAATAAATTTAGCAGTTTATTTTATTCAATTAATTTATGGAAGTAGATAATTTATATTATTTTATAAAATTTAATATATTGTAAAAAAAATTTTGAATAAAAAAGTTGAAATTATTTTAAAAATACTTTTAAAATAATGTGAAAAAATTGAATATCCTAAAAAATTTAAGCTCAAAAAACTGTAAAGATTAAGTTAAAATTTAGTTAACTATATCTATTAAATATAAATGTGATCGATTTTATTTTAAGATAATGAGTTTTTTAATAAGTAATTGACCTACTTTAATATATTCAATTTCTTTAATTAAATTATTGTTCGTTTGTAAAATAAGGTCCAACAAAACTTAATATAAAGACATTTAAAGATAAAAAGCAAGGATTATAATAAATAGTTTTTTTAATTAAAATGTAGAAAAATGAATAATATTACAATACTAATAGAAAGATCAAAAATGGATAGTTTTTATGGAAATACGTTAACATGATGAGAAATGAATTAATTTAGAATAAAAAAAAAGATAAAAAAAGTAAATGTTATATATTAAAGCTTAAATGCAAGTACTTTTGTAAATTATCTGATGAATAATGTAGATTTATTATTGTTTTTGGCCCTTTATGCTTATCTTTATTCTTAGGAGTTTTATTATATTTGGGGATGTGCTAGTTTCTCTACCTCTCTCAAATGTAAATTCATTTTATTTTTATTAATTTATATAATTTTTTTCATTCTTCAATGAAATTATACACATACTAAAGGAGAATTTATTAAAAATTTAAGGTAGGATATGAGTAGAGATTATATTAACGATGCCAACCAAAACTATTTACTTTTATTGGCTTAATCAAAGGTAAACACAATAAGATCTAACTTATAAAGGATGGCAACCTCTTCATAAATATTAGGGAAGTTTAGCCAAAAATTGTAATCAAAAACTCTAGATCAACTTGGTAAGAAATTTATATAAAAAGCGAAAATTTTAGCACTTCGAAACAATAAAGATATTCATTCATAAATAGTTAATTTTATTACTTTAATATTAATATTAATAGTAAGTTGGTAAAGCTAAGGAGGTGATTTAACTTAAATGCAGTAAATAAATGGGAAATATAATTTTTTAGTTGCTAATGACTTCAATCAATAGGATCAGTGCTAGTACATTTAATATTTCAAAAATAAAATCCAACAAGACCCAACTGCAACTTAAGATTATTGTAAATAAATTTTAAAAAATATAAAATCAAATAATTTTTTGTATTTAGATAAGTAGTAATATTTTGGATGGTCTTCACCATAAATTGATAATTGGAGTGATTTAACTTTAGAATAAAGATCGTTTCTTCTGAAATAATCGCTAATAAATGTATTTTTTACATCTATGCAAGTCAATTAATAAACTTAGTAAATTTTTCCAAATCTTTATAATGTGGTAAGAAAATCTGATTCACTGTAGTCAAGGATATAACCAAAGTATATATTTTTATTATTACTTATTTAAAAATAATTAATTTAATTTCAATTAATTTTGTTACTTTTGCTTGAATTTGAAGATAAAACTTTTATTTTTATTATTAACTAGGGAAAGATTAAATCAACAAAATATGTTTTGGTACTAATTTCCGTACTCAGATTTTAGCCAAATTTGTTCTTATGATTCAAATCTAAAACACTACTCTTACTTAAATGTAGATCAATTTGATGGATTTCAGAATAAAGATGAATTTAATTAAAGTTGTAAAAAAAAAGAAAATTCTCCTCAGTGTTCATGTATTTATCTTTAGAACAAAAGACTCTATCCAATCGATTGGAGGTGCAGAATTTGGTATCAATAAGCATCATAAAATTATTACTTGTAAAATTTAAAAGATTTATAAAATTATTTAATTAAATTTTTACTACTAAAAGAACTATCTCTTCTATGTATATTGATATAAACTCTGGAAATGCAATAAACAGCTTTGTTTTTAAAACAATATCTGCATCATAATCTCCTTAAAATATAAAGGAGGAGTAAAATTTATCTGAAGATAGTATAAGTAGTCTAGATTTGAACATAAGCTAATTGATATAGAATGAGAACTAGTAAAGTAGCGAAGATCAATACTCTCTAATTTTTCTTCCTTCATCAAGCAATGATAGTGATTTTAAGATCTTTTATCATCCAAAGTATAAAAGTAAGTTTTCCGTTTAAAAATATAAAGAAATTAAATATTTTTTAGATTAGTAAAATATAGAAACTCTTCTATCATTGCAGTTTCATAACAATATGAATTAGTATAATGACTTCTTAGAATAAGTTTCTGAATACATGAGCTAGACTTAGAATAGAAAATAAAATTGCAACTTTAGCTAAGAGGAAGGATTTTAGTTTCAAATGATTGTTGAAGGCAAATAATACTTTTCTATAATAGAGAGAATGTACCTTTGTATTGGTAATATTGACTAGTAAATATCTGTTTTATTTGGTTATTTTGTTAGAGTGATTTCAACTGAAATTTCATCACAAACAGTTAATTAAATAAACTAAAGAATGTTATAAATAAAGCAATACTATGCAATAGGAACAAGTTTAGCATTTTTTTTTGTGCTTGCTCTGATGTATACACTTTTAAAATACTTTCTCAAATATAATTTTGAATAACCTCTTAATATCTTAAATACTTTCATCCAGCAAGCCAAACCGAAGGAGTAATTCTTTAAAATTTTAAAGTTATTTCATATTCATTTTCTCTATTAAATTAAATATAATCAGCATTTATTTGTTCTATCAAATGATTCAAAACTAGTAGATGTGTACTTAGTATGAGTTGAAGAATCTATTATAAGCTATCAACGATGTTGTGATTGGAATTCAAACAAAAGTTGAGGAAAAAATTGAACAATCTTCAACTTGTTTTGATGACACATAATATTTTAACTAAATTTTTCAAAAGTATATTTAAGGTCTGAAGACATTTAAATCTGTAGATCATGTGGCTGGAAAAGGGCTATGGTAAATAAATAAAGTTTAAGTAAAATACATTTAATTTTACAAATTTTTTACAAGTTATATAAATATAGGCAATTTATATGCACAAAACAATAACTTCATATAAGCAATAGTGTTCTATTAAAAAGGGTTAGAAATTTCTGAAAAAGTACTCTTTGACACAAAGCTTGAGTAAAATGCAGGAAATTTTAATCAAAGAATTGAGAAAATGTGTTCAAATAAAGCTCTTAAAAAATTTATGAACATACTTGCTAGTAGAAGATATTTGTTTGGAAATGCTTTAGCATGCAGTTTATTATAGCAAGAAGAGGATGATATTATATTCGATAACCAATACAACATATAAAATTCTGAAAATAGCAAGATGAAGATTAACTCATCCTTAAAAAAACTTATGAAAACTTAAAAAGAAAAAGATTTAGGAGATTAAATATTTAATTCAACACTTTAATAGATTAAAAACCAAAAAAGCTTACCTACTGATAAATCTTAAATTTAAAGGATAAAGACAAATGAATTCAATAATTCAATTAATATATCTATTTAGTTAAATATTTAGAAAATTTAATCAAACTAAATAAAGCGAACATTTACTCCTAATTCAAATAATAGCACATTTAAGAAAGCATTAAAGAATAAACATAACTCACTTAGAAATTCAAATTTACCTAGAATATTTTTAGATAGACATACTAGCTAAGCAGATAAAAATGGAGATAAGAAACAAAACAAATTAGAATAAAATAAGAATAATTTAAATCAAAATTTTGAGAAAGAGTTCATCTTAAAGAGAGGTTAGTTAAAAAATCACTGTTACGGGAATTTAAATTTCTTAATGATGCTAAAGAATGACTTGTTCCCTTAAAAAGAGAATTATAATTAACCTCTTCCTAAATATTTAATTAGAGAAGAAGGAGAGTTTAACATTTCTATTGTTGAAGAATGCATAGACTAATTCTCAGAGTCTCAACAGATTTTTTATAGCCTTTCAAAACAATCTTCTAACTTGTATGAGTGCTACTATTACGAAAGCATTTCAATATTAATTTAACTTAAATGCTTTACATGCTAGCTAATAATTTAAAATAAAGAAAAGATAGTACTAGAACACCTCATTCAGATCAAAAAGCAAATAAAAATTTGTAAATTAAACTATATAAACCTGCAATCTCTCCTGAATTCAGGATAAGCTTATATTCCATTTCATATTATTAAAATGAAGTATTATCTTGTCAAGGGATTACTTTTCTACAAGTTAAATATTTATCATAAATCTCTGTACAACTTACTCAAATCTTTAAGTGTAAAATTTGAAAAGGATCATGCAAAAAATAGCTCTATAAAATACAAGAAAGCAGAATAAGAGATTTCTGAGTTTTATGATGTATTCGATGTGAGTTGCTGTCTGAAAATTATCCATCAGATAATAAAGAATCAGAATATTTAGCTAAACTCGCTACATAATAAATATTTAAATGACGATTTGAACAGCATAAACTTAGATCTAATTTCAAAATGTAAATAAATAAATATGTTTAGAGTTAATGTTACATTAAAAAAATTTTTTTTATATTTCAATAGAAGATATTTATTTTCAGGAGGTTTTCTTTAAAGAAAAAGAATTAAATAATCTAAAAAGAAACACAATTTTTAAAAAGCCAAGAAATTAAAGCAATTGATTGATTGATTGATATGAGCTTAATTAAGTTTAATCTCAAATGAAGTTTTCCACAAAAATTATAAAAATTGTATAGTTGGTTAAATTATTTATCAAAATTAAATATAAATATAATGTTATGTATAGCAGCAGCAAAAAGTTAGTTATTAAAAACTGTAAGATCGATCTACTATTTCTTTGGAGGATTAATTGTAAATTGAAATAAGAAAACCACAATGAAAAATAAAAGCATCCAAATTTTAAATTTATTCATTTTATTTTTCAGAATTTAAATATTCAAATTCATAAGTTTATTTTTTATCTTAAGCTAGTTAAATAGGAACTAGATAGTTATATTTAAAGGTTAATTGAAAGTATTTTAAGCTTAATTATTGACTTATTAGTCTTCAAATGATAACCTATTTAGTATGTGTTGTAAAATTAAAATTATTGAAATAATCAAATAAAAAGAGATTATTATAATAAATAAATTATTCTTCTATTTTTTGATTCGAAGCTTTTTTGCTTAATCAACACAAATGATGTGTTTTGTTTTAAATAGTTAAAAATTTTAATTTTTAGCATAAAATGCAAAATTCAAAAATTAACTTCCCTAATTTCCATTATAAATTTTAAGAAAATATTATAATTTTAAAATACTTAGTAAAATCTGTAAGTATTGTAAAAACTGGAGTGAGAGTTAAGTGTTTTTTTTTTTTAATGATTAAATTGATTGAATATTATTAATTTGAAGAAATGGTTCCTTCCATATAAAATAGGAGTATACTCAATTAATTAACTAACCATATGGTTAACAAAATATTAATAATTGAAAATTTTTTAAAGTATATTATTTATATTTATAGTAAATTAAGATAGTGTATTAAACAAGAGTGGTAATTTTAGTATATATCTATCTATCTATACACCAATTAATACACTCAAGCAATTTCCACTAAGATAGAAATCTTATAACTGATTTCTTGCCAAAAGATCTATCAAGGTTAATCAAAAATTATGAGTAAATTAAGGACCAGAATTTTAAGCTACATATTTTGTAAGATGAAGTTTAGCGAGAAAAATAAGCGTTAATTGGAACTGTTTGTTCCTTTCTTTATGGTTCTTTTACTTGTGATATTCATATTTTCAATTATGATTAAGTTTGTCTATCTTGACAAATTGTAAATTAATTTTAGATATTAGTATAAAATATGGGTGTCTTAAAATTTTAAGATACTACAAATATATTCTAATGCATTAGCCGATGCTATAATTGTCATTTCTTGTAAAAAATAGGAAATAAAATATCTAGGATCATTTTGTAGATAGATTCAAAGATTACATTAGCCAAGTAAATAGAGCTTAGTTAGACTACTTAGCTGTTTCATATTAGCAAGTTATTCTTTCATAATAGACCATAGGACAATTTATTTAGGAAATTACTAGCAATAATGTTTAATTAGCAGATGTTGGTAATTTTCAACTTAGCTTAATATCATATTTCTTAAAATTGCGCAAAATTAAATAAATTATCATTATGAGATAAAGAGATATTTATTTTTAAAGATTGACTAAATCTATTTAAATAATATTTTAAAAATATAGTAACTTGGAAAGGTAGCCGTCTTTATGACAATAGCCCTGATGCTTCTTAAAAATATAATTTCATGAATTTTAATATGTTTTCTGCTAAAGAAATTTGCTAAAAGAAACAATTTCTTTCTCTGCCAAACAATTAAAGTAAAACAAATATAATATAATGATAAAGGCTTTTTTTATAAGAAAGTTTAACAAATTTTAATTGTTTTTTATTTAAATACTTGAAGTCAGTTAATTATTTGGATGGTATAACTGGAACGAAGATTAGTGGTTTTAATTAAGTCTTGATCAAATTGATTTTTTAGTAAAAACTGACCTTGCCTTCTCAGTCTTCAAGGCTATCCAAGCAAACTAATAGTATAAAAGTGTTCAAATTATAGATGGTTATGTTTAAAATTCTTCAGATGATACAATTTATGAAGGAAATCCAAAGTAAATATTTTCATATTAATATTTAAATTTATGTATTTAATTAACAACTTAGACTATGGCTTTACTAAAGTAATAGCTTTTGGAATTAAAAGAATTATGGTGGTCCATTCATTTATCCTAATAATAATTCATGTTAAAATTAAAATGAATATAACCCTCCTCCAGATTATAATGGATTTTATTAAATAAACTCTACAAATTAGCAATGCTCGTTAAAATCATCTACATCAGAATGTAATTGTTAATATTACAATTAGAAAAGGTTTTTTCCCTTAGTATTTCGTTGTAGGCCTTGGTATGAATCTTCTATTTAAAATGAATACGTGTAATTTACAAAGATAGTTTTTATAAAATAATAACAACTAATGTCTTTTATTAATATTTTTATTTTTCATAGGACACTCTCTTAAGCATATATAGATCTATATTCTTCTTAGCAAATAATGACTAGCAGCTTTAAAATTGTTGATAGTTCTTAAACTAAAAATTTGGATTCTTAAAAATAAGCTCCTCCAAAAGCTGTTTTAGGATTTGATTTAGAGTATTCTTAATTTAATGATTTTTTATATGGCTCAAATGATTACAGTTCTGGTCTTTATTCTTATCTAGTTGCTCCTAAAAGCCCAATTTATCAAAATGATGTTTAATAATCATAGGAATACGCTGCTATTATACATCCTAATCTCTTTTCTAGTTCAAGTAAGCTTCTTCCATAATAAATTATATTTAATAAATATTCAATACATCAATTTTAATTAATTATTTAATAGAACTTGGATAAATTTAAGATATAATTGAGTTAGAATTTTAAAATGGAAATCAAAATGAAATTTTTTAATATAAATCATAACTGGGATCTATATTTTTGAATAATAATATAAGAACAAATGGATGCAACCTGACTCAATCGAGTAACTAATAGTATTAGCTCAACATTTAAAAAGATGGCTAAAATTACTACACTGTAGTTAAAACTCTACAAGTATGCTATGGAAATTTATATGAATAGAAGAGTATCGTTGTTGGTTATTTAGTTACTAATTTAGCTAGTAGCTACTAGCAAAAACTATACTCTCACATTGACTAAAATCTTACAAATATGCAAACTTATATTGTCATTGCACTATTACTTACTTTTTTTGCAATCATCATCCTTCTCTATTTGCTAATGGAAAGGTTTCTAAAATACAATTTTGAAGAACCAATTTCCATCATTTCTTCTGTTATGAATAAGGCAGATCCATAAATGTAATTTATTAACATTTAAATTTTCTTAGATTATTTTCTAAACAAAATATTTATTTATTACAAATTTATGAAAACATTTTAAATAAATATTTGAAATAATTAATTTGTTTTTTATTTAAAATCTCTATTTTTTAATGAAAAGTATTTTAATGAATATATATTATAAATTTAACTAGGATTTACAGGTTCCATTATGTAGTATAAAAAGATGAACTAAAAATATCTTAGGAATTAAAAAACTTAATTTCTGCGATTATTGAAATAATTAGTTTAGTTGAAGAATAGGTTTAAGATTCAAATCAAAATAATGATAATGAAATAATCTAACGAAATTATCAGAGAGCTTTACAAACTTTCGAAGTAGTAGATCACTAAACAGGGATTGGTTTATGGTAAATATTTTTATATACCGCATTTTAGGTTAAAGGTATTTTTTATTGAAAAAGCTTGAACAATTTAGGAAACATAAGAATGATTAAGAAAGATTACAAAACAGCAATATAGTATTATAAATAAGCTTGCTTACTTTCGAAAATCTAATACGAAGAAGAAATAAAAAAAGATGAGATAAAAGTTTCCAAAAATGACTATTTGCTGAAAGATTCAATTTTTCCTTAAGATTATGTGAAGAAAAAATTTATGAGAATTCATGCCAGTAGGAAATATCAACTAGGATCAACAATCCTTAAATATCTAAAAGATCAGAGTTAATTTATGTTTGTAAATTAGTTAATAAATGATATGGCATTATAGGAAGATTTGCAAATAATAAATGATACAATACTAAAGAAAAAAAACTTAGAATAGATTCCTATCCCACAAAATTAGGAGCTCTAATCTAGGAAAAAATCTACAAATATAAAAAGAAATAATATGATGGGCGGAGCTGCGTCTTTGTCTTAGTTACCCAATTTAATTATGACTAAAGAAGGAAATCCAAATATAATTGTTAGTAACTAATCTCAAAAAAAAGTAAATTAAATATCAATAAATACTAAAATAAATATATTTTTATTAATTAATAGCAACTCATAGGATCTTTTTAAAATTAATTTTCTACTCCTTATATAGTTAATAATGTTTTTATTAATAATCATAACAACATTCCTTACAGTGCTAATAATTTATAAAATACTATAATTTAAAACAATCCTGCTCAATTAGCAGATTTAGATAAAGAAATAAATTTGTAAAATTTAAATAATTTGGTATCAGCTAATCAAAATAATAGCCAATTTAATAATGGAAACATTACCTTTTAAAATATGAATCCGTAAATAGTTAACTAATTAAATTTTGGAGATGAGTTGCATGATAAATCTTTTATGGGTATTTCACAACGACAAAGCTAATCAAATTTGTTTAACAACAATTATAACAATGGTAACTTTATTAGCAATACAAACAGAATTTCTAACAGCAACCACAAATTGCAGAATATAAGTTTAAATAATAACATTGGGAGTAATAATTTAAATATGAATAGCAACTCTTAAAATATTAGATTTAATTCTAAGAGACAGTCTTCGTACGTTAGAAAACTGCATTCAAGTGGAAATGTTATGGGTAATGATTTCTAATAGTCTAAAGGAATCAAAAATTTAAATAAGGAAATTCATAATGCAGCTAAAGATGCATAAGATGAAGAAGAAAAAGCAAATAAATTACTCTCTGAAAGTTTAGAAAAATTTTCATTATAAAATTATCCACATTTTTTTACTGAGTCATTTGCTGAAAAATATAAACCTCTAATATTAAGCAATATAGATAAATCATAGGCTCTTTTTGATGTGTATTTTCACTCATAAAAGATGTATAGCACATAAGCTATTGAGCTTCTAAATGAAAGTTTCACTATTTTTAACACATTAGGAGATTATTGCTCTGATAGTGAAAAAAAGGAAGCTCATGAATACTATGGATTCTCTATTCTAACTTTATTAACAATTACAGAATTGCACATTTTACTCAATCAATAGTCAACAATAATCGAACCTCTACTGGCCTCAATTAAGAAACAAATCTTTACTAAAATAATTCCTCTCGAAGCTTTAGACTTAAATAATATAATTTCACAAATGAATCATTATAATCTACACTAGCAGTATGTTAATTAGCAACAATTAGTTATAAATAATAATCTTAACACCAACAACTCATTTAATGTATTATTCAATTAGTATCCATAACCAAGTATAACAACGATGCTGAATATAGAAAATAATATAAATAATAACAGATTCTTGACAGAATAAAATATAGATATGAATTTTTTTGATACGAATGCAAATAACAATAACAGATTAAATAGTTAAAATACATTTTTCAATGTTTTACCACAACTCGATTAAAATCAGTAAAGCAGTGATAAATCCAAAAGACTTACAACTCAGTCAAGTAACTCAGCTCAACAAACTGTATAGCCTCTATAAAATCAGCAATAATACCAAAAACTAATCAAGTAATAAAGTGCCACTTTGATGAGAAATAAAACATTTTCAATCAATGGAACGCAAACAAATATTCCTATAAATGTACCTTTAATTCAAAATACTACACTAAGTAACAATACACAAAATTAAACATCTACACATAATTTATATCAATATTAAAACGTATCTTAATTCAATGATCGCTATAGGTAACCTACCGATATAAATGATATGACTATATTAAAATAAAATAATCCCTATCTAATCAATAATAGAAGTAGTAAGTTTAATGAAATAAAAGAGAATACTCTAAATTCAGATATTTTATTGACAAAATACTACATTTTAAAGGGAAATATCAGAATGTTACAATTCAAATACAAAAAAGCACTTAAAAGCTTTGTTAAAGGAATAAAATATTTCTTTCCTAAGTTATAGTCCTTAGAAAGGATATAAACTATAATGAAAAATGCATAAAATGGAATACATAAATTGGAGGAATCTCCCTAAACTTTGTCTATAATACATGAAGAAAGTACAAGAAATCAGTAAAAATATTTTTATGATCCAAATGACATTCTAATATGCTTAGAAAATATCAATCATATAGTTTAAGAAGCTAAAATTTCCTTAAACGAAAACTAACTAAATAATCTGCTTAAAGACATTTAAACATTAAAAAAACAGTCTTCTGAAACAGGTAACTAGTTTTTAATCTTTTGTTTTTTAATTTTAAATCATATGATAAATTAATTCGATAAGAAAAAAATAATTATCTTATTTAGTCATTATTTTTAAACATTTTAGACAATTTTTTTATTGTTTAATAAGTAAATTCATCTTTTTAAAATTGAGATTCTATCAAAATAAATTTGCAAAAAAATATCCATTTGATTTTTGAAAATAAATAAATTTGTTGCTAATTTTATACACATTTTTTTAATTTAATATCAAAATAAATAAAAAATATTTGATTTTTTTTGTTATTAAAAGTAAGCTTACACTTTTTTGAAGTTTTCTTTAGAGACACTCTTGATTGAATTAATTAGCTTTGAAATTATTGTAAGATATAAATAATCAGTTCATAGAAGGAAATAAATTAATAATTATCTGATTAAATTCAGGTGATTTAAAAGTGTTGATTTGAAGTATGAGATTATCAATCAATTTATGATTAAAGAGATAAATTAATATACTCAATAGATGGTAAATGAGAATAAATATTTTGAAAATGAATTAAATGACAGTTGAAATATTTTAGAAATTTTGTTTTAAAGAAAATTGAATATAATTCAATAAAAATAAGCTAGTACTATGCCCACCCACCCTATTTATTTATTTATAATTAATATATTCATTATTCATTCATTAATTAATGTTATTTATTTGTTCAAATTAGTTTGTGGTATTTATAAAAAATGTACATTTATATCAAAATTTTAATAATACTGAGCTTTGATGTTTTATGAAAATTCTTAATTTTATTTTTTCAAGTAATTAATTATCATCTGCTAAATAACTATTTCAATTATACTAAGCATGTAATTATTTAATTTAAGTAATGCTTTTATTGGTCTGATTGATTGATTCTAACAAATATTTAATTATTTTAAACAACATTATTAAGTAAAATTAGTATTAAGTAAAGTTAGGATTTTAAATATTAAGCTTATTCAAAGCATAATGGCAAAATAGTAAAGTATAAAAGATAAGATAATTAGTAAAAGTAACACACCAAAGGAGGTAAAAAAATAAAAATGCTTCGGTTTCTCAGAGTCTACGAAAAGATAGTTTTCCGTTTTTTTACCATTTTGTGCTGTTTTAGTTTTAGTTATTCTAATCTAATCATTATTAATATAGCTAGTATACCTATAGCCTTTGTAATTAACTGAATATTTATTATCCTACAATAGCAGCTTTTTTAAGGAAAGAGTATATCCAAACTGCTAAAATAATTTTAATTAATTTCTTAAATATTTTCTTTTTGCCCTATAAAATTTACAAATAAATACATTTATAATATTAGCATATTATGATAATATTAATTTATATCAAAAATACACTAGATAAAATAATATTGAAGATGCTATATGGGGAAAATACTAGTAATACTTGTAATCAATAGCTTATGGAGATAAAGTTACAATTATGCTGTCTTATTAACGAGTAGTTACTCCAATTTAGTCGATATCTTTATTTGTAAAAAAGTTAGTTGTAAATAAAGTTAACTTAGCTGATTTAGGTAATTTTAATTTATGATTTTTTTATTGAAATATTAAAGATCTAAAGTATATTTTGATTCATTAATATGTGTAATTACAAGCACATCGTTTAATCACTAATATTTTCAAACAACAATAGCTAGAGGAATTTTAATAACATGTTAACTAATAAATTATATAAATAAAATATTGATAGACATCTTTATATTAAATAGCTAATTGGAATCCTGATCAAACAAACTCATACTCTTATAGGTAAATGCAATCTTCATAACCAAACTTCAGAAATGTAAATGATTTCACAGCAGCAGATTTATGTCCTTTTGATAGCTTTTATAATGATAATTAAGGAAGTTCAACAGTATAAGAATATAGTAATTCATAAAACATCATTTGATAAAAGAAATAATTATTCTAAAAAACTTAAATTATAGAAAGAAGATAGTACTTTGGATGGTCTAATTGGTAGCAAAATATTTGGGAAAGCTTAACTGAAGAATAGCGAGATTATTTATTGTATGTTGATATGGCAATGTCTGTTGGGAAAATTATATATTATAATTAAAAATTTGAAGCAATTCAAAAATATAGTTTTTATAGTGCTCGTGAGTAAGACGATACTTGGTATGGCTTCCATCCAGGGTAATTTAAGCTCTTTTTTCAAAAACTCTATAAAAAATATGATTATTTCAATAGTTATTTAATAGGATAAATATGAAAGTTTTTGAAAAATCTTTTAAAATGTAAAAATTAATTAAATTTTTTTGGAAATATATTTAGAGAAAGATTAATGAGCAAAGGAAAATTATGGAACACTAAGGAATTCGGAGGTCCTTTTAGTTGTAACATGTAATCGAATGGAGGATATTTAGAATACCAATTACCCAAATCGGATTATTTTAATGGGTATGATTTTAACCGTTAACCATGCGCAAAGACCAATTAAGGAACATGTTAGTGCCCATATTATACTTAAAATAGAAAATTTCCAATTGTTTGGAGATGTAGACCATGGTATTTAGCCAGTGCTTAAAACGCTTATATGTAACTTCAAAATATATATATATAATTTACCAATAACAAGAATATTTAATAAAAATTATTATTCTTTTGTAATGGAGCTAAATTAATTTAATTAAATTTAAATAATCTAAAATTGAATAATCAATATTCGCTATCTCAATACATTTTTCTTTCAAAATTTTTTGAAAAAAATAAATGAATAAATACAATTAATTAATAACAAATTATTATAAAAATCTTTATATAAATAAGTACTTTTGCTGATGCATATACAGATGTAAATACAGGCTAATTGATAACTACATGCAGCTTTAAGGTTGTAACTTAGTAAGTTAATACAATAGATGACGAAAATTAGCAATCTCCTTATATGATATAAAGTATCGACTTAACTCTTGGTAATCTTTAATCTATGTATGGAAAAGGTGACGTTAACTAGGAATACTCTTATCTTGTTGCTCCTTTAACTTTTAACTATGATACAAATGTTGGGCATTATAATTATACAGCTTTTTATCATCCTTTAAATAATGGTAATTATTTTGGAAACAGTTTTAAATAAATTAACTATTTATTTTTTTTAAAGGCACGAAATAGACAATTCTTTATTTAGAATTTGCTAACTCCTCAAATTAAGATGAGGAAGTGAAACTATACAAAACATAAACTGCATTCATGTTAAACGAAAATATTAGAGAGGATGGCTGTAGCCTTTTTTCAAGCTCTCCTTCTTCGGGAATAGATAACGAAGATTCATCAAGTTCATCTTCTTCTCAACAGTAAAGTGATAATATTAAGGGGATGTATATTTAAAAAAATGGAACTAATTTCTACACAATATTCTCAACTATTAAAGTATGTTATGGAAACCTTTAGTAACAAAAAAGTTTGGTTGTAGGTTATCTTGCTAGAGCTATATCTGAAGATAGAAAGTATTAACTCACTTAAACTATTAGAAATAATTTACAATTTATGCAAATGGTTATCATCTTAACATTAATTGGATGCTTTTTGATAATATTTACAATATTGTTTTTTGTATTGTAAAAATTTTTGAAATATAACTTTGAAGAGCCAATATAGATTTTATCTAAAGTTATCATGGAAGCAGGACCATAAGAGTATTTATTTACTTATCTATGAAAAATCTTAATTTATTTTCTTAAAATTAGAATTCATCAACTACAGAATGCGATTGAAAGTGGCTAAGTGAGGACTCAGCTAGAATTAAAAAATTTGTTATCAGCTATTAATAATGTGGTCATAGGAGTTCAGAAAAAAGTTTAATAAGATCTTGATGATAATAATAGCAACAGCAATGATGATTAATTATAGGAAATAATATTTAAAGATGCTCTTTAAACTTTTTAAACTGTTGAGCATAAACTAGGCATGGGAATGTGGTAAAAATTTAAATCAAATAATACAAAATAATTTATTTCATAAAAAATACTTAAACAAGAACAAATGATGCTTTCTTTTATTATGTTAAATGTATCAACATTAACTTGTTAGTTTTTTGCATAAATTTTATTTGCATAATAAAATATCTGATTTCTAGGTCATTAAAATGAATTAGTAGAAAAGTTTTAATAAATCATATTTGCATTCAAAAGCAATTATTTTGCAATAACTTAATTTTATTATTAATTTCTTATGAAATAAAAAAATAATCCTTTAACTATTTTAAAATGCTCTTTTTATCAATTTTGCTTAAAATGATGAATCTAAACAATTTTATTGAATATAGTTTAAATAATATTGGGAACATTTACATGAGAAAAGGAGACTACAAGACAGCTTTAAAATTATATAAATCTGCTTTTTTGTTGTCTTAGGAATAGTACAAGGAAGAAATTAAATAAAATCAAGATGATTAGTAGCATAAAAATAACCATGAATTTTTGATAACTGATTCTACAAAAAGAAATTTTATGAGGATTTATGCATGCAGACAATATTAGATTGGTTGCACATTATTAAAAGCTGCTATTTGTTCTATTAAAAAATATGACACTGTCATTGAAAATTAAATTAATTAAATTATTTATGAGGAAACTTCTGCAAATTAATTAATATTAAACGAAAGAATTGTCTCAGATGAAGATCACAATAGAACAGAAAATAATAATTATTTAATAAAATCAGAAGCTAGTCAATAAATAAATGATGCAAATTTTTCTTAAAATAGGAATTTATTATAACCTTCTATCAAAAACCTAGAAGAAAAAGATAGAGAGTCTCCAATAGTTAAAAAGAGATTGAAAAACAAAAAATCAAATACAGAAATAAGTACATAAAAAATAGCAACATTTAAAAATTTGAACGCAGTCAAGGAGCAGTCATAAGAAGAAATTTACCCTAAAAATGTTATTAAATCTGATAAAAGAAAAAAAACATTAATTAAAATAAATGAATAGCACTAAAACCCTCCAAATTAAAATCAGGAAAAAGATGAAATTTAATCAAATGAAATTGTTAAAAGAATATCTTAAGGAATGAAAAATAGCGGATATGAGAATGAGAACGTTTTTTCAGATCGTTATTATTAAAAGGTGTAACATAAATTAAATAACTCTCAAGAAAATTAAGGAAATCCTGTTTTAATGAATTAAGGAGTCATCTTTGATGATAAAAATAGTTACTTAATGTAGGCATATGATTTATTTTTCGATGTTAAATCTATTTTTGATAAGCTAGGAGATTATTGTTCATAAAACTAATACTATGAAGCATATGAATATTACAGTTTATCAATAATAAATCTTCTCAAATTAGCTCAGTGTTAGTTACTGCTTGGATGTAGAAATTTTGTAGTAAAAGAACTACTTAATTAAGCAAAAGAACAAATTTAGCTCAAAGTTAAAAGATTTTAAAATTCGTATGCTAACACTATACCTCAAGATGTTCTTTTGTAAAAGTACTATTTATTGAAAGCATAGCTCAGAATTACTGAAGAAAATTACCCTAAATGTCTTAAAAATTTATTATAAAGTATAAACTTTTGTTTTGATTTACGTTCAAGTCACGAAAGTCAAATTAACTAAACTTTGGAACGTTATCATTTTTATGATCCTTTGGAATCTCTTTAGTGTGTTGAGATATTATAAGCATTAATTAAAAGAGAAAAAATTAACTTATCAGCTTCATAAAGGTAATGTCTTGAGAAGGACTACTTTAACCTAAATGATTAGTGCAAAAAAATATGTAAATTAATTTCTTTATCTAATTTTTTTTCATTTTTCCTTTTAATTATTCAGGTGAGCCTTATTTCTTCGAGGTATTTTTCAAAGAACCTTAGCAATAAAATGTATAGCCAATGGAATTACCTTAATTATGATAGCTCATCTTTCTTTTGGAAAAAACAATAAATTAATTTTACAATAAATAAAAAGTTTAAAAAGATAAAAATAAATAATTTAAATTTTGTTAAAAAATAGTAATTAAAAAAAAATTTATCTTCTCTATCTTACAAACAAAATTATTATTAATGGATTTAATATTTCTATAAGTGTGTTTAAATAAAAAATTTAAATATTTTAAAAGTAATATAATAAAAAATTATTAAACTTAAAAATTGCTAAATAATTGATGTGAACTGACTCAAATCTAAAATTATAGATATATTTTAAATAGTGATAATAATTATAGAAAACATCTACTTTTATTTTATTTATCTATATATTTAATTTTGAAAAACTTTGAAAATCTTTATCAATAAACTGATTAAATATTATTTTCTTTTAGATAAGTTATCAATTTTTTTTGATAAAAAAACCCAAGAATTTGTTTGAAATATTCAACTATTTAGAATATAACAAATTAAAAATAATTTACTTAATAAACCAAAAAGTAAAAAGTATTTATTGTAAAAATTCTAAAAAAGAAAATAAAATTCAAAAAATAATATCATATTAGATAAGAAATTAAGATACATTCAATACAATTTTTGATAAAAATTTTCTTCTTAAATTAAATTTGTTTACGGTATTTAATTAATTATTATCAATTCAAAATATTTATTTTTTATTTTTTAATGTTATCATACAACTTAAAAAAGCTTAAGAAATTGTAAAGTCATATTCATTAATTTAATTTAATTTTTTTATTTTATTTTATTTAACATAATACAGACTCTATAAAATATAAACAAATAATTATTGTATAATATATCAAGCTTTTTAATAAAATATTTGGTAATCTTTAAAATTTAGAAATATTTTCAGTAAGCTCAGAGAAGGTACTTTTATAAAAATTCTATAAAATCAATTATTGAAACAAGTATATACATTGCTTAAAATAAATTAATTTCAAACCTATTTATTATACTCTTTGACTAAGTTTTTAAAATATAACAATTCTTTTTTTTGTAAGCTTGGAGGTACTTTTTTAACAGCTTCTGTAAAATCATCTATTGAAACAGGTTTTATTTTGGTTGAATCAACACTTAATAATTCATTTTTTTTTAGTTTTCTAAGTGGAAGCATGCAAGCTTCCTTTACTAGAGCTTTAATATCACTACAAGAATATCCTTTTATACAAAACAAAATATTTTACTCTATAATTCATTCAAATGATTTGAGTTTTAAATATTGACAAAATAAAAATAATAAAAAATGTATTTACCATCTATCTTTTTAACTAATTCTTTTATCTATTTTTCGTTTAAAGAAGTCACTGCATCTTTTGTATAATATTTAATTAAATGAAGTCTCGTATTTTCATCTGGCACATCAATCAATATTCTTTTTGTCTGTAATATATAATTAAATTTGAAATTTGATTATTTATACTTCTTCTTATAAGGATTACAAATCTTCTTAGAGCAGCTGAGTCTATTTCTTATGGTCTATTTGTAGCTCCTATTACAATAACTCTATCCTAATCAGAGGAATTAGCACCATCGAACTAAATCAAAAATTCAGTCTTAAGTCTCCTAGATGCTTCGTGTTCATTCTCACATCTAGCCTTTAAAATACTGTCTATTTCATCTATGAATATAATCTTAAATTTAAAAAATGAGATTAATAGTATTTCTCAGATTGTTTTCAAAAATTAATTTTGTTCAGTAACAATGTAAGTTAATTTTAAGATTAAAAAATAATTTACAGAAGGTTGATTTACGTAAGCGCACTAAAAGAGTGCTTTTACTAGTTTCTCTCCTTCTCCTAAATTCTTACTCATTAAATTACTTGCACTAATATTATAAAAAGTTGCATTGCTTTCAGTTGCTACAGCCTTAGCAATAAGAGTTTTCCCATTTCCTGGAGGCCCAAATAGCAAAATACCTCTCGGTGGAGCTCTTATACCTTAAAATATATCTGGTCTAAGATTAGGGTAAATTATAGATTCATAGAGAGCCTCTTTTACTTCTTTTAAACCAGCTTTTTTATCAAAATAAAGTATTTTTACCAAATGAAAAACATGTTTAAAATTTTAATAAAATAAATATAAAATTACCAATATCCTCAAATTTTATTGTATTCTTTTTTTCCAACATTGTTAAATTAATTTACTACACTAAAGGATCTGTTTATAGCTGTATAAATAATTAATAGGAATTCGCTAAATAATAAGATCTTTAAGACAACAAAATTAGAGTAAGTTTTTAATTTTACCTGTTTATTTTAAGCATCTAATTACTTTTTACACTATTCAGCTAATTGAAAGTAGTCATTTGCTTTTTATGTGAGCTATTATTTTAATTCAGGATCATTTTCCTCTTTATAATTTACGAAATAACAAATAAATTGATTGATGAATAATTTGTAAATTAAAATTACATTTTTGCAACTTGACTATTCCTTCTAAAGCTAATATAAATACATATTTTGCTAGTGGATAATTTTTCACATCATATAATTGTACAGCTCTTTTTGCTATATCCACATATTATCTTATTTATTATTATTTATTTTAATCTTCTTTTTTTTTGATACTATCCATTTTAATTAATTTTTTATAAAAATTTTACTCCTATCAAACCTTAGATTTTTTTTTTGATATAAGCCTTAGATAAAGTAGATATATAAATAAATGCAAGTACTTATTTCAATGAAAAACTATTTAACTTATTGATATGTTTTGTCTATTTTTCAGTTTAAATTTTAAAAAAAGAAAATAATAACGCGCATAATAAAATACGATTTAAAATAATAATAGAATTAATTATCTAAGTATTAAAAGTTATGAAACAACCTGAAATTATTTATTTAAAAAAAGAAGATATTTTCAGAGAATTGTAATCTAATTCCATCATAGCTTTTAGCATACGGGATAAATTTGTCATCAGTTGATATATTTACATTTATATTTACAAACATTATATTATGAAAAAGAATTTATTATTTACTAATAAATAATTTACAGGATCAATTAAAGTACTACCTAAAAAATTTATAAAATTTATGGGTTTATTTTTTTTAAATTTTTTTAATATCTTTTCTAATTAGTGGTTTTTAAAAAAAGAAACACTTTTAATTGATTTTTAATTTTAAATAAAAATAATTTTCTTAGTTTTCTCAAATATCAACAATAATTAAAAAAACACTTATTTAATTTAAATAATAAATAAGCTTAAAAATTTACTTATTAGATTTTATCTTTTTAATCTAAATCTAATTCTTATTATTACATATTTACTTTAATAAAAGATATAATGTATTATTAAATAGTTAATTATACTAGTTTGCATTTGATTTAGTGACATTTAAAGTTTAATCTAATTTTAAACATATTTTAATAATGTTATTAAATTTCCATAATTATTTCAAACAATTTTATTTTTTGTTCAAATATTAATTAAAAAACTATTTTATCCTATTAAGTTTTATATTTATTTATCCAAATTATTAAACTAATAATTTTATTTAAAGAAATATAAAACTAATTTTAATTCATTACTTTACAACTTCTAATCTTAATTTTATACATTTATTTCAAAATTATTTTAATAATATCAAAAATAAGTATATATATATATAGATATCAAATATGTTTGCCCTCATTTTCTAAATAATTTAAAAAAAAAGAAATATTTTAAAAAATGTGTATTTAATTAAATATGTTTTAAATCATATTTTTTTATTTATATATTATTTTAATTTCATCACTAAGAATATTTAGACACAACAGGCAAAAATGCACACAAGAAAAAAATTTTGATTTTAAACTGTTTCATTCTACAATTAAATTAATTTGTCATAATACTTAATTTCTTCTTAATTAATAATATTTTGTAAAAAATTGAGGTTTGTTTACTACTTTTAACAAACATAAATTTTAATTATAAATATTATTTTTCAAAAATTTTTTATTCATATTAAACAAATTTTTATTATGATTTTTAGATAGATAGTCAAAAAAGAGAAGTCTCTATTAATATATTCAAATTAATATCTTGCAAAGTTTTCAGTATTTAATTATTAAAATTATTATTTATGATAATTTTGATTAATAGTTGAAATTTATTTTTATAACAAATCAAATTAATCATAAAATAAACTATTTAATTGATTTAAATAAAAAATAATTTTTGAAATTCATAAAATTTTTATTTTCAATCCAAAAAATAATATAATTACCAAAAAAATTTTTAATTTTGGCTGATCAGGTCATTAAATTTATGACATAATATTTTGTAAAAGAATTAAGTAAATGTTAGATAATTAATATTTATTTGGCAATTGAATTTATATAAACATGAATTTATTTTAAAATAAAGTCAAACAAGTAAAAGTTAATTAATTAATTAATTTTTTACTTTAATTAAACTTTTTTGTAAAAAATTATCAAATATGAAATCGATTATTCTGATTTTAAGCTTTTTGTGCTGCGTTTTTAGCAGCAAGTTAATTTCTTTAAAACTTAATGAAATAAAATTTGATGAAAAAACAGATAATTAATACTTTGCATCTAATATGCCACTTTAGCATAGATTAAGGCATTAATAAAGCTTTGAATAAGATAATCTTACTGAAATTGACCTTACTGATAACTATAAGTCTTACTATTATGTAAATCTGTAAATAGGATCACCTCCATAAAATTTTAAATTATCTGTTGATACAGGTTCTTCTGATTTATGGGTATAAAGTATAGATTGTAAAGAAAGTAGTTGTGTGAAGCATTAAAGATTTAATTATACAGCATCTAATACATTTAAAAAGACAGATAGAAATTTCTCAATTCACTATTTAGGAGGAGATGTTAAAGGTAATGTTAGTTAGGATAAACTGACTTTTGGAGGTTTCACAATTAACGACTACTGTTTTGGAATGGCATATCAGTCTAGTACTCTATTTTAATAAGTTTCATTTGATGGTATTTTAGGACTAGCATTTACATCTATTTCAAGTATAAAATCTCCAACAGTAATTGATATGCTATATCAGGAAGGAAAAATTAGTGAGAATTCATTTTCTATTTACCTTTCTTCTAAATAAAATACAAATGAATCAGAATTGATATTAGGGGGATTTAATCCTATTTATGCTGAAACAGAATTTAAATTTTATCCTATTTATAAAGATTATCAATATGTCCTGAAAGGGAACTATTTAAAATTCAATAATTTAAAAATTGATGTAAGCACAGTAATTATTGATAGTGGAACAAGCACAATTTCTGGTGATGAAAATATATTAGGACCAATCGCATAAGCATTTCCTTCTACAATAGACTGTTACAACATTACAGGGTTTCCATCTATTTTCATCAATTTTGATGGAGATGATTATGAACTTTTACCCGAAGACTACATTTATTCTTACACATACAAAGGAGTGTTAAATTGCAGATTGGGCATTAAATATTTTTAACTTAAAAACCCAGGCTAAATTATCCTTGGTGATACTTTTATGAGAAAGTATTATACATACTTCGACAAAACAAATAACAGAATAGGATTTGCAAAGGCTGCTTAAAAATAAACAGTTTAAATTTGAGAACTTAAATAAAAAATTATTTTATATAAAAATATATTTAAAATTAAATTTATAATAAATAATTAAATAAAAAAATTTATAAATTACTAAAAATTTTTATGGGTAAAATCAGGAATATTTTATACAAAGAAAATTTAAAAATTTTTAGAGTAAATAAGATTATTTTAATAATAAAGAGTTTTTATAATTAGTTACTAAATTATATATTTCATTTTTAATTTAGTTAAATGAATAAAATAAAGTAGTTTTAACTGAAAAAATGTATTATTGATAAAAATTTAATTTGTTTGAAATTAAAATACTAATTTAAAAATAAAGAAATAATTATAAAACTTAATTTTTTGCCTTATAAATAAAATAAATTTAATACAAAATCATATTTTAGATTTCAAATTAGTTATTTTTTAAATATTTTAAATTAGAAATGGAGCATTTTCTTTTGATAATTGATGAATCTTATTTTATTTTAGAGAATTTCTTTAATTTTCTCAATTAAATCAATCTAATTATAACATTAAATAGCAATCTCACAAATAAAATTTTATGAAGCAATTTTGTTTACTATTTATTTTAATATTTTTTATTGAAAATTTATTTTTTCAATAATATTTAATTTAAATCATCATACTATATTTAAATAAATTTAGATGCATTTTTAAATACAAAAGAATTAGGAATATTAACTAATTAATGTAAATGTATGGTTTTTGGTTTTTAATAAATAATTACTTGTTTAATAAGAAAAATTATTTTAATACTTGAAAAATAGAATTTGCATTATATAATAAAATAAATTTACAAATTTATTTAAATATCACTTAATATTATTTTTAAATAGATGTATGAAATTTTAGATTTACTTTGAGTAGATATTATATTAATGAAAAATATCAATAAATTAAGTTATTATTATGGTATTCTTTTAAAACTATTAATTATTGTTTCTATTAGTTAGCTAGTAAATATTAATCAATATTTATTATGAAAATGAAATGATCTTGTAGGTTGATTAATTGATTTAGTTGTATTTTATAGTTTATCAAAGAGTGCAATTAAATAAAAAAAAACGAAAAGGAGAAGAATAGCATTAATTAATTAATATCAATTATATTTGCAACAAATAATTAAATCTATAAAAATTTATTTATTATATAGTCCTATTTAAATAGTTAAAACCTAGCAAATTCAAAGTTGGAAAATTCCTCTGAATTTTAGAATAAAGTAACTTATTTAGTTAGGAAAAGGTCTTCAATTTATTGTTTCTATTTCGCTATAAATATTTTAGTTTAGATAGACAAGCCATTTTACAAACAGATTAATCAAATTAAAAAGTTTTGATTTTAGATGCAAAATAATAGCATCATTTCTACAGTGCCTAAGCAAAGAGGTGTTTACTCAGAGGTCATTAATCCAGATAACTCTATATTTTTTGGGGTAATATTTATTCTTTATCACATATGCTTTTTTTAAAGGATTATCTCATAAATTATTTGCCTCCTACTTCCATAAATTTGATTGTATTATCTCTTTTTTAAAATAATATCCAGTAAATAATGTTTATGATCCTTTTAAAGAAGGAAAATCCAATTAATATTATTGATAATAAGAGAACTCTAAAGCTATATTTTTTAAAAATTAAAATAAAAAAAAGCCCAATTCTCAAAATGGACCTGATTAGAGTATGTCAATTATGCTAACTTAAAAGTAAAGGCTCCCTAAAGCCTTTACACTCTCAAGAAAAAATAATTTATCTGAAAAGGGTTTTAAATTAATGCCTCATACCACTAAAAGCCAAACTTAATTTAGTTTAAATGCCCAGTTACAATAACAGTAATAAAGTATTTTGCAGGGAGCTGATTTTACTGCAGGAAATCTCTCTACAACCAACATACTTAGAAGATAACGCTTGAACTAAAGTATTGTGACAAAGAGTATGTAAGCTATGAATATATTTGATAAGAAAAAAATTGAAGATGATAAGACAATTGACCCAAAGGTTATGGAGCCTTTTGATCCTATTCCAGGAAGAGTACCCAGAAAAGTAGCGATAGACAGAAAGAAAAAGGAATATGCTTCCTTTGACATAGAATAGCTTCTTTAAATTGAAGTAGATTTCTTATTTATTTAAAAAAACAGGACTTTTAGATAGATAGATCTTAATTATTTATAAATAAGCAATACTTTCTTACGCAAATAAATCAATTATTCTATCTATATATTTATATAACGTTTTTTCTAGCATAACTATTTTTTTAAATCTAATGTGTCAAAATTAAGACAAATATTTATATTTATTTATTTAAAGGGTATAGATTTCAACAAGCAAGGAGATTAAGCAGAATGGCTTCCATTAGATTTATTTGATGATAATACTTTTGACGATTACCAAGGAAAAGAATGGGTTGAAAGGTTGCAAGATGAAGATGGAAATAATAGAATCATGATTGGTAAAGGTCTTAAATATGACTCAGAATAACAAAAGTTTTTATGGCTTCCTATACAAATAGAGTCGTATGACCAAGCAAGTTAAAAATTTTAAGGATTTTGGAGAGAAAACAATGAATAAGTATCTCTTCATAGAATTTACTTTTGCTTAGATGCAGAAGATCCTCGTAAATACGCAAAAAGAGTAGCTCATGCATTTAAGCAAAGGATTTATGCAGATTCAATTATAAGGTAAATTATATAGAAAATATATATTTAGCTTTTATCAGTACTTAAATAGCGGATTATTATTGAGCAAAGCAAAAGTTATTCAGCTTAAGCAAATGAAAAAATTTTTTGATATTTGCTAAAAAAAGATTCAAGAAGTCTTAAAAGAATTATTTTAAATATTAAAATCTTAAATTTAATTTTGAAAATAATATATTTTTGTTTTAGAAAATAAAAATGAGATGATTTTATTCAAAAAATTTAATAATCATAACAATTTTTATGTAACTAAAAAAATAGATACAATTTTATTATTGATAATATGCCACTACAAGATTTGAGTGAGTTAGACACTGAATAAAAAAAGAGATTGGAAGCTTTAGCTAAAACAAAATAATTAGAAAACCTTGAAACTACAGCGTTAATAATAGAAGTCAATAACGACTATGCGAGAACTATGAATAAGATTATTTTTGATAAATTTATGGATGAAAATAAAGATTAATAGTAAGAGGTTCCTCTTTTTCCTAATAATTTACAATTACCTCCTGAAGTTGAGGAAAAGGAGGTTTCATATTATGGTATGGTTCCTTTAGAGAGACATTTTGGTGCCAAAACTATGTATATTAATAACTTTGGTGAAATAAACTATGAAGATCCTAAAGATTTTACAGAGATTTTCAAAGATTTCTGCTTTGCTTCATTATTTATAAAAGAAGAAGTACTTACTTTTATTTTTGCAAATATTATTAGATTCAATTTTAACAAAATTTAAAAATATTTAGGTTATCTAAGCCTTATAGGAAATCAGAGTAGAATGCAATAAAGTTTTAGAAATGGAAATATTTAATACTGATTTAAACTCTTGTATGGTTTTAGAAGAGTTCAAGCATATCTAAGAATCTGCAACAAGCTAAATTCTCTATCACTTAAAAGGATCTTGGATTTCTGAACTCACTAAGATCATTAAAAATAACTTCTAAGGTGTAGGAAAAGGATGGTTTAACATGAAAGAAACAAACAAGATCACTTATGATTTTGGTAAGCTTAAAAGATTCTTAACTGTAGTTCGTTTGCAAATGTAAGACACAATTCTAACATTAGTTAAGAGATGTTATATTGGCTTATATGATTATTTGCTCGCCTTTGTCCCTCTTGAAGTTTAAATAGAAAATCCAAATAAAGTAAAAAATGTTTACAGAGAATCTGATGAGCTGAAAAATCAGACATAGTAAAATGGGGGAAGAGAAGATCCTATGAATGCACTCTTTTTAATCGATTTAGTTAAAACTCAGAATGATTAAGAATTTGTATACTCTACTAATCCAATGAACTTCATCAACATGATCATCCAAACTTTTGAGAAAGGGTTGGAAGAAATATCTAAAATTCCTGATTTAGAACCAAAAATTGTATAAGAGTTACACAAATCTATGAAAGCAGAGACTTACATAAGAACCCCTATGAAGCCTAGAGAAAGACCTATTACTCCGGATATGTCAGCTAGACCACGTAAGTTCCCAGATGAAAACAAATGGATTTGGGATTTACTTGAAAATCTCAAATTATAGCTAATTGAAGGTATTAAGCCATTAGATGAATATCTTGAATCTTTTAACTAATTTAAGGATGTTCTAAGAATGGATCCTGATGAAGTAATTAGAGCGATTGAAGCTGATGAAAATAACGCTTATGATGTTGATAAGATAGTTGAAGAAATTTCAAATATCAAGAAAAAAGAAGAGGATTTAAGAAGCAAAATTCCTTTAGAAATGCATGTTTCTTTCTTTTAAATATAAACTAATGAAATTTTAGGTTATTTGTGTGAGAAATATTATTAATTGTAAAAGAATTTTATTGAAATGATTGCAAAGAAAGCTAGAATGTAAACTCAAGCAATCACTAATACTTTTATACAAATTTAAAAACGTATCAAAGAAATCCCATAGAATATAGAAGAGTTGACTGAGCTGAAAGAATATATGTTAAATGTACCTATGGAGTTAGAAAAGGTAAAAGTTGAAATGAACAAGTGTTTTGAAATTTACAGCACCTTAGATGGCTTTGGATACAGGTTTTCTAAACTTGATTTAGATCAAAAGTGGACTATTTTTGGATCTCCTAAAGACACCTTAGAACTTATTACAAAAAAGTAAATAAAATGAAATATTAAGCTATTTTTAATTTTTCATTATTATATTAATAAAAAAGGACTAAAGATTTGGAAAAAGATAAGGTTAAATTCTTAGATGAGATGAAGCTGCAATAGAATGATTTTAAAGACCAAGTAGATAACTTAGAAAGAACTATCTTGAATTTCAATTAGTATAGCGATATAAATTAGCATGAAGAAGTTGCACAAACTGCTTTGAACATTATAAAGTAGATAAAGGAATTCCAAGAAGACTCCAGAAAGTTTAATAGCAGAGAAGGCTTGTTTGAAATGGAGTCTACAAATTATGAACAAATTTAAAATATGGAAAAGGAATTCTTGCCATATCAAAATATGTGGATAACAGGCAATTAGTGGTATAAAAACCAGGTTCAATGGTTACATGGTGAATGGGATACTTTGGATGCAATACAAGCTGAAAAATTTGTTGATGAAAGCATCTAGCTTCTTAATAAAGCTATCCGTAGTTTTAAAGATAGAAAAATAGATAATATTTGTTCAATTGCATAAAAAATCAAAGTAATAAATATCTTTTAATTTAAAATATCTAATACGAATTTAAATAGGCTGAAATAGAAGAGTTCAAGCCCAAAGTTCCTCTTATGGTAGGACTACGCTAAAAAGGTATGAAAGAAAGACATTGGCAAGATATATCAGCTAAAATTGGTTTCGAAGTAAAACCTACACCAGATTTTACATTTACAAAAGCTCTTGACTTAGGTTTAATGAAAATAGTTGATCATTGTGTTGATGTAGGAGAAAGAGCAGCAAAAGTAATTTATTTTTAAAACTATTTATTTTGAGATATAATTTTAATTGTTTTAACTAACTAAAGGAATTCTAAATAGAAAATATGCTTTTTGACATGAAGAATATATGGGAAAATGTTAACTTCTAATTCAAAGAATATAAATAGAGTTATATTGTCAAAGGCTATGACGAAATTCAAATCATATTAGATGATCATATTGTCAATTCATAAAATTTACAATTTTCACCTTTCAAGAAACCATTTGAACAAGAGATCATTGAGTGGAATGAGTAGCTTAAGATTATGTCTGATGTTCTTGAAGAATGGGCAAAGTGTTAAGGATAATGGATGTAATCAAAGTTTTCATATAAAAATTTTTATTTATTATATAAACAATTAAATAAGGTATCTTTAGCCTATTTTTGATTCTCCTGATATTGCAAAGCAATTGCCAGCAGAAACCAAAAAATTCAAAACTGTTGATAGCACTTGGAAACACACTATGAACCAAGCTAAGATGATAGTAAATGTAAGAAGAGTATGTATAGGTGAAGGTCTATTAGAAAGACTGTAAGAAGCAAATAAAAATCTTGAAATCATTTAAAAAGAATTAAATAATTATTTGGAGAAAAAAAGAGAAATATTTGCACGTTTCTACTTCTTGTCGAATGATGATTTGCTTGAAATTCTTTCTCAAACAAAAGAACCAACAGCTGTCTAACCTCATTTAAAAAAAGTATTCGAAAATATCAATGAGATAGAATTTGATGAAAACAAAAGAATTAAAGCTATGATGTCTGCAGAAAAAGAAAAAGTAGATTTCATTGAATTAGTTGATCCAAAAAATAAAAATGTTGAGAATTGGATGAATGAGCTAGAAAACATGATGTGCAAGTCTGTTAGAGCAGCACTTAATAATTCAGTTTTAGACTATCCTACAAAGAAAAGAACTGAATGGGTAATTAGTCATCCAGGTAAATAATTGTTTATGCTAAATTAAAAATTTATATTTAAAATTTATGCCTTTATTGACTTAATATTTTTAATGATATTTAGGTTAATGTGTTCTTAATGGCTCTTAATTGGTTTGGACAAATTCGGTTGAGGTTGCATACAAAGATGGCGTAAAAGGAGTCAAATTATATTGGGACAAGCTAGATATCTACTTAAAAGATTTAGTAGAGTTAGTCAGATAAAAATTAACAAAATAATAGATGGTAACCATAAATGCACTGATTGTGCTTGATGTCCATGCTAAGGATGTTGTCGAAAATTTATGGAGAACTAATGTTAATGATATTGCAGCTTTTGAATGGATTTCTCAACTGAGATATTATTGGGAGAATGATGATTGCTTTGTTAAATGCATTTAAACTTCATTCCCTTATGGTTATGAATACTTAGGAAATACACTTAGATTAGTTATAACTCCTCTTACTGATAAGTGTTATATGACATTAATGGGTGCTTTAAAACTAAATTTAGGTGGTGCTCCTGCTGGACCAGCAGGAACAGGTAAAACTGAATCAGTAAAAGATCTTGCTAAAGCCTTAGCAAAGTAATGTGTTGTTTTTAATTGTTCTGATAGTATGGACTACATTATGGTTGGCAAATTCTTTAAAGGTCTTGCTAGTGCAGGTGCTTGGTGTTGTTTTGATGAGTTTAATAGAATTAATATTGAAGTACTCTCTGTTATCGCTTAACAACTACTTATCCTATTTGGTGAAAAAGCAAAAGGTACTCCAGCTGTTGAATTTGAAGGTTCAGTTATCAAACTTAAACCTACTTTTTGTGTCTTTATTACTATGAATCCTGGTTATGCAGGTCGTACAGAACTTCCAGATAATTTAAAGGCTCTTTTCCGTGCCGTAGCGATGATGGTTCCAGATTATGCTATGATTGGAGAAATTATGCTTTACAGTTTTGGTTTTACAGAAGGTAACAATTACAATTAAAATAATTTAAATTATATTAACATCTATAAAAATATTCATTTCAATAAAATATAATTTTAGTATAATTTACAAAACATTATAGTCAAATTTTTAATAAATTTATAAAAATTTTAAATGAATTTATCATAAAAAATTTATATTAATTTTAGGTAGAAAATTAGCAAAGAAAATGGTTGCCACATTTAAACTTTCATCAGAATAATTATCTTCATAGGATCATTATGATTATGGTATGAGAGCAGTTAGAAGTGTTATTAACGCAGCAGGTCTTTTGAAGGCAGCTAATCCAGATATGGATGAAGGTTAGCTTTTACTTCGTGCACTAAGAGATGTAAATGTTCCTAAGTTTTTAAAAGATGATCTTCCTTTGTTTGAAAATATTATGTCTGATCTTTTCCCTGGTGTCGAAAAACCTTAGGTAAATTATGGAAAGTTACTTAATTCGATTGATCAAAAGTGTATTGAACAAGGATTATAACCTGTTCCCCCATTCATTGCTAAGATCATATAACTTTACGATACTATCTAAGTCCGTCATGGTCTTATGATAGTAGGTCCTACTGGTGGTGGTAAAACTAGTAATTATAAGGTATTGCAAGCTGCTATGAGCCATCTACATGATTAAGGCTTTGCTAAAGTTAATGTGCATATTCTTAATCCAAAGAGTATAACTATGGGATAATTATATGGTTAATTTAATGAACAAACTCATGAATGGACTGATGGTATTCTCTTTACTTTTTTTAATCAATATTTTACAAAAAATTTAAATAAAAGGTATTCTCGCTTACAGAGTTAGAGAGTGCTGTAGAGATCAATCAGTAGATAAACACTGGGTTATGTTTGATGGTCCTGTTGATGCTATTTGGATTGAATCTATGAATACTGTTTTGGATGATAATAAAAAACTATGCCTCAATTCAGGTTAAATTTTAACTCTTACTCCTTAAATGACTATGATGTTTGAGGTAATTTAAATTATGGTTAAATAATAAAAATATATTAAAAATATGAATATAATTAATAGGTTGAGGATTTAACTGTTGCCAGTCCCGCTACTGTTAGTAGATGTGGTATGATATATATGGAACCTGATTCTTTAGGAGTGAAACCACTAATTGAATCATGGCTTAATACAATACCTTAAAACCTTTATAAATTTGGTAAAATTGCAGAAAAACTAAAGAACCTATTCGATGCTTACATTGAAGATGCTTTATGGTTCTTACGTCGTAACATTGTAGAACCAGTAACTACTATGAATAATAATCTTTTGTAGTCATTATGCCGTTTATTGATGTGCTTTTTCAGAAATTATGAAGAAACAGAAGTTAAAAAAATATAAGAAGAAGAATTATAAGGAGTTGAAAGGTCTTTAGAATCTTTATTTATATTTTGTATGATCTGGTCACTTGGGTGTACTGGTGAATATGAGGGGAGAATTAAATTTGATCATTTTTTAAGAGAAAAAGTTTAATAAATAAGTCCAAATGTTATTTTACCAGAAGAAGGAACAGTATATGAATATGAATTTGATTTATCTATGAAATAGTTTACACGCTGGAGTGAGAGGAATAAAGAATTTTAGATTGACTAAAAAGCTCAATATCATGAAATTATGATTCCTACCTAAGATTCTACTAGAAATTCCTTCATAATTAAACTCCTCCTCTAAAATTCTTATCACATTTTAACTCCTGGTCCTACAGGTAAACACTTGATTATTTTCTATTAAATTTTGAGATTTTGCTAATTTTTAAAAAATAAAAAAATTGAATAAAAGGTACTGGTAAGTCTTTGAACATATCTAATTTATTAACATCTGGATTAAGTGAGAGCTTCTAATCTATATCAATTACTTTTTCAGCATAAACAAGTGCTAATTAGACTTAGGATACAATAGATGGTAAAATGGATAAAAGAAGAAAAGGTGTTTTTGGTCCTCCTATTGGTAAAAAGTTCATTATATTCGTTGACGATCTCAATATGCCTAAGAAAGAAGAGTATGGAGCACAACCTCCTATCGAACTTATTAGGTAGTATCTTGATCATAAAGGTATTTAAAATAATAATTGATATATTTAAAACTTTAATTCTATTTTTTTTAGTTAAAAAAAACTTTCTAAATTATCTTCAAAAAAGTTGTAAAAAAACAAAATATGATAAAAATGCTTAATTTTTATCTTTATCATATGAATTTTTAATTTAAGATTTATTTAAATGAAAATTTATAGGTTGGTACAATAGAAGGGACTTGCAATTTATGAAAATGGAAGATGTGATTATTTTAGCTGCTATGGGACCTCCTGGTGGTGGTAGAACTTTTATTACTAACAGGGTAGTCCGTCATTTTAACATTTTAGGATATACCGAACTTGATTAGAACACCATCTAAGAAATATTCAAGAATTTAGTTTCATTCTTCTTAAAAAGATTTTCTGAAGATATCAAATAGAATATTAGCAATGTTGTTAAAACTGCCTTGGACGTATATAATTAAGTTAAAATAGATCTTCTTCCTACTCCTTCTAAGTCACATTATACATTCAATCTACGTGATATTTGGAAAGTATTTTAGGGAGTTTGCTCGATTACACCTAAGTTCTGCACAGATTTAAAGTCATTACTAAGATTATTCTATCATGAAAATATGAGAGTATTCCATGATAGATTAACAACAGACTCAGATAGAAAATATTTGCATAAGCTTTTAGTTTAATAATTCCAAGGTTACCACATAAAAGAAGAAGATGTAATATATTAAAGTTTTAGAAAATAAAGTATTTAATTATGATATTTAATAACAGGTAATAGACAATGAACGTATTATTTATGGTGACTTTTTGTCTGGAAGAGAAGTAGATATAAGAAATTATTAGCAAGTTACTGATTTGAATTCTTTATTGGATAAAATGGACAATTTCCAAGAAGAATACAATAATGATAGCTCATTCGTTTTTGGAGGCTAGAAAAAGCCTATGAAATTAGTTATGTTCTTAGATGCTTGTGAACATATTGCAAGGATAGCACGTATTATAAGATAGCCAAATGGTAATGCTCTCATTTTGGGTGTTGGTGGTTCAGGAAGATAATCATTAAGCAGAATGGCAACTTTCATTACTAACTATAAGATTTTCTAAATAGAAGTTATCAAAAATTACAATATGAGAAGCTGGAGAGATGATGTCAAAAAAGTTCTTCTCTATGCAGGTATAGAAAACAAGCCTATTTCTTTCTTGTTTTGTGATACTTAGATTATTAAAGAATAAATGATGGAGGATATAAATAATATCCTTAACTCTGGTGATGTAACAGGAATCTACCAAGACAAAGTAATTAAGAAAATTAAAATTTTCACACGTTATATAATATTATGTTTAATTAGGATTAAGAAGAAATTATGGCAGCATGCAAGGCTGATTGTTTGAAGAAGCAATTGCCTCCAACTAAAATGAACATTTTTACTATTTATTTGAGTAGAGTAAGAAAGAATATTCATTTAATTATTGCTATGTCACCTCTCGGAAGTGCTTTTACAACAAGACTTCGTATGTTCCCTTCTTTGGTTAATTGTTGTACAATTGATTGGTTCACAGAGTGGCCAGAAGTAATTTTAATAAATTTTAACATTTAAAGATCTAAACGTTTTAATAATCTAAATTTAGGAAGCTTTAATTAATGTTGGCAAAGGCTAATTATAAGATTATGAAGAAGACCTCCAATTAGGTTAAAATCTTGGTACAGTTGTGGTAAATATAATTTATTTCAATAGAAATACAGAGAATATGTTTAAAATACTTTTTTAAAATAAATAAATCAGGAAATGTTTAAAATCATTCACAAATCTGTTGAAAAGGCTTCAAATAAATTTTATGAATAATTACGTAGATACAATTATGTTACTCCTACTAGTTATTTAGAGTTACTTTCAACTTTTAGAAACGTCCTTTCTTTCAAAAAGAAAGAGGTTCAAAAGAGTATTTAGAGACTCAAGTCTGGTCTTGATAAGCTGGAGGAAGCTAACAAATCAGTTGAAGAAATGAGAATAGTACTTAAAGATATGCAACCTTAACTTGAGAAAGCTTCTGCTGAGACAGAGAAAATGATGGAAAAGCTATCAGTAGATAAAGCAGATGCTGATGCTACCTAAAAAGTTGTTGCTGTAGAAGAAGCATAAGCTACTTAATAAGTAAAAGATTAATTAATTTCCTTACAAATATTTTGATTTATTTTAATAAACTATTAGGCTGCAGAAGCTACAAAACTTGCAGAAGAAGCAGAAGCAGCTGTTGCTGATGCTAATAGATAATTAGCAGAGACATTAGCTGAAGTACAAAAACTTAAAAAGGAGCACTTAGTTGAAATTAAATCCCTTGGTTCTCCACCTACTGCAGTCAAAGTCACATTAGGTGGTGTTGTGATATTAAATTAGGAAGCTATTAAATAAAATGGTGGTCAAATTATTATGAGTAATGTTGAAGGTTAGGTAGGAGGTAAGAAGGAAGAAAACTATTTTGAAACAGCTAAAAGATATTTACTTAGTGATACTAAATAGTTGTTAGATCTTTTGATGACTTATGATAAGGATGCAATCACTGGTGCTACAATTAAGAAATTAGAGGAAAAAATATTAAATCAGCCTGAATTTACTTTTAATGCTGTCGAAAGATGCTCTTTTGCCACTAAATTCTTGTATATGTGGGTAAAGGCAATGGTTGATTATTATAAAGTGTATACTGAAACTAAGCCATTAAGAGAAAAATTGATTGAAATGAGGAGAATTGTCGATGAAAAAATGGGATAATTGAGAATAAAGAAAGAAGAACTTGCAAAGATCAATGCTAAGATATAGCACTTGGAAGAAATGTTCTCATAAAAAATGAAATAAAAGGAAGAGCTTACTCGCAAAATAGAGGAGTGCGAAATTAAATTAGAAAGAGCTAAAAAATTAACTGATGGTTTGTCAGAAGAATCAGTTAGATGGGCCTAGGATATTTAAGCGTTAAATAATAAAGCAAATTTAGTGCCAGCTCATTCAATTATAGCTGCCGGTATGATAGCATATAGTGGCCCATTCACATCTAACTTTAGGTAAGATCTTGAATAAGATTGGGTGTTAAATCTTGCATAGCTTGAACTAGAGCACGACACTAAAATCACAATGAGATCTTTCTTGGGTGAGCCAGTTAAGATCTAATAATGGAACATTAGTGGTCTACCCAAGGATGATACTTCAATCGAAAATGGTATTATTATTGAATAGGGTAGAAGATGGCCTCTTATGATTGATCCTTAAACATAGGCAAATAAGTATATCAAAAATATGGGTAAAGACCATTTAGAAGGTAAAAAGACATTTTTATTTTATTTTTTATAGATCAAATATATTTTTAATTAAAATAAAGGTATCGAAATTGTCAAAGCCAATGAAGCAACAATTATGAAGACTATGGAATTATCTGTACAATTTGGAAGATGGGTGCTTATTGAGAATGTAGGCACTGATCTTGATCCTTCTCTTGAGCCTATTTTGCAATAGTAGGTTGTTAAGCAAGGAAGTGGCTATGTCATAGTTATTGGTGATAAACCATTAAACTATTCTGATCAATTTAAACTTTTCCTCACTACTACTATGCCTAATCCTCATTATCCACCTGAAACATTTGTAAAAGTTAGTATAATTAACTTTGCAATTACACCAAGTGGTTTGGAAGAATAAATGTTAGCTCAGATAGTTGCATTAGAAAATCCTACTCTCCAGTAAAAGAAAACTGAAATAGTCAAAAAGAATGCTGAAGATTAGAGGGCTTTAATAAAAATAGAAGACTCTATCCTTGAAAGCTTATCAGGTACTGGAGAAATTTCAGAAATATTAATGGATGAAACATTGATAAATCAACTCTAAACTTCTAAAAAATTCGCTGCTGAAATCAATTAGAGAGTAAAAGACTCAAAAATAACAGAAGCACAAATAGATGAGGCAAGAGAAAGCTATAGAGCAGTTGCTTTCAGAGCTTCTATACTCTTCTTCTGCATAGTCGATTTAGCATCAATTGATCCTATGTATTTTCATTTTATATTCCTAAAATAAATTTAATAATTATTTACTTTTGTAGGTATCAGTATTCATTGTAATGGTTTACTAATTTATTCATAATGGGTGTAGAAAAAGCTCCAGAGTCAAATGAATTAGAATAGCGCTTAGAAAATTTAAATAACTACTTTACTTATTCCTTATATGAAAATGTTTGTAGGTCGCTTTTTGAAAAGCATAAATTAATTTTCTCTTTCATGCTTGCTGTCAAAATTCTTCAAGGCCGTAATGAGATGGATGAAGTAGAATGGCGTTATTTCTTAGCAGGTCCCTCAGGTGAAGTGCATATACCTTAAAATCCAACTACTTGGATTTCTGAAAATTCTTGGCCAGATATCTACAGATAATTCTATGGAATGAACCAATTAAGCAGTTTTAGAGGCATTAATGATCACCTTATTCAAAAATCTGATAGCTGGAAAAGTATTTTTGATTCTACAAATGCATAAGAAGAACCTTTGCCTGAAGAGTGGAATGAAAACTTAAACAGCTTCTAAAAGCTAATAGTTCTTAAATCAATACGTCCAGACAAAGTAAAAAAAATATAATTAGCTTTTATCAAATATTAATAAATTTTTATTAGGTTGTATAAGGTGTTTAAAATTGGATTTCAGAAAAAATTGGTAGAGAATTTATTATTGTTCCTACATTTGATCTAAGCAAGTGCTATAAAGATTCGAATGTAGTCAGTCCTTTAATTTTCGTACTTTCTTAAGGTTCAGATCCTATTGCAGATTTCCTAAAGTTTGCAGAAGATATGGAAATGACCAAAAAGTATGACTCAATATCTTTAGGTTAAGGCTAAGGTCCTAAAGCAGAGAGATTGATAAAAGAATGTGCTTAAAGGGGTTATTGGGCACTTTTATAAAATTGTCACTTGGCAATTTCATGGATGCCTGAACTAGAAAGAATTTGTGAAGGCTTGAATGAAAATATGCATCAAGATTTCAGGTAAAAATAAATTTAAAATCTATTAAAAATAATATATAATTTTTGAAATTAATAGACTATGGTTAACAAGTATGCCTAGTGGTTCATTCCCCATATCAGTACTTTAAAATGGTATTAAAATAACTATGGAACCTCCTTAAGGTTTAAGAGCTAATTTATTAAGAACTTACAAAAATCTTACAGAACAAGAATTAGTTGATTGCCAAAAACCATAGGAATTCAAAAAATTGCTATTTGGTTTCTGTCTTTTCCATGCTATTATTTAAGACAGAAGAAAGTTTGGTGCTATTGGCTGGAATATACCATATGAATTTACAAATGAAGATTTGAATGTATGTAAAAAGTAATTAAAAATGCTATTGGATGAGTATCAAAAAATTCCTTATAAAGTAATTAATTTCCTTGGTGCTGAAATCAATTACGGAGGAAGAGTTACAGATGATAAAGATGTTAGATTAATCAAAAGTATATTGAAGCTCTACATTAATGCAGAAGTAAATAGAATTTTAATTACTTACTTATTTTCTAAAAGGATTTAAATTTTTTTTATAATTATTCAAATTTTTTCGAAACATATTCTTTCATTTCAAGATAAAGTTTCTTGCAATTTTTAAAATTTTTTTAATTGAATTATTGAAGTCGTTAGGCGATAAATATTAGTATTCTGAATCTGGTATTTATTACTCCATCCCTGCAGGTAAACTTGAAGATTATATTAAATACATAGAGGGATTACCCCTTAATCCTTCTCCAGAAGCATTCGGATTGCATGATAATGCTGAAATAACAAATGCTTAGAATGAAACAATGAATTTATTGGCCACTATTCTTTCCTGTCAACCAAGAAGTTCTACAGGTCATGGTAAATCTAGAGAAGAAATAATTGAAGATATAGCAGTAATGGTAGAAACAAAAACTCCTGAGCTATTCGATATTGAAATCATTTAAAGATCATATCCTACTTTATACGAAGAATCTATGAATACAGTTTTAGTTTAAGAACTGATCAGATACAATCGTTTACTTAAAGTTTTGAAAGAGTCTTTAATAAATTTGAAAAAAGGTCTTAAGGGATTGGTTGTACTATCAGAAGAATTAGAGAAATTATCTAACTCTCTCTATGATAATTAAGTAATTAAAATTTTATTCTTCATTTATTCAAATTCAAATATAGAAAGAGGTTTTTTGCCTCAAAAATTTTATTTTATAATAAAAAAAATTTAAATTATTAGTTCATTAAAAACAGAATTTTTTTTAGAAAAATAATTCATTAAATTTTACTTTATATTTTTAAACAATATCATTTATTGTTTAATATTAATTTTTATTCTTAATTTATAAACTATATTTATAAAAAAAAAAACACATCAGTAAATATAAGGATTAAAATTTGTGTTTGAAATGTTTATACTATTTTTTATGAAATTAATTCAAAATTTTGATAATAAATTTTAATAAACTTACAAAAAGGTACCATAACTTTGGGCAGATAAAGGGTTTTTATCTTTAAAACCTCTATCTTCTTGGACTTAAGATTTAAATGATCGTATTTCATTCTTGTAAAATTGGATAGATAATGGTACTCCAAAAGTATTTTGGATTTCAGGTAAAAACAATTAAATTGAGTTTATTTATTAAAATAAAATTTAGATAGGATGTCTAAATTGTTTATAATTATTTATTATTACCGTTATTCATTTATTAATAGCTATTAAATATTTTTAAATTTCATGTAATTTATTTAAAAAATTAAAAATAGGATTCTTCTTCCCTTAAGCTTTTATTACTGGAATGACTTAAAATTATGCTAGAAAAAAAGTTATAGCAATTGATCAATTGTAATATGAGTATTAAATATTAGATACTTTAACTCACACAGATATCACAGAAAAACCAGAAGATGGTGTTTATGTATATGGTATATTTTTGGAAGGTGCTAGCTGGAATTACAAAAAACATATAATAGACTAGCCTATACCAAAAGAACTGTTTTCTGATTTGCCTTTAATGCATATCATACCTACTGCAGAGAAAGAGCAAGGATCAAAAATAATATATTAATGTCCTATGTATAAAGTAGTTTCAAGAAGAGGTACTTTAAGTACAACAGGACATAGTACTAACTTTGTTATGCCTATAGAACTTCCAACTAAGGAAAAAGAAGACATATGGATTAGAGCAGGTGTGGCTGCATTCCTTTCTTTAAGATATTGATAGAAAAATAAATATTTCTATCCTAAAAATAAAAAATATTTTAACTGTATAACTTTAATAAAATTAAATAATTATCTTTTTATGTAGAAAGCATTAAGATAAATAAAGTAAATATAATTATTTGAAAAATTTTTTTAATGTGCTGAACTACTTTTGTTCTACTAAGATATTTTAATAAAAAGATAATAAAAAAATATTTATATTTAAAATTAAAAAAATAATTATTCTCTTGATTTTTATACATCTTAAATCTTTTATTAAAAATTTTCTATAGCTATTGACAGACACTGAAAATTTTTGTATTATATTTTCATAGTCTTTCTTATTGCAATTCAAGTGTTTCTATTATTAAATTTAAAATTAATTAAAAGTCTACCTTCATGTTAGGATGAAGATTAAACAGGAGTTGCTTCTTTAGAAAATCTATTAATAGTCTTATTTAAATATGTATTTTTAAATAAGAAAAGTTTAAAAAAAAAAAATTAATCATCTTTGACAGAATTCGTTTTTATTATTTTACTAAATAAATATTTTTATTTTTTTAATAAAAACTAAGCAATCTAATGCTATTTTTTAAAAATTGAAACAATATAACTATAAATGATAATAAATTTCGATTTTTCAATATTTTAAATGAAAATAAAAATTATAAAATAGACTTTAAAGAAATTTTTTTTTCTCTTTTAATTATAATTTTTTTATTCGATTCAAGGAGATGAGTAATCATACTTTTATTTTTTAATAATTACCTCTTTCAAGGGCATTAAATTCATAAAATAAATTTCACTTTTTAAAAGCTTAAAATTAAAGGATAATTATGAAATATTTGTATTGATATTATATTTTCATATGTTTTTATTGTATAGTTGATAAGTATTACTTACCAAATATGTAAATCACTTGTGTGGCTCACAAATCATGATTATTGAGAAATGTATTTATTGAGCATAAACGTCTGGTAAACTGAAATATGTTATTAAGATAGATAGAACTAATTATTTTACGCAATACATAAATAAAGATTATTGAAAAATATTTAAAAGCTTAAAATCATCTAGCAAGTTTGCAATATATTTGTTTGAACAAATCAATTTTTTTTAGAGTAGTTACTGAGTCTATAAATTAAAAATTAAATAGCGAAATGCCTCTACTGATTAGAATTATTTTTATACGAATAACTATCATTTAAACAGAAATATATTTATCAAAATCAACTTAAAATATCAAGAGATTCGTATTGTGATACATAAACAAAATTTATTACATTTTACTTGTTTTATAATTTTTTATATCTTAATCTAAAATTTTAGATTTTTTCCCTTAGATGACATCATAACCATGATTACGTCTTTAAGCAGGGTGTAAACTACTAAAATGTTAGGCTAATTCAAAACTCTAATAACTTTTAAATCCGGATTTTACCCCTCTTAAAATATTTAGTGCATTGAATAAGATTTGATATTTTTGGAAAGGTATACTTGAAGTTAAAACTACTTTTTAAATATTTTGCTCTTTGAAATAAAAGCTTACAAATAATCTGAATATTTTTGGAAAAAAAAATTGATTCAGTAACGTAGGAGCCTTTTTTGAGTGAATAAAATTGAATTTGTCTTGATCAATTAATAAATTTAATTTTTATATATCAGATAAGAATAGAAAAAAATTTATCAATATATGAATTAAATAATGATTTAAAAAATATTAAATCTTTTATCCCAAAATAAAGTTAACATTTATAATTATCACTCATTTAATAAGTTAATAATACTGAGCAATCATCATTTACCTCAAATTTTTTTCTTCTGTCAATAACTGAAAATCAATCCGTTAATCATTTTAAGGTAAACGTAAAAAAAATTAAAAAATAATAAGTAAGATTTTTAATGAGTTGGTTCACATATATAGAAGCTTTATTTTTTGTATTTTTAAAAAATATTTATTGATGTAAATAAACATGTAAATAGTAAGAGTTTTAATTAGTAAAAATATTTGGTATTAGCTTACTGATATTTGAAAACAGCAAAAATATTTCTAAATTTATAGTTTAATCATAACACTTTATAAAATGAATGTTAAGAAAGTTATGAATATATGATATATTTATTTAAAAATGCAAAAAATTAGCCAGAATAGCAATGTTCATGACAATTGATGAATTCTATTACTCATATAATCTACTGATGTTAAAATTACTCAAATTGGAATGCGCTTCTCTAATAATTTTAGAAATATGGCTTATAGAAGTTATATAATTTATTTCTTCAAAATTTATAAGATTTAGGTTACTAAACATTAATGCAATTTCAAAAGATTATGATTACTTGTTAAAAATTCAACGGAGCAATTACTCAAATACAAATTATTATTAATTCTATCGAAATCCCAAATACAATATAAGCCTTACAAATATTCTTTTCTTTGAGATATCTACGAAAGGCTAATTTAATTTATGATAAAATTTCGATCTAAAAAAAGGAAATTCAAGTTACTTTTATCTAAATTGTCAAATATTTTTTTTTTAATTGTTCTTTTTCAAGTAATTACAAATTACAGTTAATCAGAATAAGCAATAGTGGTTGGAGAGTTTGAAAGTTACTTAATTTTTTTATTATAAATGGTGTATCAACAAGAGTGTATTGAATAATTTTAAAGAGGAATTGAATTCAGACAAAAATATCTTTTTAAAAATAAAATGAAATAGTGTGAGTGTGTGTCTTTTAAATTATATTTTAAAATTAAAGAAAAAATGAGGAAAATGTTGTTATCTATGATTACTAATAGAAGTAGCAGTAAGATTAAATTAAATTATGTAATTAAAGGCATATATTAAATTGCAATTTAATGACTGTATTTTTAAGAAATTAAATTAGATAAATCCATTAACTTTTGCAATGATTTTATCCACTCAAATCGACCATTAAAATTGTAATCTTTTTGTTTTTAATATATACGAAATTATTTGCTCAGTCAAAGCTTACATAGATAAATTGAAGTACATTTAATCTATAATAAAATTAATCAGGATGGTGTTTTGTTAAATTTGGTAAAAAGCTAATTTACACTTGTGATGAAATAACTATAAATTAGAAGCATTTGTAAGTTAAATGGTAAAATTTTCAATACTTAAATATAATATTTATTCATAAATGAGTCATAATTTATTTAATTAATTGGTTAATTGGTGGTAATAAATAATAAATGATCTAAACAACATTTGAAAAAAAAGAAAAATTAGACATGTAAATATCTAGAAAGATAGATTATATTTAAGCAGTAATGATAATTTAAACTATTTCTTTAGAAATCTGATAGCTACTTAATCTTACAAATCACTAATATTTCAATCAATTAGTTTAAATTGTACTATGCTAAATTAATTTAGCTGATTTAAAGATTTTTCAAATAGCTAAGATATAATAATTAGTCAGATTTTTTAATTTATTTGGTTAAAGATATTGCTTTTGCTCGAATGTATCTTAATAAAATATTCTTCTTTTCTGTTGCTATTTTACTATTCAAGTAGTACCAATTAATCATAAATACAATCTACTACTAAACTATTTTTCTTGCGCGCTCAGGCTAGCTGTTCAATCTAGACAAAAAGCATATTTCCGAAATATATATCAATTTTTATAAGAAATGAAACTTTTTCCATGAAGATTTAATTGACAAAGTAAAATAATTTGTATTTTGTTAGGCTGGACGAAAATTTATTTGTAAGTAGGAGCCGAAATAAATTATTAAATAATATATGTAATTTTGAAAAGTCAAGCAGTAAAAATAATAAATTTGTTTTCTATCCAAATAAGAAAGAATATCAGGAGGGCCAGTAAAAATTAATCAATACCTTTAATTAAAAGAACAACAACTAAAATTTATGATCAGAAGGCACTGATTGTGCTCGTCTAACGTTAAAAAAGTCTAAAAAGTAAAATTGAAAAAATAACAAAGGACATAGTCATTTTAATTAAATAAGGTAAAGAGGTCAGAGAGAGGAAAAATTCAATTAAAAAGGGAAATTATCAATATCGAAGTAACACAAGACTAGATATTTATTTTTTGTTTCTTTGATTTAATTCATCCAAATTATTTATTACTCATCTACTTCTTTATTTACTAATTTTTAATATATTTGTATGTTTATTATCTTGCTTATCTGATCCTAATTTATTTATATTATTTGTTTTTTCCCTCAGTAATTATGACTTTATCAAAATTATGGATAGAAAAGAAACAAAATCTATGAACAGCAGTATTTTATTTGTAATTGCTTTCATCAAATTGAATTTATAAGGTTTAGTTGTTAATTTTTGCTTTTTTTCTTTTAGATGGATTTTTTGAATGACTGCTTCATCTCTCTCACATTCATTCATTCATACATGCATATATTCATATATTCATAAATACTAACATTCACTCATGCATATAGAAGTAAATAAAGAATATCATTCATTGATTCAAGAATATATATTTCCTTGTTTAGTTTTTAATTAAAAAATAAAGGATGAATTTTAAATTTGAGACATTCATTTTAATATAGCAACAAATTACTTATCTAATGATAAAAAATAACTCAAGTCATAATCTTAAATTTAATTATCTAAATTGACCCAATAAAAAATATACAAGCTTGAATTTGAGCATCTATTTGTGAGAAATACAGGCAATTTCTTATTCATTAATTTGATAACATTTTTAAAATAGTTAGTAGAGTTAATAAGCATTCTTTTTTAGAAAAATTCAACACAATTTCATCTCTTTGATTACTACTTCATTCTCTTATACTACTGTGTTACCATTTTTTGTAAATTTTAGAGCTTAATAAAGCGAAATGATAAATTGCATAAATATATAAAATATTGAGTTCTATGGCAGATATCTGCTTTGGTTACTGATTACAATATATAAAAAAATATATCAAATATTTTGAGCATTTAAAACTGTAATTAAATAGAAACACACTAGGTTAAACAGTAAAAAATGAATACTAAAAAATAAGAGTTGCATTCATAATATTTTATGTGAGTTTATTTTTTTTCTTGAAAGAAGGATAAACAATTTAAGCTGATAGGTATCATTGATCAGTTAGAGTTAAAGCATATTTTAAGAGTAGTAAGTATTGCTGATATTCAGAATTAAACCATTTTTTTAAATGAGAGAAACTATTAATTTTAACTAAAAATTTAGTTAGATTTATTCAGTATATTTATCTAATGTCTATTTCGCAAAAGCCAAAAATTAAATTGTTCAGATGATATAAAATTTACATACAATAATAATTTTATGCGTTTTCGTTGATTTTATTTTGTTCTTATTTCACCCTATTTTAAATAATACTATTGTAGATTTATCTACTAAATTTTAATGATATAAAAAAACGAGGCAATATTCTTTTAGCGATTTGAATTTACAGCATTTTTAAGGCAAGCGAATAAAAACTAAAATAAATTAAATTACAGCTCATATTAAATATTTAGTATTTTGATTATTTTAAGCTTTTAAACAGTCAAATTTTTTTTTTTAATAGTTGAGGAAGCAAACTGGACTGAATAAATATGAAAATTATAAAAAGAACTCCAAAAACAATAAATATTTATATATTTATAGCCTAAAAATAAATTAGAAAATTAGGAGATATTTTTTTGAATAAACTAAATATAAGTACCCTATTTATTCATGCACTAAAAAGAAAAAAATTAAAAAGAAATAACATTAGTAATGGTTGTATGTTGATAAGTGTTGTGATTTATTCATATTAATGAAGTGTTTAGAAATAATTACTTTAATTATTCCCTTATTTTTTGTTAGGTTATGGGGAAATAATATTAAAAATGAAGGGATTAATAGAAGATATAGATAGATAGATACAAAGTAAGAATTAAGCAAAATAGAATGAATGAATGAATGAATGAATAAATAAATTAATTAATTTATCAAGGGAATGGGTGAGGAGTTGAAAAGAGTTGATGCAAATAAAAATTTCTCTAAAATTAGAGCAGAAGTTTTTTCATTAAATTTATAAAGAATAATCTTTTTTTATACAGTTGAGATTTGATAAACGTAATTTAATTTTTTAGAGTTATGAACAGCTATGACCCTTAGTTAATTTTAATTCAAACTTAATTGTTTTTAATGGCAAAGTATCAATTCCATGAATGAAGAATTAAGTTTTTTTGTATTTATAACTATCGGTGAGAGGCACTAAGAAATACCCAAAGTCAAATTGTAAAAAGGAAGCGAAATAAAGGATTATTTCGTCAAATCTTTTTATATAATTTTTTGATTTTTAATTATATATCTAAATCTCAGTGTCTTTAAAGTGGTTAAAGATTGATTGAAGGTTAATATATTTGCTTGTAAATAATAGGTGCTTGTTTTCTCATTGCCAAAAAGAGTAGAGAAAGGAGAGATTGATAGAATGCATGAAGCAAGCGATTGATTAATATTTTGAATGTATGAATGAATGAAGAAAAATAAAGGAATGAAATAACAAAGTCAAATAATTAATTAATTAATTTATTAAATAAATAAATAATAATCAAACTGAGCCTTTAAAGTATTAAGGATAGCTGAAATATTATAAAAAGAAAATTTGTAGAAAGGACTTTTGATTATAAAAAAAAGAAAAAAAATTAAATTAAATCAATTTATTAACTAAAAAAGAAAGAAAGAGAGAGAAAGCAAGACTCTTCTTAATCAAACTATATTTTTTGTGAAAAAAAACATAAAGAAAAGGCGATCAGCTCTTTTTACTAACAAAACTCATTAAAACCAGCAAACTGGATAACTAAAAACTAAACTATCAAACGAACGAACTTATAGATTTACAAACCTCACTGAATTAATTTCTTCTCATTGAAAATAATTAAATTCTTTGAAAAAAATATCAAATCGAATGTACGAGCAAGACTTCTCACCGATGGACAAGTCCATCTTTTAAAAATATGAACCTACAAGTTTATTGTTTTCAGATGCTTTTAGAGCAAATTACGCTTACAATTCTCCTTCTGCAGCTTTATATGCAAATTCCCCCTTAGGAGGATTGGGAAGCAATTTCGCTTCTCAAAGCCAATAATATGCACAAAGCACATTTGCAGCAGTTGCTTTAAATGCGCTGAATAATGTTCCACCATCCACATCAGGAAATGCAGTACAAAGCACATTTGGTCTTCACCATCATCAGAATCAGTTAAATGAGAATACGCCAGTCCGCTCCGAACACACTTCCTTAGAGGAAACGTAAAATCATTTGGAGGAATAGAACAGCGCAGAAGAAGAACATATTGCAGCGCTGTAGGCTCAGCACAATGTGCAGAGTTCTTCTACTATTCCAAATTATCCCAACTACAACAGCTCCAACAACAATATTAACTCTGCTATAAATAGTAATAACGTCATCACAGGAAGCACAAATATCAATATCAATGGCAGTAACAGTATGAATTTCTCCGCTCAGCAGAATTTTATTCTCAAGAAGCATTTGAATGATCAACCACATCAACAACAATCATAACAAAACTAAAACTCCCAACTTCTGATTCCAAGCATTCCTACTAGTTCAGCCACGGGGACATCAGCAGGAGCAGCAGTATAGACATAAGGAGCAACAGCAGGAGCAGCTTCTGCATAATTTATGGGAAATAACTAAGCATTTAAATTTTAGTATCAAGCTTTTGATGAAAATCTTTTATAAGCTCATTCTAATTATCCAGGAACTCCATATTATGAGAGCCTTAATCAAAATAATGTAATTTGTTTTCTTTGTAATTTTTTTAAAATGCGCTTCTTTTTAAGCAATATCTTTTCCAAATTTTCTATCCAGTTTAAATAACTCAATGAATGCATTTCAAAAGTCATAAATGTACTGTTGTTTTAATTCTAATTAAATATAAGTTCCCATACTCTTTAACTCACTAACTCACCTTTAAGAGTAATGCAAAGAGTGGTTTGGTATTTATAAAAATATGGAAATTTAATAAAAATTTCTCTCTATTGAAAAATTAAAATAAAAGAAAATATTTTATTTCCAATATTATTTCATTTAAAGATAACTAATTACCAATAATGCTTCTTGCTAGATTTCCTCAATATACAAATTTATCTTGCAAATCTTTTTATAAAAAAAGAGAAACATCAAGATTTTTGAGGATTAAAAATAAAGTAATTGAGTTGTTTAAGAGCTTACTTCTTGCTAATAGAAACAGCATTTTAAAATATTTTAATAAATAAATTGTTCTCTTATTTTGTTTGAAGTTATTCAGCAATCAAATAATTAAAATTTTTTATTTTTCTTAAAAATAGGATAATTAAAACAGTATTAACTACTAATACAATTAACACACTAATTCTCCAAACTATTCTTACTAACAAGCACCAGCTTAAATCTAGCCAACTCCAACCCATCAAGCAGTTACTGGCTCATAACAAAACTACTCATTTTCAACTGCCTAATCAAGTTTTAAGAAGAGCGGTTTACCAGCTAACTTTTTCTATGACTCTCCTCGTAATTATAGTACTAACTTCTTGCCTTATACTCCTCCTATAGCTTAATAAAATGCCCAATCTGGGTTTTCTTAGTTTATTCAGAATCAGTAATTCCCTACAGATATTAGTATTAAATAACAACAAATCTTCCCTGAATAAGATGAATGTTCCTCTTATCCTTTCTTATCAACTCCTGTCCATTAAATTGAATAATAATAAAACTAGTAATAATCATAACAACAACAGTCCTTAATTCCTTAATCTTAATCTTAAAAGAGTGGATTAAATTTACTCTAAAAGCAATAATAACTCTAATAAATGCAAAGATATCACCAAGAAAAGGCATAATTGTAACAATAATAAATGTAATACACTGAACAAGCATTACTTGAATAGTAATAACATTAACAGTAGTAAATTTAAAATCAGACACAATATTCTAACTTTGCTCATCATCCTTAATATATTTAGTAGCAATAGCAATCCTAATTTTCGAATTTACTGTTACCTGGAAATAAACTGATTCCAATTCAACCCTGTCCCCTAAATATTAAGTAAACTACTTAAGATGTTAATAAAATGACAATTCAAGCAGCCATGAAGGGCAAAGAATAAGCAGATGGATAAAATTACTAAGAGACTTAAGAATCTATTGAGAATGAAGATGAAGAAAATGGCTATCATAATGGAGATGAATCAGTAGATGAAGATAACTAAGATGGAGATGATGCTGAAGAAGAAGATGATGAAGAATATGGTGGATAAAAGAAGAAAGGAAATAATGGATCCAATAAAATAAAAAAGGGAATTTCAAAGAACTAGCGTAGAAATAAAAACACTTCAATTAGTGCTATCAGCTCTTCTTCCTTACAAAACTAAACAAATAACGGAAGTTCCACTAAAATGAGTCGCAAATAAATTAATGAAACCAAAAATATTCCTAAAAACTACTCTAAAGCTATTATAGGATATATTTAGAAGCATCCTGATGATTGCGCTCGTTTATTAGGACCCGATTACAGCTATGATGAATTCGACAAATTCTTGATGGATAAGAAGGAAAAACTCACTGCAATTAAGGATTTGAGATCTTTATGGACTACAAACTGTGGTGATTAGACTTAATAAGCCTTTAATCGTGTCTTCCGTATCTTATCATTTAAATTCTTTAGAGAGAATGCTGTTTCCTATATCTATTCTTCCAGAAAAATAAAAAATACTCGTGCTCTAATTACTTACAGATTCATTTTATAAAGAGCTCTCCACGACCCTGAGTCATTCTCCTTTATGAAGTTCTAAAATTGAACTAAAAGGTGAAAAAATTCAACACTAAAATAAATAAATTTACAATATCCAAATTAAATTAAAATTTCTTAACAAAATAAATCTCAAAGAGTATGCATAAATACCAATATAAAACCCATCTTTCTATCTATCTATCTACCTAGCTAGCTAGATAGCTACCTATAAACACTTATTACAATCATAAAATAAAAATAATAAATTAATGTCAATATAATAAACTTATTTTCTAATCTAGAAACCAAACCTTATTTACATGTAGGTTTTGTTTAAAGATCGATCTTTGAATTACAACCAACTTTAATTAAATTAATCTTCAACCTCTCCTTAAGAATTATTAGGCTCTCCTTTCTTCCTATTATCCTTTCTTTCCATTTCAACTATCTACTTTATACTATATGATTTAGCAAATTCTTATTTTCTCAATAACATCTAAAATTCAAGCTTTTGGAAATCAAGAACAAGCCAGAAATTTAAGCTAGCAAGCTAGCTATCTTTGCAGGCGATATATTTTCTCAAATTAATTTGGAGTCATAATTAAAAAAATTTTTGGTTCCAAAGTATTTGCCACCACTGCACCACTATCTTAACTAAATCATATCTCCAAACCTATCAAACAACTTACTAACAATCATACATACATACAAACAAAAAAATAAAAAAATATATCAAATTTAAACTAAACTAAATCTTAAGAATAACTTCAGAATAGAATTAAGATGGACAATGAAGAAAATCGAGCAAAAGAAATACTTCTGAAGAGCTAAAAAATAAACCATTTAAAAAAAGAAAGTGGTTAATTGCAAAATGTCTATAAAGATAGGCAAATTCATAAAGATTACATCTAATTAACAACTAATCAAATTAAATTACACTATAAATTAATTTATATTATTTCCTATAAATACAATATATTAATTAAAATTATAGATATATCCAATTACATTATTATCTTTATACATAAAAACTATTTGTATTTATTATTCGTTGAAATATACCATTAAATTCATTCATTCATTCACTCTTCTTAAATTATTATTTTATTTTTTTATTATTTTTAAATCAAAATTTGCTTTAGTTATATTAACCGTCATCAAATTAAATGGTAAACCAATTTTTTTGGAAGAGTCATGATCATAGGATCTATATTTGTTATATAACTAGTAAAATTAAATGCTATTCATCAGAATCGAATCTTTTAAATTTTTTAGCTTAATAATTAAAGCATGAAAAATATCTTACGCTAGAAAATAAATATGAATATAACTAGCTCTTAATTTCAAGGTATACCTTGATTAAATTATTTTTTTTTTCCCCAATAAGATTTAAATAAGGTAAAATTAAAAATTTATTTAAAATGGGTTTGAAATTCTTATTTCCTTTGGCAAAAAACTGAGAAAGATATTAAAAATATATGAGAATATTTTGAAGCATTAAAATGCAAATATAAAATTTATTTATTGTGAATTTGAGAAAGACGAATTTATAAAATTTTTAATATTTTTGAGAAAAGTTACTTTATTGTTTTTAATTTCGAATTAAACTTTAGTTGAGCTCTTCGTAATAATTGATAGCATTTTGATATTTAGCTTACATTTTATTTAATATTTAATTACTTTTTCTCAGTTGTGTAGTTTTTTTATTAATTTTGCTCACCTATTCTCTAATGTAAATTGCATGAAATAATTTCATTATTTTGAAGCTATGCTGAACTTTTTGAGTAAGTCATTGATGCATTGATGGCATATTTATAAAAGCTTTCTCAAGTCACATCAGAAAGATTTTGTTAAATATAAAAAATATTTGTAAAAAAGAAATTTGATTTTATAATATATATATTTGGAGTGGATATAGAAAAATATGCTGGCTTAAATTTAGTAAAAAGCTTCTATCATGTAAAAAAATATACAATTATTAATGCACTTGAAAGGTATAAATTTAATTTTCTATTGAATAAAAAAAGAGAGTAAAATAAATACTAATAAGTAAGGATAGGTTTTGATAGCTGTAAGTTTATTTTAAACTAACTAGGTAAATTTTTCATGTAAGGTATCTGTGCAATATTTTTAATAAAAAGATATTTTTTAAATCAGGTTTATTAAATTACATATTTGAAAGCATATACTTTACACTAAAAAAGTGCAAACTGCATTTCTAAATTAAATATAGGTTTCATTCAAGGCTAAAAATTTATCGGTTGATTAAAAATTTTTGCTTCATAAAAACAAGCTTGAATAAGTTAAAGATTCTAATAAAATATTCAGTTTTTTTCTATACTCAAAACATTATCTGCAGACCATTTAAAGAAAATAGTATCAAAAAATTTAGATCAACGATTTTCAATCACAAAATCTGTTTTTTTTTTATTTTTCTTCTTCTTCTACTATATATTCATCAATTACATATAAATAGATTTAATATAAATTATTTTAATATTTTCATTTGATTTTCATTTATTTTTTGTTTTTTATTTATAAAACGTTTATAGTAGCTAATTTTATTAATAAAAAAAAGAATTCTCGATTATTGTTCTTTTCTTATGATATAAAATATATTAATTTTTTATGTATTAGTTTACAAATTGCATATCAAATAGGTAATATGACTTTATTTACTATATCATGCAAGGTAATTTTTAAGGAATGATAAATTACAGTAATCATTCTACATATTTCAAATAAAAATACTCTATATATATAATAATAAAATCCAACTAGATTACTTCATGATAATTTACAGTTATAATAACATCAGTGATACAATTTTTTATTTTTTTAAATTAATTTTTACCATATTTTTAAGCTTACAAATAATTAAATTAAAAAATATAATTAAATCTGTAATTAAATGAAAGAGCTTAAGGATTTTTTAAAAAAATACTAATTCCAATTTTTATCTTTAGAGATTAAAAAAATACTTTATGGAGAAATAAAACTTAAACAAAATGCAATTTAAATACATATAAATAGACGGTTTTTTAATAAATAATTTTAAGATAATCAACTATATATCTGATTTATATAAATAAACAATTCAAGAGATTTTTAAAGTTTTTAGTTAGTAAAAAATTAAATAAAAAACAAATTTATTGAATGTAATTAAAGTTATTTTTAAATCAATATCAAATAATTTTTGAGTTTAAATTATTCTTTATTATTGATAAAAAATACTTTATTATTATAAAATTTTATTATTTAATTAGAATAAATTTTACTTTTTTAAACTTAAATTTAAAATCTTTTGATAAAACTTATAAAAAATCCTTATGTTTTTTAATACCATTTTTTAAATTTATTGTATTTAAATCAATAAATATTATAAAAATGAATTATTTCCTTATTAATAAATTAGAATATCTGCTATTTAATAGATAAGAAGTGAGCTATTTAGATAGTTAATATTATAAATAATTCTTATAGAAATTGTTCATCTAATAAAAGATGTATTTAATAATAAATATTGGATATATTTTTATTTAAAAGTGTTATGTTTTCAAATTTTATTTATAAAATATCTAAATGAAGATACCTTAGATATGGTTTTTTTTATTATTAATTTTTTTTGGTTTCTCGTTCCAAAACTACTAAAAAATTAGTTTATTCAAAGACTAATTATAAAATGAAAAAGATTATAATAATTAAACATATAACTTTAATTTAATTGGATAATTAAAAATTAATTTTACAAATTTAAAATAAATTAGAAAATAATTCAAAAATAAAACAAAAATGAATAAATGACCTTAAAATTATTTACAAGAATTTTTGAAAAATATTTTCAATAATATAATTATTTAAAATTTATTAGTAAAAATTAATTATATTTAATATTAATATTAATTGTATTACTTGTTATTTATGTTTTAATTATAATTAAAATACAGCTTAAAACCTAAAAAAGTGTTAAACAATTCAAATAGAATTAATATATATTTATAATCTTTATGGTTTCATTTATAGTTTTGATTAATTTTTATATTATTTTGAATATTTTTACACTTAAAATTATGATTTTTTTTATTAAGACAAGTTATTAACAAAATACCAATAAACCAAATTATAATCCAATTAATTATCTTTATTATAAAATTATTTATTTAATGAATAGTTAAATTTTAATAAAATATTAAATAAAATTGATTGATTAATATGATATCTTTAAAATATTATAATGTAAATCAAATCATAAGGGTTATAAAAATGAAATTATTTAAGTTAAATTTTTATAATCATTTTTATTTTTTAAAATTTTAACTCAGCATCTGTATCATCATATTATAAAGAAAGAAGGTATTATACACCTATTAAAAATGAATTTTATTTATTTAAAATTTAAAAAAGTGATTGATAGCTATATATTTTCGCTAGTATTTATGATCAATAGATCGCAAAAATTTAAATTATAAAAAATTAATAAATATCTCAAAACTAATTAGTGAAATTATTTATTTATTTACAAGTAGCAGTATGAGTATAGAAGAGGAAGAAGAAAAATTTTTGGAAGAATTAGGAAATAGATCTTAGGTTTTATTGTAAAATCTAGATGAAAGAGAAGCAGCTAAAATATAAGACTAAATAGATGAAGCTATAGAGAATAGATAAGAAATAGTTTAGTCATACTGCCTTCGCTCCAAAAAATATTTAGATTTAGGGTCATGCAATATTGACGATTTTGACTCTTTAACAATAGGCATATATCTTAACGAATTACATTCAAACATAGAGGTGATAAATTTAGCTTCAAATTAATTAACAGATGAAGGATTATTAAATATGCTAATTGGAATTCAATTTCATTCTAATTTAAGGGAACTTTATTTGGGAAATAATCAGTTTTAGCTTGGAACTGCTATTGAAGGTTTATCAACAGTAATTCCTTGCTTGAAGAATTTGAGAATTTTAGGTTTAGGTAAAATATTATCAATTTAATATATTTTACCAATGAAATTATCTAAATGTTTTTAAGATATGCTTATGATAGCTGATAATTTTGTATTAATAAAAATTTAATTTTTTGAAATCTTGATATTATTTAATGAATATTTTTTATTTTCATACTGGAGATAGGAGGACTTAATATAGATGATGAAGATTTAGTTAAGCTCTTATATGGATTAAGTGAGATTGATACTTTAAAAAATTTGCAATTGCATAAAAACTAAATAAGTGATGAAGGACTATTGTGTATAATATCTATGATGCTTTTAGGTTTTGGAAATCAAATAGAAACACTTTATTTAGGATAAAATGAATAAATTACAGAAGATGGTATAGTAAAGCTGTTCGAATGTTTATCACAAAATTAAACTTTAAAATGTCTACATTTGAATGACATTATAATGACTGATAAATCACTATAAGCAATTAATATCAGTTTGATAACTAATCAAAACTTAGAAGAATTAAATTTAGGTAATTGTGGTATTGATGATGAGGGCTTTAAATTCCTTCATGATTGTTTAAAAAATAATACAAAGTTATAGTATTTGCATCTATGGAACAATTATTTAACATATGAATCAGCATAAATGATTGAGGAGATATTAGAAAATTATAACAGTGTTTTAAAAGGAATAACACTCTACAATAATGATATTATCAACAGAGAACTCATTTCAAATATAGAAGCCTTAATTCAACAAAATATTTACTTTGAGCGTACAGTAAATAATGAGGAAGAAATTGAAAAGTAAATATAAGAAATGAAAAAAAATTATGCAAAACAAAAAAAAGATTTGAAGTAATAAGAGAAGGAAGCACTTCTTTAAGGAAAAATTAAAGGTTAAAAAAATATTCCTATACCTCAAAATCCTACAAAAAGTGTTTCTAATAAATCAAATCTATCTTAAAATTCTACATAATTGAATTCCTCTACATCATCTAAATTAAGTGTACCTGCAACCCCTACTAAAACTACAGCTAAGAGACCTTCATCAGGTATTTCTACAACGAAGCCTTTAGCAAGTTAGGTATCCTAAGTTTCTAATTCTTCATCTCGTACATCTATTTAAGCAAAATCATAAATATCTTCATCTTAATCTAATCAGAAAAATGCTTTAGCCCCTTCAAGTAAAAATGAAAATAAAAATGCTCCCACCACTCTTAAAAGTAAATTACCTCCAAAAAGTTTAGGTAAAGAAGCTCCAACTAATAAAGCCTCGTAACAAAAACCAACTTAGAAAAAAAATGTAAATTTATAAGCTAGCTTTAAAGGAGAAGAAGAAGATGATGATGATGATCTAGAGTACATATCTCTTTCTGAAAGTATAAATGGTAGCATAGTAAAGAGAGAAGTTAGTGGAGATTAATATTCAGAAGATATTGAAAATAATGAGAATATTTAGAAATCAAAAATGGTAGAAGATTAAAATAAAAATTAACTTCTAAGCAACAATAATAAAACAAAAAGCTGTTCTTTACCCTAGAAACCTAACCAATAAGAAGAAGATATAGATTTCGAAGAAGAATGGCTTGAAGATGACGAAGAAGATGAGAAAGAATTATAATTACTTGAAAAGCAATTAGAACAGGACGAGGAAATTATTTCAAAAGAAAGAAACACGAGATTAGAGTATATTGATGAGTTTTACAATGAAGAAGAGTAAAAAAAAGAATACAAAAAGTATGAAAAATATAATAAAGATATTTTATAGTATGATCCTCAAGATCCAAATACTCTTAAATGGCAAGGATTCTTTGAGGATAAATAAACTGGTTTACTTAAAAGTAAATACCAATGAATAATTTTTATTGTAAAATATTTTTTTTAAATATAATTAATTTGTAATACAACTTATTAATAATTATATTAAGTAAATTTAACATTTTTTATTACTCTATGTCTTTTTTAATATATTTAATTATAATCACTAACCATATTGCAATCCGTTTTAAATCTTTTTTTTTGCATAATTTAAAGTACAGAAAAAATCTTCAATTATAAAAATAATTACTTAAAGAAAACATAACAAATACTTAAATTTTAAGATTTTAAAATTCTCTAAATTTTACAAGAATATAAAATTTTGGAAAATTACTCATTAAATTGTTAAAAACTATGATATAAAGTATTTTTTATAATGTAGGATATTATATTAAAAATATTTAAGATTTATTATTTTTAATATAATATACATAAGCAATTCATCTTTCATAGCAAATTATAGAATTAAAATACTTTTTATCATATTTTTTTGATTCTTTTTGATAGATTGAATAATGAGTTTATTTAAAGAAACAATATGTATGTTTTTATTAGTTTAAAATTTTTGTATATATTTAAATCCCTTATTTAAACAAAAATTACAAGAGTAAAATAACTTTAAAATTTTTAGAAAATAAGCAAACAAAATGAATAAAAATGTCAAGAAAATTTAAATAGATAAGGTGAAAACATAAGGAGATATCAAATTTAAATGAATAAAAAATAAATTTAAAAGAAAAATGGATGGATGAATTTTTGAATGAAATAATGTATTTTTTATTTAATATATTATTGAGTATTAAAAAAAGCTGTGTTTGTAAGGCCTTAAAAAATGTCTTTAAATTTTTAATATCTTTGAAATTGTTTTTGAACAGAAAAATCACCAATATTTTGTATGTTCAATTTTAAATTTTTTTGAATAATAAATAAACAATAACATTTAAAATACATTCATCATTGATTTATAAATTTTAACGAAACTAAATCAATTCAAAAAAAATCTGACTATCAGATTTAGATAATTTTAGGACATAATACCATTTTTATATTAAATATAAAGCTAAATTTTATAAAATTTGCAATTTAGAAAGCAAAATGGACGATACAATTTCTTCTTTTGGAACATTTGCTTCTCCAGTCAAGCCAAATTCTAAATTAAATGATTTCAAGATTCTATGTAAATTAGGCGAAGGATCATTTTCAACTGTGTTTAAAGTACTCCGTTTAGTAGATAACAAGATTTATGCCATGAAGAAGGTTTAAATGAGCAGATTAAATGAAAAGGAAAAAGGAAATTCTTTAAATGAAATAAGAATTTTAGCTTCAATAAAGTGCGATCATATTATAGAATACAGAGACAGCTTTTTTGATGATTAATCAGACACACTTTGTATAGTTATGGAGTATGCAGGTAGTGGTGATTTACTTCAAAAATTAAAAGAGTATAAGCTAATAAATGAAAAATTACTTGAGGATGGATAAAATGAAACAAGTGAGAGCCAGGTAGAACAAGATTCATCTCCAAAAGAAGAAAGTGATAAAAGTTCTCGTTCTTAAGAGAAAAACAAGCGCATATACAACAAACTCAATTAATAAAATGAAAGTATTAAATCAAAGAAATCATCAATATAAGAAAACTCAAGTAAGTCTGTGGTGTAAGATAAGCAATAATAGATGGTTTTTATGGATGAAGAGTTGATTTGGGATTATTTTATTCAATGTTTGAAAGGTTTAAAGTGCTTGCATGACTTGAAAATCGTACATCGTGATTTAAAATGTGCAAATATATTTATAGGTGATAATAATATTATTAAAATTGGAGATCTAAATGTATCCAAAGTTACAAGAAGGCCAGAGTAAATGGCTAAAACGCAAACAGGTACTCCTTATTATACTGCACCTGAAGTGTGGAAAGGGTTGTCTTATAACTATAAAAGCGATGTTTGGTCTTTGGGATGTATAATATATGAGCTTTCCGCTTAAAAGCATCCTTTTAAAGGAAATACAATTGAAGGGCTATTTACTAATATAATGAAAGGATAGTATGAAAGAATACCAAGTTTTTATTCTGAAGAATTAGCTTTTGTTATATCTTAATGTTTGCTTTAGAATCCCAAGCTGAGACCAGGATGCGATCAGCTTTTAAAATTGCCTGCATTTGCTTCAAGACTGTAAAAATATGAAGAAAAGTATAGGTAGTATTTGCAAAATCATAACAAGTAAAAAATTCATTCTAACTTCCTTAATGTGACATCGTAAAACCATCTTGAGTTTACCCCCTAAAGAGTATAAAAGACCAACACTGAAGGACCCCATCTTATCGATACTATTAATATGCCTTCTAACTTAAAATAGTTGTCTGCTCTCTTACCTAAATCTAACTATGAAGATACCCCAATTTAACTTCCTTCAATAAGTGAATTTGATGAAAATATTGTTAATAACAATAATCATTTGCACAATAAAAGCAACTTCATGAAATTAAGAGCTTCTGTTCAAAAAGTTTCTGAATTTGATTAGCTTGAGAAGATATCTTCTGCAGATTCTTCATCATCATCTTCCTCACCATCAGCAGCTACAAACAGAATAACCAAGAATTTCAAGGATAATAATGAACTGTAAAATGATCAATTAAAGACCTCGTAGATGCACCAAGATAATATATTTTAAGCTTTATTGGACCTTCAACCAGCTGATATTCTTAATCAAAAATTAACTTTAACTTAGTAATAAAAGGAAACTACAAAATTAACAAATAAAAAGATGAGTTAGCTCTAACCTTATCATGATTTAGTCAATGATTCTCCAATACGTTTTAATCTTCAAAAGGTATAGATGGAAAACAAAAATTAAGAGCAGAAAAGTGATGAAAAAAAAGAAAATAGCGAAAGAAAGAATATAACTCTATAGAAAATAGATTTCATTAATGAGCAAAAGAATCACAGTGGCTTGAGTTAAAATAATAATACTAAAAATACAATAAGTACAAATGCCCAGACTTTCAAAAATAATGATGCAAGCAATAAAAAGTAAAGCTACCAAACATCATCAAATAAAAATGAAGAAGGCATAACCTCAAGAGGCTCTCCTAATATTTCTTTAGTTGAAAACATTAGCATTTAAGAAAAAAACCCAACTTTAAATTCTTAAAATAATAGCTTAGAAGTCATTAGCAACTACATGAAGAAGTTAAAGATGCGTCCTCAAAGCTCTGCAATTAGAAATTGTATTACAGTTGAGTGCTAAAACAACTCTAGCAAATGCAGTAGTATTTTAAATGTAGCTCCTCATCCTTCTCAACAAAATTTAGAAATAAATTAATAGTAAACTCTAATTACAGAAGAGACATGCCCAAAATTCATTGTTCCTAATGTTAGATATTCCCAAAATTCTAGTAATATTATCTAAACATAGAGCACTTTTGGGGAAGAGAGTTTTCTCAATAAAAAGCTAAAAAACGTAAATGGCTATTACAATGATGTGAGAAATTATCGTATTCGCTATGCTAGATAAGGATCTAAAGATAATAGGATATAAGCTAGTAATATAAATTCTAATGTAAATTCCTCTTTCAATAATTATAATAATAATAACAGTTCATTTAACAATAACTACAATAGTAATGTAAATAATTCATTTAATAACTATAACTACAATAAAAAAATATTAAAATCTGAGGAAGACTCTACAAGCTATTCACCATCGGCTTTAGCAAGAGGATTTATTGTTCCTTATAGTGCAATTTAGCATGATAAAAATTCTAGAATTAGCACTATTATTTCTTCATCTTCTTAATAACCCCGTAGACTTCCTTCTTCTGGTAGAAATAACCAGAAAAAGAGCTATTCACCTATAAATAAAATAACTTAATTCACTTAATTAATGAAAAGATATTTACCTAAAGGAATGCTCAAAAACTGTCCAGTTTCAAATCAGGAAAGAAATAATTCTAACAATTCTTCTATCAACTAAAATAATCACAGAAGTCCTATAGTATATTAAAAGACCCCTAATTCAGCTAAATATCCTTCTCATAAAATAGCAGCTGCAGCAGCTTTTAATACAAGTTTAGTTTCATAGCTAAATAATAGCTCCATAAACAGTAACAACTACTCATTTAATAACCAAAATATATCTCCTGTCATCACTTCTAATAAAGAAAATGTAAATACAGCAAATATTCTTGACAACAGCTTTGCTTTGATTCGTCATTAAGCAAGATAAAATATCTATAAAAATAATAATTAGTAAAATGGTGGAGTTAGAGCTGTTTAATACGAAAAAAATTTTTTTAATAACAACAACAATAACAATCATTTGAATTGTAACACAAATCATATCTAAATAGTTAAAAAACTAGGAAACGTAAATAATGTTTTAAACTCTCATACTTACAACATAAATCGCTCATCTCCACCTAAAAAAGCCTAATAAAAAGATTCATAGCATAGAAAAAATATTTTCTATCACCCAAATTATATAAATTGTTTAAATTAAAATATTAATAGCTCTATTGTGTAAAAAGTGGCTTATGTGCAAAATCCAAAAAGTTTAAACTCTAAAATTAGCACTTCCAACAACCAAAGCAGCTCTCAAGAAAGAAAATAAATTAAATAAATCTTGAGGTGAAAATAGTGTTTTTGATAGTGTTTTGTCTTATTTTTAAGAAATATCTATTTAAGAAATGAAAATTATGATAAGATTTATCCTTTCCTGATAATAATTTTAATTACTAAATTTTTATAAAGAAAAATTATATTTATATTTATTAATAAACTTTATTTTAAGTATCGATCTATAATGATCTAAATATTATTTGTATTGTTTAATTAATAACATTAAAAAATTTTGAATTTAAAAAAATATTTCTATCAGTTAATATTTCTTTTATAATTTAACAAAAATTTTGTTTACATTTGCAAATAATCTAAATTTTAGTGTGTTTAATTAGTAATAAATTATGCATCTAGGTTAATAATTCATAAAATAGTATTAACTTGAATTCATAGTTTATTATTTATTCAACTATTTATTTGATAAAATATACGAATTTAATATTATAATAATCTGATACAAATTTAAAACAGAATTTATTAAATTGGCACTGTTATTTTAGTAAGTTAATTCTTTCTAAAATATTTTACTTTAAAGTTTATTAAGCAAATATGTATTTATAATTAATTAAAGTATAGCTGAAAGGATATAAGTGAAAGAAATTAATCTAAATAAAATTATATATATTTTTATTAATTGAAAAAATAATTTATTTATGGCAGATAAAATTTATTAAACTTAATTGAATTTGAGAAAGAATTTAATAACAAAATTTAAATTGTTAATACTATTTATCCCTTACTTCAGGTGTAAATTACCTTGTTTTTAAATTAAATTAAAATTAATTTTGTGAGAGTCTTTTCAATTTAATTAGAATTAATAATTTTAAAGAAAAGAAATGATTTTAATAATTAATGTTGCATAATAGAAATATATATTTATTATTAATTTGATTATTTAAAAAAGATTAAAATAAAAGAACAAGCATGATGCCAACTTTATCAACTTAATTGAATCAATCGTCAACTGATATTCTTAATTCTATGTTGGCACGATTATCAGAAAGCCTTGAGAACTAAAAGTAATTGTATAGTAACTCAACTTTTGTACTTGGACCCATGCTTAATCCTACTCCAATACCAGCACTAGCACGGAAATGATGTTTTAAATGCTCAGCAATATCGTTTTTGGTAAAAGATTTTAAGGGATAACCTCCATATCCGTTTCTTACTCTATAAAAGTATCCTGCACTCGCATGATAGAATGGGATAACTCCAGATTTTGAAGTACCTGGGAAATTATATAAATTTAATTTTATCGATGATTTTAACTATAAATTAAGATTATCTTTTAAAAAGTTAGAGATATTGTGTGGAGGTTGCTACTGATTAATTTATTAATCACCTTAAGGTATATAGTCTACATTAATGTCATTTACTCCTCTAATTGTGCTCAATTAAAAGCATTCATTAAGATGCAGTTTATCATTATTTAAAGTTTTCACTAAACCTAGGTTTCCACTGTATTCTATATTTACATGCTTAAACATATCTGATACTTTTTTGAGAGTTTTGAGCTTCCAATAAGCTTTGTAGTTTGCTTCTGTTTTAAGAAATACTACATCACTTAAAAGAGGAAGTCCAAACTCAAGAGAGTAATTCAAAGATGATCCTTTGTGGACATTAGATCCCATTTTTATTGTTGAGAAAGCAGTTGTTGCATAGCGGATGGAATGCTTTGTGGTAGGAAGAAAATCTTCGAGATTTCTGTATAAAGGCAAAGTGACATAATTTCTACGATAAGCAGATTCAAAACTGAGGCTGTATTTTTCTTATTCATTCTTATTATCGATATTAGTGTAAATAATTTAGCATGAGTCCTTAGTTTCAGAGCAAGATTAATCTAACAAAGTTGAAGAATGAGAAATCTAAGCCAAAAAATTGTCTTCTGCTTTACTTTTTAAGAAGTTGTAAGGAACATTCCATTAAATATTATAATAGCTTCTTTTAGATTTATTTAATGCCTTATTGTATTCAAACGTTAGCTTATCAAATAAGCCTAATACATTTCTGAATCCTAATTTTGTAGTCATGGAAGCTTGACCAAATCTATCAAATTAGTGAGAAATGTTAGCAAAATAGAAAGAAGAAGGCATAAAACGATATTATACAAGGACAGAGTCTTTCTTAGAACCAGGAAGAAGCTCTACCTCAACTTACTTATACATTCCACTCTACTCAAAACGCTTTAAGCTATTTATAATATTTTAAAATAAATGTAGCATAGTAGGACTCTGCTTAACTAAATCAAGAGTAATTTCATCAATCATTTTAGGTGAAACTCTTTTATCATTCAAATAATTTACTTCAACCTCATCAATTTTTGTAAAGGCTTTCATATTTTTTCTAATCATTTCACTTTCAAAAATTTTAACATTTTTTTCTAAATCTTCATAATTCATTTTTCGATAATTAAATCAAATGTATTTTTTCTAACTAACCAAATAACTAATATTTACTAAATTAATACTACTTATTAATCCCTAACTTTCTTTTTATAAAAATGTCCTAAACTAAATATAGAATGGAGTGAGATTTAATTTCCAAAGCTTTGTTTAGCTAACTTTAATCTAATGCTTACTTAAGATAATGTATATTTTGAGGCGTATCTTATTTATTGTATCTTTAACGAAGATAGACTTTATTAAAAATTAATTAAATTAGTGAATTGAAAAGAAATATTGCGTTTTTATTTACTTATTTATTTTAAGAAATTTAGATTTTTCTATCGAATTCTAAAAAGTGAATTTAGTTCATTCATTTAATTTTTGAAAAATGGAGCAAAGATACACCTTAAATTTGATGAATTTGAGTAAGAAATTTGATTTCTCATATCAAACACAAACAATTTTAAGTTCAGAATAGAGAAATATATATTTTATGCTAATATAAATAAATAATGTTATTGAATATGTACATTTATTTTAATTTATAATCAATCATTTATCTAAAAGGACTCTGTATCCATACCAATTTTATGGTGCTTTGAAATTAGATTTTTGCATATATTTTATTAATGTTTATATAGGTCCGTCTAAGAAAGTATCATCAGCTCCAGATCTGTAAAGGGTATCTTTTAAAATCATCTGATATTTAAAAAGTAAGTAATGTAGTTATAGTTAATTTTGAAATAAAAATATAAATAAACAATAACAAAGTAGTAGGTAGGTAAGTAAATTATTAAAATAACAAGTAAATAATTAAGCTAAAAAGTAAATTATTAAGTAAGTAAGTAAGTAAGTAAGTAAGTAAGCAAATAATTAAGTACCTGAGCTTCTTCAAATAAAACTTTTGCAGCCTCCCAATCTCCATTTAAATATTCTTGCAGACCATCATGGTATGTATTTCTAAATTCCTAATAAAATAAATTTTGATTAAAAAATGTTAATTTGCAATAAAATTACATCTGTATAATTTTTTCTCATTGTAGCTATATCAACATCTGAGTCTATGATTTAACAAATATTAGCTTAACCTTACAAAATTTTTTTATATCTATCAGTTCTACGTTTTCTAGAAATGAACTTGAGGACTTTTTTATTTACTTTATTATCCTATAACCTCTTTTATACAAATTTGTTTTCTGTTAGTAGGGTAGGATCTACATCACAAGTATACAAATCCATTGGCTATTTAGATCCTTTGACAGTAACTCTATCTACATGTCTAAGGGCGCTTTGCATTTTATTGCTTAAAAGTCTATAGAGAGCACCAGACAATAAAAAATATAAACCATATTATTTGGTAGCATTTTCTAAACGAGAAGCCATATTGACATTTGGACTGAGATAGGAAGCATCGATTTTAAAGTTAGAACCTATGGCACCCTATTAAATAAGTTTTTTAACAATTTTTTTAATATGTTAATGACAGTTAAATAATTTGTTAATATGAATTATAATAATTCATTTATTTTACCTCAATACCCCATCCAACATGAAGTCCGAACCCAAGACGAAAAGTAAAATTTTTCATTACTTTTTAAAGTGGCTTCAAATGTTGTTACTAATTTTTAATTAATAATTTATTATGATATTTAGAATATTTTGATTTACTTTAAAGCTCGAAGTAAGTGAGAGCAATCTTGCATTAGCAATAGCTTTTAGGAAAGCAACAACTGGTAAATCAGACAAATTCTAGACGAGTGGTAAATTTTTTAACTTAACTTCATCACTGCTATCTAAAAATAGCTGTGATTCATCTTCTGTATACTTCCAAACTAACAAAAAACAATCACCTAAATTTTTATTAATTGCCCCGTGAAAGCTATCACAACAAACATGAACTAGCTCAGCAACTTCGTTTGCAAATAACATAACTTTTTCTTAAAGTATTTCTGTTGCATCTGCAAAATTTTTGATTGAGCAAAAGCCAAATATGGCCATAATTTTCTTACCTGGAATCATAGGATCTATGCTTCCACCTTTTAGATGTACAATTAAATATTTTTATTAAAAAATTAATAAAAATAAATTAAATCTTACCAATTTGCATATTCTTGGTAATAATTTTAGAGCCTGCTTCACCAAAACCTATAGCCAAAAGAGCACCAATTTTCATAATTGTGGACTCCAACAAATATGTTTCATCACTCTTCTATTCATTTAACTCACTGAGTTTTACTTTATTTTTCTTAAGTTCTTATTCTGCCATAGCCTTTTTAGAAGTAAAAATAAAAAATAAATTAATTAAAATAGTTAGAGATTTTAATTTACTTTTTCTTCCGAAATTTTAGCTGCATCCAACGGGTTATCAGCGATCAACTTAATAGTTTCAAGCATTCTTTCTATGGGTGAAACAACTAACTTATTAATATCTTTTACAAATGTAATAGTAGAGTATGCTAATATAGCTAAAATAAAGGTAGTTTATCCTATAGAGAGATATGAACTTAAATCCTAATCTATCTTGGTGATATACTAAGTTTCAAAATAAGCAAATCCTGTTTATTAGTTTGAATTTGAGCTGTAAGTTGTATATTCGTAGTCTCTTAAGTCATGATAATTTGTATTTACAGTATAATTAGCATTTGGAAAATAAGTAGAATTTTCACTTATTATTGATTTAAGAGGATATCTATGTACATTATCTGTAGCATCATACTCAATACCCATCAATACTTAAACATATAAATCATCTATTGCTTTTTATCTGCTAACATTATAATCGCTAACTACATAGTTTAAGTAAGTTACGAATCCATAGTCTGGGTCCTTAAATTTTAATAAAATTAAAATAAGCAAATTTATTTATTTATTTTCACTTTTTTTAAAATGATTAACAAAAAATGTTAGCTCAATATCTTTGATTATTTCTTTAAAAATGCAAAAACATTAAAAAAAATAAAATATTTTATATCATATTTAATCTAATCAATTAATTTATCAATAAATTATGAATTTGTTATTTTAAGCTATGTAGCATTATAGAAAAAATGAATATATTCTTATGACAAATATATTAAAATTTAAGAGAAAATAAAGAATTAAATGTATATTACGACGTAAAAAGAGTTATCAAAGAAAGGAATGGTAATGACAAGGACAAAAATCAGTATAATTACTCTAGTTGTTGTAATATCAGCTAATTGCTTTCCTATCTTGCTTTCTTAATCCTTTATTCATTAATTAATTTATTAAAAAAATTATTTTAAGTAAATAAAAAAAGAATAAATTACTTTTGGTTTATTTTAGGATTATTATTATTTGCTTGAACCTTATAGAGGAGTATCTTCTTCATCAAACCCAAAGGAAGCATGAGAAGTAATAGACATCTTAGACTTTTGATTGCTATACAAATCAGAAGCTCTGTTTTTATAAACTTCATATGCCGGATTCAAGAACGAAATTTACTTCTAGTTTTATATATTAATTTTAGATGCTGTAGCTGTAATAGGCTCTTTGTTGTTTTTAGCAATATTATAAAAGGCACTTTATTTAACACTATCTCTTTTAAGGCCTTATAGTTATTGATTTTATTAAGTATCATGAGAATTAGCTGAATTATGACTGACATGGGTCATTATAGATTTTCTCTCTTAGGCTTATGATTTTTATTTATAAGGGCTGTTCATAGTTACCACTTGCTAATTTTAGATAGTAAATGAATTCTTTTCAGAAAAATTTGCAGAATCAAAATTTAATCCACTCCCATAAATTTTAGATTTTTTAGCTAAATTAATCTACTGTTAACTACTCACACAATTATTTAAAAACGATTACAACGAGTTTCTATGCTGAGATGAATCTTTCATGTCAAAAGATTTTCTTCTGTAAAAATTTAACAATACAGAGGTGCTTTTTTTATTTATTAAATTAATAATTTTGATAAAATTAATGAGTCAGTAAGTATGTTGAAAATTTAAGAATGATCAAAATAACAAGTTAAAGCAATATTTAATTTTGAAATTTTATAAGATGTTGAAGAACTTCTAATTGTGAAATTAATTAGATGTTGCTGATAGTTAATAAATTTAGATCAAAATTTGATAAAAAAATTTAATAAAAATATTACTTATTATTATTCGTTTTTTCAAATGAATTCATTCTCTTTGGTATGCTTTATTCCTAAAGTTGCTGATTATTTTCTTTTATTTTTAGCTAAAAATCAGATTGATTCAGTCCAAAAGATTAATTTTATTTATCAATAGCAATATCAAGATTTTGTTGAGACTAAGGATTACTAGCTTTACCATCTTTCACAGATCCTTCAGATTTATTTTCATCTTATTCTTTTACATCATACTTTTGATTTAGCTCTTCGTATGCTTGTTAGTAAAGCTTTTATATTTTAGTTAATCTCAATAATCTAATGAATCTAACTATTTTTAGTGCTCTTGTTGCAATTCTGGATACTCTGCTAGCTCTATAGTTTAAATAAAATAAAGGCTTAATTTTTTCTAATCATAATATTAATTGCTTACTTAAGCACAGTCACATTAGAATTGCTGATAGTGAAACCAAATAACGCCTTTGATAAGAAATCAATATCAAAAAAAAGAGAGATAGTTGATAGGAGATCCATCCAAAATATGAATGATAAAAAATAACCTTTCCTGCACATTGACTGCAAAACAATTTCAAAAAAAAAGAAAAGCAAAACAATTAATTCAGTAACTTAAAATCCCATATCTCCTTACTATTTTTATAAATTAATACTTATTAATTTCGACTAAAATAAGCATTTGGATTCATCAAAGAACAAATAAAAAAAGGTTTGATTACTGCTGTTGTAGAAACTTGCCTTATATCCTCACTATACAATGAAAATATTGTAAAAAGAGTCATCATATGCTGATAGTATTTATTATCAAGTAAGATAAGTCCTTTTTCCTTATTTTTAATTATTATTTTAATGTTAGTCATTTAATTTTTTAACCAATTAATTGCCTAAACTTGCCTTTATTACAAGAGAGTCAATTAATTAATTAATAAATCAATTAATATTGGCATATCAATAAAGCATTTTAATTTACTATTATTGAAATTAATTTTGGGTTTTATTCTTAAAAAAATCAATTAAATTGATGATGATGGATTAAATTTAAAAGCCATTTGATATAAAATGTTACCTAAAATTACTAATATTTAACTCTTAGCCTATATTTTAAAGTGTTTTTCTCCATATCTTCATTCTCTTGTATCTTTTAATTCAGAAGACTAATTAGGTTTTAAGAGTTTATCTATTTTGAATTTCTTTTTCCTTATACATCCTAGGCACTTTTTTACCCATTTTAATTTTTATCATTCTACTTTATATTTTTTCCAGTGTTATCTATTGCAAGATTGCTCTATCCTGGATTCTTTTTTTTTTCTAGTTCTTCCTTTAATTTCTACTTTTTTTCAAGCAAGTTTTTTTGTTTACTTAATGCTTTTAAACTTAAACCCTAAGGAGTATTTGAAGCAGCTTAGGTAAATCCATGAGTCTATGCTTTTTCTATAGTTTGATTTCTCGCTTTTTATTGTTATTTGAAAATAATTTATTGTAAAACATAAGTAATATTGATGTATCAATAAATAAATTCATTTTTAATGGCACAAAAAAAATATACATTAATAAGTTTGAGAGCGCTGCTAAGAATTCTCATCCCGTTCTTTTGAAAAGGATTCTTTTAAAACTATATTAATTTAATTTGCTTAGGTAATGCTTGAATTTAGCATTATGATTACAGGTATTCAGCTTTATAATTTAATGTCTTAGCTTCCTATTTGGAATAGAGATTTATATTCTCTTTTTCACTTTTGTATAGACTTAATACCTACTTGCTTATTGTTACTTATATTATTATTTATATTTAAATAATTTCTGTCAATAAAACTTTCAAAAAAAAATTAGCGAATCAATAATTAATTATTTTGCACTTGTTTTTGATAAGACTTTATAATTTTTGGTTTATGTTACTTTAATTTATTTAATTTTATTAGTTTTTAGCAAACAAATGCATTCATGCAACTAAATTGCACTAACTGATCAATGCAATTTAATACTAAATAAAAATTTTAAAATTAAATTAAATTAATTAGCTAGACTTTTTGTTATATGTAAATTAATAATTAATAAATCATTTTTAACATTTTGTTAATAAGTTTTTTCTCCAGTTAAATTATGTATTTTCTCTGTATAAAATTTTGACCACCTAGAAAACAATTAGATACTTCAGAAATTCGTGTTGTTATTTTAAATATGTAGCAAAGATTTTTACAATATTAAAATACTTTAATTAAAAATGCTAAAAATATTTACAAAATTTTTATTTTTTAAACATAGTTGAAAAATTCTAACAGAAATTAAATTTAGATAAAATTAAGTAATCCAAAATTTTTTTATTTTAATATTCTGAAATAGTTTTTATCTCCATCAAAAATATTTTAATTATCTAGATTTTTCTTCTATAAATCTATTAAATAAAAGAATATTAATATTTATTTTTTATTTAAAAATATAATAATTTTTATTTAGAGTTTTAATAAAGTGAAAAAAAATAAATAAATCAGATAATAGCTTTTTTCTGAAATTAAAAAAATAAAAAATTAAATTTCAATAATTGCTTTAGTTAAATAATTAATTTATATAAAAAAAATTTATTTCTAATTTCAAAAATTAATTTTGTGACACTATTTAATTTGATATAAATAAAGTAGTTAATAGAATAATATAAAATAATTCAAAACAGGAGATTTATTTTTAAATTTACTTTTTTTTTAAAATTTATTTAAATTGATTACTTTCTTTATAATTTAGATAAAGAATGCTTTTCGTTGGTTTGATTTGTAAGTAATTTAAATTTATTATTATTGCTACAATATAAAACTATTATTTGGAAGTTCTAAAAATTTAAGATTCTAAAAATTTCATTAATTATTTATTTAATCATCACACAAATAGCAAATTTTAATATTTTGCTTAATTTTTTTATAGATTCTAAAATAAAATAGTTAGATTTTGTATATTATTTTTACAATTTTATTCTTTGATTTTAAAGCTCTATGTTTAATAAGGATAAAGATGATGTGTAGCTTTTTGCAATAAATTAACTATTAAACTTATTTTAGGTTTTAAAATTAATAATTTTTTATTTTTAACTTCATTTAAATTAATCTATAAATATTTTGACCAGTACAAAGAGAGGAAAGATTTTTTTTCTTGAATGATTTTATATGACTTAAATTTGATTCAAAATTAATGAATTTCAAAACCTTTAATTAATATTTTTGTATTTTTTGTTCAGTCTAGAAAAGTATTTTTGTTTTAATTAGATTTTAAATTAAACATTAAATGCTTCTCTTCTTAAATTTTTAAAAATGAAATAAGTATCTCAAGTAAAATGAAAATATAGTTGAAACTAATGACTTAAGATATCTTCTATTCTATTTTAATTCATAAGGAGTGCTCCATTAAAGTAATAAAGGGTAATTAATTAAAAATAATAATTAAATTACTCAAAACATATCAAAAATACAATTGTCTTTTACTTACTCCACCTTACATTTTCTTTAAAATTTAATTTGAAAATTTCAATATTGAATTGATTTCATTTTTTTTAATAAAGGAATGAAAAATGGACAATAAAAATTAGGCACAAAAAAATTAACAGCTAATCCTACAATTTTTAATTATTTTATAGAATTAAATTTTGTTTTTCGGATGAAAAAACCAATTTAAATACATTTGATCTAAGAGTTTTCACCTATTTTATTTTTAAATTTATTTTATTTAGCACTGTTTGAATTTCCTTACCCCCACTCTTTAGGCATTAAAAATTTTCTGATTTTTCTATATTAAATATTTAAATTAGATTAATTAATTTTCTACTACAACTAAATAATTATAATTTAAAATTGATTGCTGATGTAACAGTACTTTTTAAATAACCAAAAAATTTACCTGAAACTTTTGTTTTTAAAAGATAGGCTCTTCTTCATTTACCTTAAGGAGCTCAAATTGCATTTTTATAAATAGTTTAAAGAGTGCTAAAGATACAAAGAGTCTTTAAAATATTATTGTATTGTTTATAGGAATTACTGCGCTTCATTATAAGTACTTAGTTTCATAAGAACTTTTTGAGTATGCTTTAGGCAAATCAATATTTAATTAAGCCTTTGAGATGTCTATTCTATATAAAATTTTTGATTAGTTGCATAAGATTTAAAAGTGATACGTATCTCTTGAAATTAATATAAACTGAAGCTATAAGGGAAATTACATTATTTGAATAATATTTCACTTAAATTTCTTTAGAACTAATTTACAGTGCTATTTGAAGCTTGACTCTAATGTAATATTTCATAGTTATTATTATAATTTAAGCATTTTACATAAGGAATTTTTACTATTTTGTAAGATTTATTATATAAAAATCAAATTTTCTACATTAGAAATTATTTGTATATGAAATCATGTGACCGTTATTCGTTAGTGCTAATTAATTTTAATTTATATTTAAATTTTCTGTAAAGAAAGTCTTTTCTAATGGTCCAAGGGCTATTTTTGTATTTAAGTCAAAAAATTCTTTTAGATAAAATATTCTTGAAAATGAAATACTTAATTTCTAAACAAACAAACTTTATCAGAATAGAAGAACTGAGAAGCTTACTTTGGAATTATTAAAAACAAAAAATTTACTTGAATCTTATGAGTCATGTAGATTTTAATTAAATTAAAAAATTCTTGCTTTACTTATATTTATGTTATTTAAACCTTATTATTACTTCTGTCATATTAAGAATTCTCAAATGGAGTAGAGGTTTTTTTAATAATTCATTACTCAAGATATTTATTTTAAGGTTTGAGGATCATAGTTAATTGTGCTATTCATAAGGTGTTTATATAATTGTACTATGTTTATATGAAAAATGCGTTAATTTTAGACAGTTTCTTTTTAAGTTGTTGGTAGAAGTTAAATTTAAAAACCCTCTTCTTTGTAATTTAAAACAACCTATTTAAATTCCCAAAATTAATACAAATTGTTAATTTTTTTTTTATTAGTCACTTCCCAAAGTATCTTTGAATTTAAATTTCTGTAAATAGGAACAATTATTTATTATTTTAATAAGAATTCTGAAAAGAGTAAGTTTAACATTTAATAATCTTTAATGAATGGCACTGTCTTTGTTTTCAAAATTATTGATATCTAATCATTTTTAATTGAAAGTAAAAACAAATGATCAGAGTCTCATAGGAAGGGACTCCTATAAGATAAAAGGCCAAAATTCTAAAATATTTCACTCTTTTGTCGGTGTATCTTTCGCATAGGACTTTTCTTCTACAAGCCTTAATCTAATTATTAATCTTTAATTTAAAAGAGACTCGCAATTTTGACTGCTACCAAATCTATTTATTTTTAATTCATTCAAATATCAATGAATGCAATTTAACAAGAATTTCTTTAGATAAGGGCATTTTTATTATTTACAATGAATTAATAATATTAAATATTATTTTGCGATTTTTATTTACTATTTGATCTACTATGTATCATAGTAATATAATGTTATTTTCATTATATATTCTGTACTAACTAGTATTTATTTCAGCATATTTACTAATGTCTGATAAGTGGGAAAGTATTGTCAATATATAGGGTAATTAAGTATAATTGTTGATTAATTAATCTTAGTAGATATCGAAATACGAAATTAAAAATGAAACAGTATGAATGTATGTATTTTTATTATATTTAACTTTTTTTGATAAAAAGATTCTTATGATTTCAAATTAAAAAGATTTAAATAAACAAAGTGATTTATGACATCGAAATATTTTGCATAGTTTCAGTGGAATAAAAATCTAGCTTTACAAAAATCCTTAAATATGAATTTTATAGGTAAAAATACTTGCAAGGTAATATGCTTTTATATTAATCATGTGAGAGATGAAGCCCCTCTAAATTGTTAAGGCAGAAAAAAAAAATTACATCATGTAGAAAAACAAGATAGTTACAGAAGAATATTCTTTTAAAAAATTTTAAATTAGATAATTGAATATTAGATATTTGTCATCATAAAGTAATCATAATAATCACAATAATCTTAGATAGAGTGTTGTCTGACGTATTTTTAAAGTAGTAGTAATTAGAAGTAACAATAAATAGAATACATATAGATTGATAGATATACAAAAAATGAAGTGAAATTGTCTAAAATAAAATTATTTGATATTTACAGATTATGTTTTTATTATAATTTGATATGCAAAGTAATTAATTAAAATGGAGGGTTGTGCATTTTTACAATTGTAAAAGAGTGAGAAGGTTAAGAAGGTACTAGCTTAGAGGGAATTAAGAAAAGGGATTGCCATCCATTTATTTATTTCCTTTTGCGCTTAATATTTGAATTAGTAATCTGTGTGTTTGATTATTATTTGACAGATGTATCTTTAGATTGGCAATCGTTTTTGATGAGATAGATAGATACATACATTGATTAATTTGCAAAAAGTTAATGGATTAGCTTTAATCTCTCTTTTCCCTTTGATTCACTAGTAAGATGGTGTTTGTAAAAGGTTTATCGACAAATAAATTCACAATAGCTAAGTAAGTGATAAAATTAATTTTTTTGACATTTTATTCAAGAAGAGTCGGATCTTGAATATTTCATTAAGTTATCAAAAGTAACCAAGTAGGATTTTGATTTATTTGCTTCTCTGGCAGCTATGATAATATTTTTCCAGAGCTAGGCCAACTAAGGAGAAGCGAAACGGAAAGTGAATGAAAATTTTTCATTTTTTGATACTTTCTTTTCTCTACGGACTATGGGTCCTTCACCAAAAACGCGGATCACGTTAGGTTTTTCATTTGTGAGGATAACATCAGCAATATCTTTTATTAAAATACGGGCTTTAGGTTTGTGTTTGAGAGTATTAACTTTTTTATTTGAGTATATTTATACTTATTAATAATAGCATAAATATTCTTAGTCAAGAGCCAAAACACGCTTATTGTACATTAAGCCAGATTGAGAGAGCTTTTCAACAGGACTGCAATATTAGAAATCATCATCTTCTTCTTGAATAGTTTCAAGCTCATCACAGCTCATACTCTAGGGAATTTCTTGTTGCTTGTAAGGCAAGTATTATTCCCATTACTCTTCATGCTATTAGATCATAGCAAAAACTTATATTTATTAGCTTAGCATTTTCGTTTAGAAGTTAATTAAACAAGGTGATACAGTATTGAACTATGAGTTGTCTTTGATTATAGGTTTGGATTTTTTTACCCTTATAATTGTGTAGTAGGATTATGATAAGCAAGCAGACTTATTTATTTGTTTATCTATTGTTTAGATAATAGTTTGCTGAGTGAATTATATATATTGATTGTTTTTTAAAGAATTTAATTTTAGTTAATTTTTTTTGTACTATTTAATTATTAAGTGAATATAACTATTGGTTTCTTAAATATATATTTTCAATTCAATGTAAAAAAAAATTATTGAAAAGTTAAACCTAGGGGGTCAGCTATCCTAAAGCCAGATTATATTTTGATAGCGGGAGATGATTGTTCTAATGAAATACACGATCAAAAATAATATCTATCATAATTACTTAATTAATCTTTTTATTTAAGGCGTCAACTGTTTATTTTTTTGCATATGAAATCAGTTTATGTAAATTTTCATGAGAGTCCATCTAATAAAGATATCTATCTTTAAACAAATAAACTAAAATTTCATAGTAAATTATTAATTAATCTATTTTTCTTTTTTTTTCAATATTTCACTAAATTTACAAAAGTAATAACCAAATCTTAGAATAGTTTGATATCTGTGATGACTTATTATTATTGAAAACAGCAAGATACCACAGAAATAGATTCAAAATTATAAGTAAATATTTAAAAGAAACAACAATTTTATACCATTAATCTACTCTAAAAATTTAAAATTTTAAACTTGGTATAACTATGATGATTTTTTTTTTTAATTATCAGTAAATATACCGAAAATTATAAGATAGACTAAAGGTAGAAAGTGAGTAAGTATTGATATTAATTAGTACCCATACTAAAGTATGCTCACCACATATTATTTGTGGAATACTAGCAAGTAATTTCTCTAATAATTCCTTGAAGTTTTTCTATAAATTTAGCTTAAAATAATGTTAATCTAATTTTATATTCCAAATAATAAAAAAAATAGTTAATATTTATTAAAATTTGTTATCCCCATGTCAAATTTGTTAAATGTTTATATATTAACAAGTAACATGACACTCTCACTTTAAATTAATTAAATAATACAAATAAATGAGTATTGTTATTCCTCTAGATAGGTGTAAAATGCAATTAAAATCTGTTTTACATCAAAACTCTTTTAGTTTTAATTATTCTTCTTTGAAAAGATAGTAATAGTCCATACATACAAACATATATGCATAATTTAATTAATAATTCTCTTCAGACAGCATTATACTTGAACTAATTTTTCCAGACATTATAGCAGATCTTAATTTTTGTCATACTACCAAAAATAAAAAAAAGTTAAACCAGTTAATTAATAGTATCATACTTTTAGCAGGATACTATTTAAATTATCGAAAAATCTGCACTATTATCAAAAAACCCTACCAATATTTTTTTAAGCAAATTAAATTTTGTAGTTTTTTGAATTTTTTTTACTTTTTTAAATTATTAGTTAGTTTTTTTTGTTTGATTTAAGTTGAGCAAAGTAATCTTCAAATATGAAATTAATTATCAGAATAATCACTTCATAAGATTTGTCATTTGCTTCTTCTTATGCTATAAAAACTAAATTTTGGTAAGATCAAGCAAAATAATATTTGTATTAATGTTTACATATTCATTTGAAATTGTTTTTTATGGTAATTAATGAGGATGTATTATGAATGGTAAATTTTATTACAAGGAATTTTAATTAGTAGTATAAAGTTTTATTAATTTAATACTTTATAGAATATTACATGTATTCAAATGAATTACTTTTTATGACCTCAAACAATCTAAGGAAATGTAAGTCATGATCTCTATGGGAAAATTCTTACATAATTCAGAAAATGTTCTTCTAGCAAATTCAATATCTGCTAATAGAAAAGGTTTAATAAAAAATTTAATTTGTTTGGACATAATTAAAAGTATGCACAAAAAGCGTATGGTAAATTTTTAACTAAAATTAACATATGATTCTTATTCTGTATTCCTATTTAATCTTACAAAATTTTTTTAAACAGCTTCAAAATGACCATTAAAATTGTATTTGGATCAAAATATTTGCAAATTTTGGATAAGTATTTAAAGGGATTTTAAATTTGGCTATTTTAGAGTAAAAAAAATTTCATCTGATAATTAGCAAGTATTAATCCCCAAATTAATTTATTTAGCATCTATGATCGTAATTGATTTGATTTCAAAAATAGTTGAAAATGAATATAGTAAATCACTAATTAAAAAATTTTTGAATATTTTTGAATAAATATTTGTATTTTAAGGATAAATCAGCAGAAAATTATTTGATAACTAACTAAGAAAGTCTAACTAACTAAATAGCTAAATATTTTTCTATTTTTATATTGATATCCTTTTCAATTTAATTAAAAAATAAAAACAATATTTCTTTGTTAAGCTTTCTCAAAGTTGAGGCTAGCTCAATGTTTTTTACTATTAATACTAATTATTTTTTACAATCAAAAGAGACGTCCTTTTAACTTTATTCTAGAATTATAAACGCATAAAAATTTGGAATTACATCTAGCGTTGCTAGCAGCTAAATCGAATTTTACTTCACAAAAATAAATTAAGATTTCTATCAATAGTTTTTTATAAAATCTCAAAGTATTTAAAATTTGTTGCTAAAAAGCCATCTAATTTGTAAAGTAATTGCATTTTTATTTAACTAAAGTTAAAATTTTTTAAAAAATTTAAAAACCTATCATTTTTTAGTAATGCGTCAACAAATTTTTAATTACTTTATGTTTAAAAAAAAAAAAACTTCGTTGTTGAGAGTTATTTAATATATTAATTCTTCAAGCAGTTTAAATAAATGAAGACTTTTATAAACTAAATGTCCCACAATTCAATTAACAATCAAAATTGAATTAATCAGTAAAACTAAATAAAATAAAAATATAAAAAGAGACTACGAGATTTAAAATTTGTTTTTGCTTTAAATTTCCTTAAAAATAGAAATGTGTATTTGTAAACCATAAAATTTATCTTATTTTTTGTTTGTATGAGATAAATCTATTCAAAATAGAAATATCTTAATTTTATACCCAGAAATATATTAGCTCTAGTCCAATTCTTCATATTCTTGCTTGTATAGGATAAAAGAATATTTTATTTATATCAAATAAAATAAAATTAGCCTTTAATATATAAAGAATAATAATAATAAATAAATAGACTTCTCATTGCATATAACTTCTACAAATATTAGCTCTCTTTCTATAAAATATAAAAAATGCAAAAATTATTTGAATGTTATTTCTAATTAGCAATCCTTTTTAAATTGTTGATGATATATCAATCAAAATAGAAAGAGACAGTCTTTATTTATTTATTTGTTTGTTTTTTAAATTTTTGAATTTTATTTATTCCCTTACTTTTAATAGAAAAATTCATTTTTAGATTAATACTAAATAAAAATATCAATTTTTTTAATTGCTTATGCTGTATAGGCATAATTTGGCACTTAGAAACTATATCATTTATAGTATCTTACAAAATACTATGCAATATTACATTTCTTTTCATTTTAGACATACAAATATTTATTTTGTTGCAAAAATATGTTTTATGGTGAAAGAAATTTTATTGCAGCTATAGAATAATTTAAGAACAATTCAAGCTATTTTTATTTTATGGGAAATATAAAATAAAAAGTAGAGGTAAAGCTAGCCAAGATTTATCCCTTTTTTTAAAAGTGTTTTTTGATCTACCCCTGTACCTACTGGATCTATTTTGTTCTTTACCTGATCTAATAAATTTTGTTTGCTTAGAAACATAAATAAAGACTTTCTTTTATTAAAAATTTGATTAATTTAAACCACTCATTTAATGCATCTAAATACAAGCATGCTTTAGATGGGTAAAATTTCTAAATATTCAATACTAAAGTAATAAAATGCTAACAAACAAACTTACTAAAAAAACAAAATGAATATGAATCATTTTTATAAAAATTTTTCTTTTTATACCTAACAAAGTAAGCTACTGTGATATTTATTAGTGCTAGAACTTAATACCATAAATACGTTCTGTAAAGTATTTTATTTGATACTGCATATGTTAAGATATTTTAAGGAAGCAATAAATTATTTATCAAGATACTGATAAATTTTATAATGAATTACATACAAAATTAAATAAATTCATTGAGCTGTAATTAATAATCAAAAATCTTCGGTTTTGGTAATATATTTAATTGAAACTAACATTTAAAAGTCTGAATTACACCTTTACCTACTTTTACAGAAATAACTTACATTGAGAGAACATTATTTGAATAAAATATTCTTAAATCCCTGCTCCATTTTAAATTTATATTTGAAAAATATTCTTAAAAAAATAAATTTAACTTTATCATCCCTACATATATTGATGTAATTTATTTATGTGTTATGAATTTCATATTATGATTATTATTGGTGGGTAGTTTTTTCAATTAGTGTTTAAAGTTAAATTATTTACTAAAATATGATGATAATTAAGTATAAAATATATACTTTTTGATAATCTTTCAAACGTTTATATTTACCTAATAAATTTTGACTATGTCTATCATTTACAATTAAATTTTATAGAACCATTTATTTGCATATTTTGCAAAATATAGGGCTTAATAGCTAAGAAAACATTTAACAAGTAAATAGATTATTATTTATTTATTTTTAAGAATATAATATTAATTACACTCTTAATAATAATTGCATCTATTTGATAGCAAAATTATTTTATAATTTGTGAATGAATATCTTTTAATTACTTTAAAAAATACGTTAATATCTCATTAGAATGTGAGTTATAATCTGGATACGTTAAAATTTTAACTAATTTACACTTTAGTCTGTTAGATTTCGAGTTATTGGAGTATTATAGTACTATATCTATTAACTATTGAGGAAATTAGTCTGATCACACAATTTTATTATGCTTGTTAAAATATGACCCAAAATTTTGTGGTTTTTATTCACTTTTTGTGTAAAATTAAATTATTTTTCGCTCTCTTTTTTATATTATAATATAAGGCAAATAAATTATTTATCAGGTTAATAATCATAGTTATTAAATAATACCAAACAAATTTATATTTTAATCTTACATTATTTCATAAGGTTCAGTGCATGAATTAAAAAAAATTTTCAAAGTAATTAAATAGTACAAGCATAGCAGAAATAGAGCTAATAATTTTTTCCAACATGCTCTTACTTAATGAGGTTTCTATGAATTATAAAAGATATTTTATTCAAACCAAAATTCTTAAATTCATTTTCCACATTTTTATAAAAAAGTTATAGATTGACTCTTTAAATGTTGGTTTTTTAGTCTAGTAAATTGGTTTTTTAGTTAATCTCTAGTTTATTTTATTAATTTCTGATTTAAACTGTATTTTTTTGTATCCACCAGAAATGGATTTTAAAATTTAAAAAATTATCTATTTTTAGTGAAGAAATATTATTAATTTATTTTATAACAAATAAATTAAATTTATAAAAATAACTTTATCAGTAACTATATTAATAAAAAATTTTAACCTTCTTAATTTGATTTGCTGATCAATCGTTCTAATGAAAAATTGATCAGTCTAATCAATATTGATCTTTATAATATCCTTAGACTTATTTTTTTTAAACAACTTGTTTGCATCACTACTTTGGCATTAAGAATATTCCCAATTTTTTTTATTTTTTACAAAAATACATCTTAAAATTTTATTTTTTCTTCAATTTATTCTATTGAATTCATAAATATATCTAATTAAAAATTTGAATAGATATGTAATTCGATATACAAATAGAGGGAAATAAAAAATAAATCCAATGCTTAAAAAACAAGAAGCTTAAAAAATATTATTTAAATTAAGAAAAATAAACAATAATTATTTTAGTTTAATAACACTTTTTTCTCTTTTTTAAAAAAATAATAAATAAAATAACAAAAAATTAAAACCCATCTAAATCTATTTCATTATTTTTTTTAATTTTGATTTATTCTGTATGATTTTGCTTGAAAATAGAACCAAGTAATTTCTAAATTATATACTAGAACTTAAAATACATTATTTAAATGGTTAGCTGGAGAATAAATAATATTCAAATGTAAAGAATGACTGTATCTTTTATTACCAAATCACTTATAAAATACAATTAAAAGTAATTTAAGTTAAGTTTCTTGAATATTAATATTTCTGCTTGCACTTTATTTGAATAAAATAATCTTAGGAATAAGAAGTAATATATTAAGATTTAATTGTACATTAATAATTTGAGAAATTAGTATAAAATAGCAATCTTCTTTAAATTATGTCTCATCTTATCCATAATTCTTATTGTCTATGTTTAATTTTATTATAATATGATCAAAATTTAAAAGACAAATTTTAATAATTGAATTAACAAATGACAAATATTAATAATTTTATATAAATTTTTTTATTGTAATAGCTTAGAAGATATAAATTCGTTAAATTTTCAGTCAGTATTGAGCAAACTATTCTAAAAATATACTTTTTTACCTTTCATAAACTTATTTTAGAAAAGTAATTTATTTTAGACTTTTGTAAAAGAAAAAGAATGGGTAGAAATTAAAAAAATCATATAAAAATGGTTAAATTAATTTTCAAGCATAATCAACAGTTTGAATTATTGTACTTTATATTTTTTTACACTAGTGAAACAAAAGCAAAAATAATTATTCATAAAACTTAACTTAAATTACTTTAGTATTTTATCTAAGATTTGGTGATCAAATAAAGAAAAATTTAAATATTAATATATTCTTGAATTGTAATAGTTTTATAACTCAGTATTAAATAGTTATCTTCTTTAAAATATGTCATACATACTCAGGAATTCTTCATATATTTGTTCAGTTTATTAATTTATGATCATTATCTAAAAGACAGATTTTAATAATATATTACATAAATAATTAAATATCTACAATTTATTATAAGTAAATTTATTTATTTAATAAACATATTAGTGATTCATAGGTCTAATTTTGAGTCATTACTCAGTATTTTATTCTAAAAATAAATTTTTTTTCATTTAAAAAACAAAATTTAAAAATTATTTTTATTGTAACACTATTATATTTAAAAAAATTTGTAGCATTAAACAAAAAATATCTCAAAAATGTTAAATTTAGTTTTTATAATGAATCTATTTTCTCTCCTTACTCAAATTTTTTGAAAGCATCTATTTATTTTAATATCTATCAAATATCTTGGCTATACATAATAAAATAAAAGTAATTCTATTTCATTTGATTAGAATTCTGTGAAAAGTTTTTTAGGATTAAAGCATTACTAATATTGTAAACCATTGTTTTTATTTAGTTTGGTTTTTTTTTTTAAATTTTTTAAATTTCTTCTGAAATTATTGAGCTTTATTATTAAAATAAAAATAAAGAAAAATATATTTTTATATAATAAAAAAAATCAAATAAATAATTGACTAGAATTTAATATTATAAAATTGTATCCTTTATCATAATTTTAAAAATTAATTGTTAAAGAAACATTATTTAATTTTTTAAAAACATATTTTTGTTAAATGATCAATTAAATATTTGGATTATATTTATGCAATTAGTAACATTTTTTGAAGAGATTAATTAATTTTATTTTATTGATCAACACAATTTCAAAAAAGTTAATTTATTGATCATATATTTTGATTAGAAAGCTCTTATAATTTTTTAGGAATATTGAATTATTTTTTTATTTATTAATTTCTCCTATTAAATCAAGTATTATTTTATTAACTTATGTGATATTTTTACATAAATAAAATTAATAATATTTAGATAAGGAAATTTAAGTAAATATAATTATAAGATATTTACTGAAAACATAAATAAGAATTCATTGAATTTGATATATGAAAGATTAAAGTGAAATATAATAAATAATTCATTTTACATAATGAAATTAATAGTTATTTTATATAAATTTATTAAATTAAATTGGTTTAGAAATTAATAAATAAATTAATTTAAAAGTTTGATAGCAAATTTAGTTATGTTTGTAGACGTTAAAAGAAATTTAACTTTGTTAGATCTTCAAACATTATTTGTACTGCTTTTATTATCAGCGTCTATATTTGAAATTGAATCATCTTTCTGATAACTTTATACAAAATCTTCCTGTAAAGACTCTAATTAAAATTTTTATTTTAGATAAAGGATAGTATTTTTATTAAAAATTTACTTGCAAATGGTTGTAATTTATTTTATCTGAATCTTCTTCTAGGCGACAAAAGTATTGTAAGTGGAATTAGAGATATATTATTACAAATAGAAAATACTACAAATATTATAGTTCTTTATTAAAATAAAAAAGAAAGAAATTAATAAAACTTTTAGTGTAAAAATATATTTATTGAATTAAAAATAATTATACTTACTTAGTATGATATGTGTTTTAAAGAATTTAAATATTTTTATCTTCAAAATAATTTTTTGAGTATTCTTAGTATTTGAAGCACTGAATTCCATCAAAAGCATCTGTTGCCAATAAAAGATTAAATAAAGGTCTGCAAGTACATGCGATAGCTAACCAAATTATATATCTTGACATCTTTAATAATAATAAATAATGGAATATTAAAGGAATATTCATTTTATTTTTAAAAACTTAAAAAATAAATAAATACCATATTTTTAAAGTCTTAGTTTATTTCATACAAATTTTCTATTTTTTTCCTGATAATAAAAACGATAGATAAAATTTAAAAGCAAATCAATAGCACAGAAGCACTCACTGAGCCATGACTTTTTATTTATTTATTTTTTAATTATTATATTATATTTAAAATTTTCCTTTTATCAAAATACAAATTAAAAATTTTAAATACCTTATTTTTGCATCATTATTTAATATTAAAATAATTATACCAGCCACTTATAAACCAAAGCAAGCCACACTTGTAAAATTAAAAAAATAATAGATAAACTTAATCCATTTTTTTTCTAGAGTTACTGAGAGCACTCCAAACCTAATTTTTTTAAAAAAGTTAGAGTTTAATTAAACTCTTAAGTTTAAGCAATTTCCTTTTATTTAATAGATTTTATAACACTTTACCAAACAAAAAAGGAAAGAAAGAAAGCCAGAGAATAGCAAGAAGACGAAATAATTTAAAATACCATATACAAAGTAACTTTTTATATTAAATCCTCTTAGTATTCTTATTCAGTATTGTATTTTATACTACCCTTCTATATTCTACCTTAATACTGATTTAAATATATCAATGAGATAATATACCCTATAATTATGTTAAAATTGCATTTATACATCTGATTTAAACTTGATAAATAATTTAATCTTACATATAGGTGAAAGAAGAGCAACAAATTAAATTACTAATCTGAGCTTATAAGTTTATACCTTCTCTTCTTTTACAAATTTGATAGTCTTAATAATTTAATACATCATAATTATTCCATACACTATAAATAAAGCCATCAAAAAAAAGCTAATAATATATTCATATTTATTAGAAATGTCATAATCATCTAAAATAGTAGATCCGCAAATATCACTTTAGCAATTGTCATCAATTTATTAATTACAGTTTATTAATTATCTCTTGTTGTAAATGGATATATTTTATGTCATCTTTATTCTTATTTGCTTAACTTAATTAAATAATAAAATAGTTTGAATTAAGTATTTCTAAAAATATATTTAGAATTAAATATAATATTCTTTTTATTAATTATTATTAACTAATGGTCATTTTATTATTTTTTTTAATGGTAATGATGCAATCTTTTAATAATAGGAAGATTCTTAATTTGTAGGGGTTGGGGTTGGGGTTGGGG